GGCGTCTTCTGATGATGATAGCTGATAAAAGTGAGCGTCGGGCGCCGAAGTCACATATATAGAAAGGTTAGCAGGCTGGCCGGTACGAACAACTCGCAGAGAGCAACAATCTTGTCCAATATTCAGTATTTACTACTATCTGTGACAGGAGAATGGGCAATCCAAATCATATTCTTGACATTGTATCTCATATTTTTCATGATTTATCATTAAGTTCTCAAGACCGTACATACGTAAACCCTCGTTGATGGGTATCCATCGTCCGCTGACTATCGGAAATCGGCCATGAGACTGACAAACGAGTCGACTGCTCGCAAGATACCGACAACTCCGCCTTTCAAGTATGCCCCAGTCATAGAACTCATCCGAGACCGCCATCCCACGTAACTAAAACCCAGCCAAAACCCAGGTCCTCACATCGTACCAGCAGCGGTCACCCTGACCATCCGGCTCTCTCCGTTTCTGCATTGCCTCCGCCTCAGTAGCAAGGTTGTCTCCTTTTTGTCCAACTCGTCGCTTCCGAATAAATCGAGATGACAAAGAACGCTGTATATCAACGCCTAATCATGCAAACGAATGCCTCACCAACTATATACTTTTCTGTACCGGTGGTGTAGTGAAGTCATGACACTGGGAAGGAAGAGCGTGCCGGGGACAGACCAATCAGTGTTTTAAAGGACCACATGAGAACATCAGTCATCAAACCAAACTGTGGGGGAATCTAAAAGGAAGTGAAATGACTCTGAGGAATGCTGAAGAGTATGGGTGAATAGAAAGATGAAAAGGAAGAAATAGAGATGACCACGTCCGAGGTAAAATCATATCATGCGCTCAATCGCTGGATGAAAGACTGTACCAGTCCCACATCAGCTTCAAATCCAGATCGAGATAATGATGGAAGTTTGAAAAACATACCGGAAAGAATTGCCGGAACCCCTTCAAGTCCAGCCGGCTCAAAGCACCCACAAACTCTTCAATCAATTCTGCACCCATACCCATACCGGGCAGTTCACGGTCGCGGAGATACGCGAGGTACTCCATGCCTGTCTTGGAGTATATCGTACGCTGTAACCCGCCAGCTTCCGCAAGAACCTGCTTGGCTTGCGCATCCTTCGAGTTGAAGGAGGGTGTGGACGGCAGCGCCCAGCATAATGGCGAGAACCGTGTAATCATGAATTGGCCAAAACCGGGCAGCGGAGCCTGTGCTGGAGGGGCTCCGTTGGAAGCTTCCGGGATGACATCCGGACCGCCCCACGAGCTGCTCATCTTCGAGAGAACAGAGAAGGCCATCTTCGCTGTGGTAAAGTCATCGATATCTTTGGAGAAATGCTCGATAGTGGAGATGACGGTCTCAAAAATGGGTTGATTTCCTGGGACTGGGTTAGCTTACACTAGAACAAGGACTGACTGTTAGTGACGAGGACTCACTTTCACTGATGATGACAGCACCCAAGTCATTGTTCAGAACGGCCAGCAAGAAATTCAGGTATTCTCGTTTCAGCTCAGCCAGTTGGATCTCATCATCCGTACCGGTTGTGGGATCGGCGATTCCGGAGAACACTCGTTGCAGGAAGGGGGTTAGTAGTGTGTCAAGGATGGAATAGATTTCGCCCTTGAATCCGAAAATAACCTGGTCTAGGAGACGTAGGAACAGGGCCATCTCATCGCGGGAAGAAGTCTGAGTAAGGAGGCCGTCAATCCACCTTGGCAGCTGTGGCAGAATTCGAGAGCCGAGGACGCCGATGAGCCTCGAGAAGGCAAACCGGGCAGCTGTCCGAACGTTGAATGAGGACTTGAGGGACTCCAAGGCAACCAGCGTGGCTTCCGACACCTGATTGAAGGCTGCTGAGACTTCGGGTGCAGGTAGAGTAGCGGGCGTGTTCGTTCCAGGCATCCAGTCTGAAAATCCGCGGGCAAGGGTTCCCAGCGCCATGATATCATGATGAATCTGAAGAATGGCTCGTTCATCGTTTGATTTCGCCGCTTCCAGGTTCTTCTCCATGTCGAGGAATACAGGATTGAGCACCGATTGCGCATAGAGGACCTGTTTATCAGCTGAGACGGTGGGAGTCGAACAGATGATCCCGACAGCTTCGAAAAGATACAGCTGGCTGTTAAAGATGGCGTCGGCTAATTCGTGGTCCTCTGAAGACATCTCATCACCGTCAGATCCTTCCGAAGGTAGTTCAGCGCGAATTACCAGAAGATCGCCAAGGGCTTCCACAACGGTTTGCGCGACATTACCAACGTACTGTCTGAGTTGCTTGACCAAGCGCTGGAAGAGGTACCAAGAACGAGTCTTCACCTTCTTGATAGGATGGTGAACCAGTTGAAGGAAGTTCTCCAACACACCCGGAATTAGATGGGTATGGTGGTGGAAGAATGAGCTATAGCGCACGCAGATTTCCATATACTGTAATTGCGTTGCCGGATGGGTGAATGAACGAATGTCTAAACGTCGTTAGCCCGATCATCGAGATTATCTATTCGATATACCTACCAGACTCGACCATCCTCAACATCATTTCGATGAGCCTTTCGGCAGCCTGGTTGTTGGGATTACCCCTGGTGTAGAGACTTCCCGCCTTGACTGCGAGATCTCCAAACAGGAACATTTCATGCAAGGCAAGGTCCAGGTCACGCCAGTCCATTTGGGAGCCCGACTGCCGCAGGTTCTCAAAGGTCGCTGCCACCATCTCCGACACAGCCTCCATGTATAGCTGTTCATTGACCGAAGCGATCATCTGCTGAAGCACACCAAGTCTCTTGCGAAGTTCTTGGAATTCTGCCTCGTCCGTCTGCTCATCTTCCTCGCCCCATGAGGAGGTCTCGTCGTACCGCATCTTGGCAATGATAGCCTTCAGGATCGGAAGCAGGATCGAAGAATGCTGGGAAGCAAGGGCGGGGTTGACTTTGGCGATTCTTCTTAAATAGGTCAAGAGGTCGCTAACGCACGGAATGACTGTTGAGCAGACTTCGTCATATTCATCGGAGAAGTATCTCAGGATATGTGGCAGGAAAGCCTGAAGCAGCCCATTGGCTTTCTCCTTGCACTCAGCCGAGACGCCTTCCTGTTCCAAAGCCCGTACAATATCAATGACAGTGATATTGACTAACTTGGCGACGGTTTCCGCCAGATCGGTGTCATATTTGAAGGTGAACCTATTTCCGTGCAGAGGGGGGCTATTGGAGAGTTGAGAAACAATAGTATCGAGATTCAGGAAGATAATCATGTCGATCTTGTCCTCCGGTTTCATCTTCTTGCCGATGATCTCCGTGAAGACATCAACCGCCGCATCCCGCACCTTCTCTTCTCCTTTTCTCAAATCCGCTTTCTCCGCCCGGCCCAGCTGCTGGAACAAAAGATCAAGCATTGTCTGGTTCACCACAAGACCGATATCAATCCAGCTGACCCAGCTGCCGACAGTCTTCAAGCACATCTCCACAATTACGTCGTTGCCGTCCCGCCATTCCGACAAAATCTGTTGCCATGAGCTGGTGATCTTCTGTATATCCCTCTGCCGAATGAGGTCCTTGAGCGCATTCGCCTTGTCCTGTTCATTGCGGGATCGCGAGACCAAAACATCACCAATCTCGTCGTGGATAGAGTTGATAACCCGAAGGTAGAAGATAATTCCGGAGGCGTTGTCGCGTGTCGTGCTCGAGGGGCTTTTGTGGGTCAGGCTGAGCAGATCATCAAAGAATGATTCCCACCCGCTGGCGTAGAGTGCAGAGAAGAGAAAGGTGATGGTTTGGGCGATTTTGTTCTGGATGTTCGGAGGGTCGGATGCTCCTGCGTCCTGTCCGTATACCTGCCGGAGATACGCCAACAGGCCATCTTTGACGAACGCTAGGGCCTGCAAGTCTATCAAACCGCCCTGTGCAGCGCTATTGACCACTTCCAGAGCGACATGCCTCACGATACCCGAGCGCTGGGGAGTTTGTGTGAACAGTGAAAGGCAGACCTGCCATCCCGACGGGTCGGAGCGAAGCTGGTTCACGAATTCGAAGGCTTGCGTCTTAAGGGCTGGGTCTGAGGACGGATTCGAGGCGATTTCAATTGCATTTGCTACCTAGTTAGACAGTACACTGTTAGGCTCATCTCGTCCTGTAGAACCATCGTTGCTCTTGGAGTACGTAGACACTGGGGAGGGTTACGGAGGGGCACGCGAGGGGAAGGGTGGTGGGGTGGCCTTTTTTTTTCTATTTTCTCCCACTTTTGTGAAGACGGATTCAAAAGCCACAGGAGTTGGCATGAGATTGCTCACCTGCTCTTCCATCTTCGACCAGCCGGGCTACCTTCGGAGTCGTGAGGACTCTGAAAGCGAAAATAGCGGTGATTCAAGAAAATGTGGTGTGTTCCGGATCAAAATCAACGGCGGTGGAGAGTCATAGCACAGAGGAGGGTCAGTAGACTATCAAACTATGCATAGTAGGTTTAGTTCCAGCATCAGAATAATAATAATACTAATAATCGGGCGGTGTTTCAAAGGCTTTGCCTGTGGGCGCCTTAGCTTCTCATGAGCCCCAGTTATTTGGGTAAAATGAATAGGACCAAAAAAAATTCTTTCAGTGGAGATTGGGACTTCACTCACGCGAACTCTTGACTAGGACTTAATATCCAGATATTTATACAATGATAAAGTGTGACAATGAAAGGAGGTTCAGTAGAGCGAAAGGATTAGCCTAGCCTCAGAGCTCGATGACAGTGACGTTGATGGAGGGGAAAGAAATGGAGAATTGTTGTGATGAATCATTTCTTGTGCGGACGTCAAGCTGAACGGGTGTGGCCCAGAAAGGGCAAGGGGCGACGTGCCTCGCCCGAAGTGGCCCTTGATGCCCGCACATTCAGGCACAATTGGCGTCAACTGGGCAGCATCCATTAAATATCTCATGTTACTAGTCCAGACCCTTTTGGTTTTTCGATGTTCGAATGTGTCCATATGCACTAGTCTAATTCGAATTATCTTCTCATCATGGTCATTATATATACTTCTGATCTACTTCTTGGCCGCCTCCTGTTTCAACACCTGCTGTTCCATTTTCTCAAACCCTTCAACAGCCTTGCCGTACTTCTCGAAGGCACCCTTTTGATATCCATCTGCAATCTTCTCAATGAACTCTTCCTCTCTCCACCGTTGACCAATCAGGTCTTCGAAGGTCTGGCCGGGCTTTCTCTCAATAGCCCACACAGCCTTGTATGCTGCGCCCAAAGCGCAGGCATTATCTCCGACATCCAGCTTGTAAACTCCATCGCTTCCTCCCAGGATCTCTCCAGCTACCTTAGCAATAGCTTTGTTCTTCGAACCTCCTCCAACGAGGTAGACACGACGTGGCTGGGGAGGCAGTCCGTCGCCAGGGCTCTGGGTAAGACCTCGGGACCGCAAGCGCAGCGATAGCATCTGGCTCTCCACAATAGCCCGCGCCTCGTCTGACGGCTTGTTCCATCCGTCGTTGGTTTCAGTCAGCGTATCACTGGCTGGGTCGTAGGTGAAACGCCACTGTCCGGACCGGACATTTGGCACGATTTCTGGTCTGGGGAAAAATAGGCCCATTTTCATGGGGTCTGATTCTGTCGTCTGGCCCATCGGGGGCGTCTCAAGCATGATCTTGTCGAAGCTCTCCCACGACTGGGACGCGCCGCTGCCCGATTTCTCATTGATTGCATCACGAACATATTCGCGCGCAAGGCCGCCGTTCTTGTAGCAGAGCATGAACATGTAGAGTCCAGGGGTGGTGGGGTGGTTGAAGAAATGTGTTGCAGGGTCTGGCTTGTAGCTTGGAGTAGACATGAGGAAAGTAGTCGAAGTTCCCAGAGACACCATAGCATCGGACGGACGCAAGGGCAGGGCAAGTATGGTAGCCGGGTTGTCGCCAGTCGAAGGGAGAATCTCACAGTCTGAGCTGAACCCAAACCGCTCAACGAAATATCGATTGATCTTTCCAAGACGTAGACCTCCATCTTCCGGGACGTCACCTAACTTCCGCTTGAGATCCTCTACGCCGAATGGTCCCGCACAAAGTCCAAGGAGTTTCTCATGGTAAGCACCCTTCTTGATATCCCATAGGTTCATGCCGCAGACGTCCGAGATGTCCATGGGCGCAATGTGACCTAAGAGCAAGGAAGCAAGGAACGAAGACACAAGCGAGATTCTCGCCGTCTTCCTGTAGACCTCGGGGTATTTCCTCTGCATTCGGAGAATCTGAGGACCGGTGAATCTCTGTCCAGCAAACAACCGTCAGCAAGCTCCCATTAAGTTCAAGGCAGGGTACATGACCGACTTACATGATGCGCCTTGCTTCCCGTCGCCCCAGCCAACTGCTCAGGACCTCCCAAGAAAGCATCAAATTCATCACACTCCTTCTGAGTACTAGCATCCTGCCAGTTCGGGCTAAAGGGGTGCGAAAAAGCTCCACTGAGCTGTTCCTCCAGCGACTTGCTCGAATCCAGGGACTTGAGGAGGCTCTCCGCATTCTCGCCCCAGTAAACGCTACCATGCTGCTGTCCCGCGCCGCTGATTCCCTTGACACGGCTAAAATCTAGTCCTTGTTTCCGCAGACCCTCCAGCACGCCATCCAGGGCTTGCAGCCACAGTGCAACGGGTGCGAAGACCTCATGCTCCGCCTCGTTGGTGAGCACGCCCTTTTTGATCGAGAACCCGTGGGAATCGGCATCGAAGTCGAATTTGGAGACGTGTACCACCTTCAGCTCTGGGTTGACCACCAGGCCCTTCAGCTGCTGTGTGGAGAGGTCGAACCCAATGTATAGAGGGCCCTGAGAAGTCATGATGTGTGTTGGATGACTGAGAATCTAACCCCGCGGAGAGATAAGATGACGTCGATAAGGACAAGAAAGGACGTTGACAACACAAACAAAGGTAGGATGAACGGGGTGTAAAATACTATGGAAGAAATAGGAATTGAAGAAGAGCCGAAGACAATAATAAGAAGGGTTAAGACGAGACTTATGGTCAATTGGCAAACTGTCAGGTGGAAGCTGTCTCTCTCCAATTTATCCCTTTCTCGGGCAAATTCAGGATAAGGAAAAGTCGGTCGGTACCTTGGGAAAATGACCTTTCAACCTCCTGGTCCCCAACCAATCTTTTTTACCTTGGGTGAGATAGGTCATAATTTAGCAGGTAATATTTACTTGTACTCAAGGATTCATTTTGTCCAATGGCATTCCCATTTTTAGAAAAAAGAATAATTCATCAGGGCAATTATACCTACTATAATATGATGCCGACGTGATGTAAACACCCGGGAGAGCTTGAATGCGGGTGGGAGTATATGAGGAGAACCCCACCGCCGGAAATCTCCCCGGTTAATATCGAGATCACTCTCTCACTATCTACAGAGTGCAGAGTATAGAGTACAGCCTCTGCAGGTTCTAGAATCGGGCGGAATTACGAGAGTCTAACAAAACGCGTCTGTAAGGTACAATATTAATCAGATGATAATTCCAGCTTTTAAGAAAAGCAAAAGAATGGTTGATAAAGTTGACTACCGGGTAATTGTATGTTGAGAATTTGAAGCCTTCAGTCTGGCAGTCTCTAGATTATATACTCTATAGGGGCCCCAAGGACCAGATAGGCCAACAATAAAGCATCTTGTATATTGCCGATAAAATCTCCTCTCTTCGAGATCATGTTCCTAGTTCCGTTGTGCCCCAAGCCGATCTCGTCTATCCGACTCCGGATATTCTAATCTCATCCTCAGCACACATGGACGGTCTTCTATTCATCTTTGCCTCCGGGGTATCACATGCGCTTCGGTGGAGGTCCAGTGGAAGCAAAAAGTGCAAAGTTAACATGACGAATATGTCCTATTTTCAGATCTTTATATAAGAGAAAAGATGCAAGCGCTATTGTTTACCGGGTCTTGCGGGTCTCATTCTCCTTGCGTTGATGGTGGTGTGCATGGGCCGCATGCACCGCTTCTATATCGCCCTCTTGCGGCTCGGGGTTGCTTTGCCTGGCGACCTCCGGAGCAATAAACTCCTCCGTGAAGTCTAGATGCTCCAGTTCGGAAGGTACAAATCGGATCTTGAGCCGCTTGACCCCGCGTACAGCCACCCCGACGGCATGTCGAACAGTCTCCTCAATCTCGCGGGACCGGCTGAGTGACCAAGCCCCCGGCACCGCTAACTCAATCTCCATGAGGTAGTTTTGTCCGGATTTCATACCCTGGACGTCCCGGATCTGAATCGCGTGTGGATCTTCGAGTTTGGCAAGGATCTTGGCTGCCGCATTGCGCACTGAGTCTTTGATGTCGTCATCGACCGTAGTATCTGCCAGTTCGAGCAGGGATGTGGCAGTATTACCCCACCCAGCCTTAATCACCATCAGGGAAATGAGAAGGCCACCGACGGGATCAAGCCAAGACGCATCTTGAAACATGTAAGTTCCGCCGATCGTGACCAGGGCGACCATGCTAGTGAGAGAATCGATGCGGTGGTGTACGGCGTTGGACGCGAGCACAGAAGATTTGCGTTCATTTGCAATTTTCATGGCTAGACAATAGCAATGCCGCAGCGGTTAGCTTGATAGCCACAGTAATGTAGAGAGGAATCGGACGAAGGGGGCACTCACTGGCACGGTAGAGCCATTCCTTCACAATAATTGACCCCCCTGCAAGCCATGCCGCATTGATATTCGGACCAAGGGCCTGGACTCCGTGACTGTGCGAGTGGCCATGACCCAAAACTCCGGAGTGAGCGACCGCCTCCGCAGCCTCGGGAAAGAACTGATCCAATAGAACTTGTCCCGAATTGAGGCCCATAAACACGCCCCCACAAAGCAGGAGTCCACTCACGCCCAGTGCACCGATGCTTTCGATTTTCCCGTAGCCGTTGGGAAATCTCTCTGTGGGGGGCTTCAAAGACCACGCGACAGTTCCTAGTGTAAGAAAGTCGGATACGAGATCGGTGAGCGCATGATAGGCGTCGGCAATCAAAGCTTGCGAATGGAAGACATAGCCGCCAATGAATTTCCCAATTGCCATGGCGAGGTTGGCAACCAGGCCAATCCGCGTGATTCGGACTCCAGCGTCACTTTTGTTCGCAGAGGTGAGGTAAACATTTCCGTGATGATGATGGTGATGGTGAGAATGACCCCCGTGGCCACCATGTTCTCTGGTTTGAGTTGCCATGAGTGAAGTGGTTATGAGGTTCGGGGTAGATATTGTCTTTGTTGATGGTGTTAATGAAAGACGCGGAAGGGAGCGGACGCGAGCATTGGAGGAGAGGGGGCTCTTATGGCGCAGAAGGATCGTTGATGTACAAAGGACTCGTTTCAGGGGTAAGAGACGCGCGCCAGGAGTGCAAATGATACCGGACCGTCCACTGAATACAGGGCGGCGGAGGACAAAAGTTGATGGTGGTGTAGTTGGTGATGGACGACCAGCCCTGCACCGCAGGGGCTGCGTCAGCGGCATCAGGGCGACGCACGTACACTCTGGGGGGTTTACGTTTAACTGGCTAAGGCACGCGACAAATTAGAGGCAGCAGATTAGTTTGGGGTTAATTCGAGGGCTGCGGTAGCTCAGGACACTGTGTTCTTCTTGGCTGTACCCATGTCTGGGAGGGGGGGATCTCCAAAATAATTGATAGATAATATTATCTAGTTCATGTTATTCTGTAGAGAGGTACACGCAGCATCTTGAAGGGTAGAAACCAGGAAAAAGAGCTTCAAGAATGGTTTTGAATCACAGCCTCCTGGTTAGCATCCGGCTGAGCCAAAGCCGACATGTGCTGACAGGCTGACTTGACTGGCCCACTCAAAGCGGGCGGTTCTCCCTCCCGACGGCGGATCTGCCCTTGTGCCTGCTGTATCAACTGTTTACATGCTTGAGTGAATGAGGGGGCGAATAATGATTGTAGATTTTACTGTTCTCGCTTCTGATGAGAACCAAGGAATGCCTCTCTATATTGCTAACTCTCAGAAGCTGGCCCATCCGACTTCGATTGTATATGACAGCGCTGATGCTCAATATCGTCATGGAAACTGAACAGCAGGCGCACTATGATATCAGCCCAGTGGAGCTACAGTCCGGATGCTTGGCGGTGCTCTGCCGATATCGCCAACTCTTCTTCGAAACCGCGGATGCCAATCTGGAACAAGCAACTTCATGAAGACCAAGCATCAATCCGGACTTGTGAGTCTGCAAGTTTCCACAACTCTCTGCCAAGAAACGTCCACGCATGTCCTGTGTCGAATCGGATAGCGCACATTCGAATGCGTAATCCTCTACGCCTCGTCGGACTCTCTGCATTAATTGGGGATAACTGTGGCTTGTTGGACCCCTGCGCAGTCTAACTTAGATTCTCCCTTTCTGAAACGGTGCGAAGAGTGCTTTGAGCCTTTGCCGAGTCGATAGTTATGCCTTACGAGTCGTCTACCACGTCAGCTCCGGCCCCTCATACGGAAGCGCGCCGAGACTCGTGGAATTGAGCTTGAGCTCGCACGAGATGTTCATGCTGGTTCCTCCACTCATATCGAAACCATTTGATAAAGTCGCAAGCAGTGGGGTGGTTATGGCTTGCAACTGCTTCATATTCAAAACACCTTGTTACCATAGGACCAAGGACTCCATGATCAGAGGCCCAATTGTTTGAATTATTTACTGCTCTAGTACTCGCGAAATTGCCTCGATGGTCCATCAATAGGGGCGAAGTACAATCTGCAATTGTACCAGTGCTGGAATGATTGTCTCATACGAAACATACCTCTTCACTTAGGTTGTAGAGAAGAACCAGCGCCGAAAAGGAGACGAGGCGTTCCGAAGTCATAGCATTGACCAGGCTCTGCTGTTAAATCCGAGTCGACATATGTTTAATGCATATTACCAGGAGTAAGGTGGAAGGAGAGATCCTCTATGCCTCAACTTTTCTCTCGCCAGCGTGACGGTGTGAAGTTTTCGGAAGACTACCTAAGCCTGGTAGTTGAGGTCAAAATCAGAGGTAAATGCCAAGACAAGTCAGCATGTTAGCTCAGGGGAAGAGCGCCGGGCTTCATAACCCGGAGGTCCCTGGATTGAAACCAGGACATGCTATGTGATTCCTTTTTTTGCCCGCCACATTTCCATTGTATCTTGCCTAATGTTTCATCCTCTTCATCTATTTTTCATCGAACCCCTCAGAAATATCAGACGCCTTTCGATGTGCTGTGACTATATAGTAGGGAGATAGTTCTAATGAAGCTCAGTCTTTGACCTTACGTTCCTGACAATCTTTGATCTGGATCCTGAAAATAGTACAGGCCAGACCAGCCGACGTCCTACGCCTGCATGCTTTTCAGCGATAAGCAATTTGCAGTCAGTTGGATAAGCCACAAGCTGCAATACGATGATGATCGCTCACCTAGGACCATATAGTCATAATCAGGGAGCTATCTTAATCCCAAGCATGTTAGCTCAGGGGAAGAGCGCCGGGCTCATAACCCGGAGGTCCCTGGATCGAAACCAGGACATGCTATCTGATTCTTTTTTCCCCCTTCCCATAATTACCACCCGAATTTTTTTTGGCTGATATAGCGGCGATTCTCTCTTTACGGAGTAGATGCATTAAGAGATAGACTATGACGCGTTCTAATTATGTTCTTGCCCAGGGCTGTCGTGGACTACCCCTAAATCTCGTGAAATTTGCATTGCGATCCTCCTTCCCGAGGTCACGATTGCTGGCTCTGAGCCAATAGTCCGCTTCCTTGCTGGGTTCTGCACGGAATTCTACTCGCACATGATATACGGCAACCTATTGTCGTTTGACCCCTGATCAAAGAAGGTTGATCAAGTTTCACCCAACGGATCGGAAAAATGAAGATATCGAATCCAACATCACCAGCGTAAGTAAGATCACATCCGCATCGAGCCCCATTCATTCCATATGAACAACATCAGCAATCTTTCCGAAGGCAAGCATGATCAGCGTTGTAAAAAATCATGGTTGTCCTAAGATACCCGCTGGAGGACCGAGTGCCCGAATTGTCAATGGACCAGCTGTCTTCTGTCAGTGAGCGTAGTCCATGTAGGACCAAGGTGATTTCCTTTTCCGTGTCATTTCAACTCCTTATGGCCCAAGGCTTATTTGGGGACATAGTCTAGATCAATCTGCACCGAGTCCTCATTGTAGTTCGTCGTCTGCTTATATGATGATTTCGAGTGACACAAAAATAGTTCTTTGTGAGCCAAAATCAAAAGATTATAGTAGGTGGCTGTTCCAAGTAGGACCGATTTCAACTCCCTCGCCCGAAGAATCGGGAAGCCTTTCAAACTCCATCAATTTCACTCCCGAGTTTGCCTCACTAGGTGTTGTTTCGCTTTGGTCGTCATGTTCGACTGGCGCAAGCCACTGAGCGATGGTAATGTCCATAGTGTGGGTATCACGGCCAAACTTAGACCATTTTGTGCACTTGCACCCTTCCTTCTGGCACATATGGCCCAAATAGCACGTTAGAGAGCGACATTTGGGACCCCTGGGGCACGGGCGCTGCCGCATCATGTATCTCATGACGGCGAGACAGGCAGGGTCGACATCACTGGTACTGTGGTCGAACTCGCAACTAAGATCACTGCAGTCACCGCCAAGGTGGAATTTGTTGCATAGTTTTTGTTGTTTGATACGTCGGTTATAGGTATCCCACGCTGCCTTAGATGGCATGGGGCAGTAAGTATCGATACGATCTCCGTCCTTATTGACAGGGATGAGTTTCTCTGCTGTCGAGTCTATGGAGGGAAGATACTTGGCGTAGTGCCGCACCGTTGACAAAGTCTGTGACGGCGTATCTTCCTGCGTTCTAGAAAGTTGTTGACCTGGCATTGTATGGTCCTTAGTACAACTATTGCCATATTTGCAGATGCCCTGTATTGACGTCATTAGCTCGTTGCTCTTTTCGGAGGATAACAAGGGCTCAGATTTACTTTTTGAAAATGTTTGCAGACTGGTGCCCTGGGAGCCGGAGCAAAAGCTGCAGTAGGAGAAGGAGTAGAAGCTGGAGGTTGACGTTCGCCCAGGGGAGCAGACATGAACACTTCTGGCAGCTCCCTGATCGGCAAATCCAGCGTTTTGAATTCTGGATGAAAGGAGGCAGCTTTGAGAAGCGTAATCCGATTGCGTTTGCCAATATAAGGAGTCAACAGGGAGAGGTAACCTGTATCATGACAGCCCGCGAAGAAAACGTGCTTGCACTGACTATTATCGGCAAACAAGCGAAACATCTCTTCTCGTACCAAGCGATCAGTCTTGATGAGCGCAAGTTTCTCAATTCTGTGGAACCGTACCTCTAATCTTGAAGTCCGCGCCCTCCTTCTTATCGCCCGCGTCGACGAAATCGAACAGATCCTGAGAGCGAGTGAAATTGGAAGCAAACCACGACAATGAACGTGCCTCGAAGCCCGCCAGCCCAGCACGGGCCAGAGTCTTCGACAGGGCCAGGAGATTACAGTAGAGTTTCACCATTACCCGGCATTGACTTGCCTGGTCCGGGAGTTGTTCCTGCAAAAGTCTTCTAATGGATTCGCTCATGAGTTGAGCGGCAGTGACGCCTCCTTCGCTGCCCGCCTTGATCAGGTGCTCCTTGAACTTTATACCGTCAGCTCTACGGAGGCTCCAACAGAGTCTAATTACTCACCAGATATCCGTCGCCATCGACCAGCACCAGGACGAAGGGGTTACGTTCCTGCCAGGTTACTGTAAGAAGAGAAAAATCTCTTGTGTCATAAGGAAGATGCTGAGCTCACCTGTCCTTTGGCTAGATTTTTCCACTTCTCTCGGTTTTCTTTTTCTTCCTCGTAATCGCTCTTAAGACCATTGTAACTCTGTAGCAAGGACTGGAATTGCTGCAGTAGATTTTGAAGATTCTCATGATGCCTTTGGTCGTCGCGCACGGCAGTACCGATTTGGCCTTCCAAAGCGCGAATTTCAGCTTCGCTCAACATTTTCTCTGCCGTCTGAGAAAAGTTAAGCGATATCTGGCGAAACTGTCAAGGCCAGTTCACGGGCAATTTGATTTCCCTTAGCGCGTTGGTCCTTCACCATCTAGAAGGTTGAAGAATTGAGGAGAATGCTGAAAGAGAAAGGCATAGGTGAGCAGTGAGTCTTATGAAGGAAGAATTATGCAACTTTCTGGGCCCAATTTGACTGATAACAACATTGGGTTGGTGTTGGCAGCAGGTTCCCATTGATATTGCTTGGCTGCAAAAACATAAGGCAGTTAGCCGAACGGAGACTACCAGAAAGTTTGTGCTTTGTGGGGCGGAGGCCCACTGGGTGACTGGCCTGAGTCTGTTGACCAGTTGCCAACTCTGGTATTAGTATGGTCCATTTGTTCATCAGATGCAAAATGGCTTTATCAGAGTTCAGCCCCACAGAGTGGACTGGACCATGTAAGCAGGAAAAGGGCATTTAAAAATTTAAAAACGAAAAGAATAGCATGTCCTGGTTTCGATCCAGGGACCTCCGGGTTATGAGCCCGGCGCTCTTCCCCTGAGCTAACATGCTTGGGATTGATGAGAAAAAGAGTTCTAAATAACCATATAAACCAGCACAAATAAAAAGAAAACCCGATGTGTATGACGAGACCAAGTACAGAGTGTCATCGCATGAATTGAATCGGTCTGTGAGGGTATGTAATAATTGGCGTCAAGAATAAGCAGCCTCTTCCGCTTCGTAGTATAATCTCCACTCTACGATAAATCTCACTTGCTGTTGGGGTGGCATGAAGTGATTGCCTAAGGCAAGGAAACAATCCCTCAGATATTTATGTATGCGGATGTTGTCATCGGAACACAGTAGGGCGCCGACAACATTACAACAGCAACCTGCTTTATCGACCAGCAGATACAATCTATGACGTGTCAAAAAAGGGCCCAATTCAGCAAGATTCTCCACTGGCTTTTTAATTGTTGTTGTATCTCAGTCAGCCGGAACATGGACCTCATGAGCATCACCGGCGAGCAGACCGTCGAAAAACCCAGCACAGAACACGAGATCCGATCAAGAAGTCTTTTTCTCTCGTGATGTCTCCCTCTTGATCACCCCAGTCTCATAAATAATCAACTCATCGCGCTCCCACATCAACTCGACTGCAGCCCCCACCGGCCCGACCAGAGTGACCAACAACACGGTCTTCTTTAGCAGATTAAGCCATCCAACCTTGCCATAAACGACCAGATGAGCAGTCTTGTACAAACTCAAGGTCCAAACCAGCACGCCCGCGGAGCCAATCAGATAATCCCAACGCAGGAACACATGTACACCCTCCCCGATATCGCTCACCTGCAATGTTGGCTTTGTCCAGGGCAACGCAATCTCGAACACCTTGAACGGATGCAAAGCAGCCAACGGCCGCTTCTCAAAAATGACGGGCGCAAGTACAGTAGCCATCGACACGATCCAGGAGATGAGGTGGGTCAAGGCAGCGTTGGCGAATGCAAAGGCATACACGAATCGCAGCGACCGGAGATTCGCGCGTCCACCTTCAACAGATTGATCATTGGTCACAAAGGGACCGAAGACAAAGTTGATTACGGTGAGAGAAATCGCAACGTATGCAGGCCAGGGATGCCAGGAGGCAATAAAGATCTGCTTCATGTCGACGGTGACGTGCTCCGAAACAGGCAGGATCATCAGCAACGTAGGAAACATGAATCCAAGGATAAAGACCACAGGGATGGCATTCAGAACTGCGCGAGGAACGCGGATGTTCTCAGCATTGGGGTTGCGCGCGGTGGCGGAGCTGTATAGCTGGAAAGCGCAGTACAGGGGTGTGGCAAAGGCGAAGGTGAGTACCTGCGCTAGGAGGCCGAAAATCGTGGGACTGGTTCTTTCTGTCAGCTTCTTCTGTCATAGATGGGACTGAGGGTTACAGACAATGCAGCGATCGTCCAGGCATTTCCGCGTCTCCAGGACTCCAGAGTCACGAGCGTCCAGGCAGCACCAAAGCTGCCGGAGAAGGCGATGGAATGCAGCGTCAGGGTAGGATTACTACCATCCGTGGCAGGCCAGAAAAAGGTGGTCAACGCAGCCAGCACAGTATCCACCTGCGCAACACCCGTATAGACGGCGCGCAGAGGCTCATTGGTGCCTGGAAGTGTCTTTGCAGAGATGGCTTCCTGTGCCAGACGATTCAAGCCATTGATTTCGGCGAAGTAGAAGATGGCGTAGAGGGCGAACACGCTGAGCAGGGGAAGGACTAGCTTAGCTGTCATCTTGCTCGCAATTGATGTTCTGCTACGCAAGGCGACCAGCATACGAGTGGAACCTAATAGAACGTTGACATTGACATATTTATAATCGATACTCGAGATCTCGATCTTACTTTCGGAGTTCGGTTGACGGCGGCATGGATGCACCCAACATATTTTCTGAATTGGCAAGCCTTGCGAATTCTGTGGAGGAATGACGGGTCACCAGCCAATGTTTGGTTTTCAGGTGTTCATGTCGGCTGCAATAGATCTCCGAGCTCTATACCGAGGTAGTGGTGATCAATCACAATCTCGGTCGCAAAGGAATATGGTCAGTGCACATCATCAACGATTCACATGGTGATAGATTCGCAAATGTTCAAAATGGCTCGATTAACAATGGCTGGCCTATTGTCCTAGAAGACCGTAAATGGTACCTTTGGCGGCCCCGATGAGCACCTTTACTGCACGCGTAAACCGTCAATCGATGGTTGATGCAGCTTCGTTGAGATTTGCTCTTGTGCCGGTGATTTTCTGTCAAAAAATAATGGCATGGACATTGTGCGATCCCACAGCTGGCTTTGTCAATTGCTGAATAAGTTTAACACCAGCCAAATGTCACGAGCGTCATAGAGAGAATGACCCGTCGTGGGCTCGGAGGATCGATGCATGGTGAGACATTGGCTGAAAGGCGAGCTCGAGTTGAACTATCTCTTAACCCTGGATCGGACTGCTGGATGGTATGTAATGGGTGATTACCACTAATGGATCATAGGGAGCTTAATTCATTTTTCATGTTGACATTGCCAGAGCATTAGCACTATTTGATGAGCATTGTGAACTGGATCAGTCGCTATATCGCATGAATCAATATGAAAAAGCAAGGTAGATATGTGCTTCATACACCAACGCAGGTGATTCCAAACGGTCTTCGGAATCCAGTCCATTCTGAAAGTGGTTATCTCATATGAAGCGAGCCAAGTGCTTCTCCAACCGTCGCGTTGGACAGATTTGCAGATTTCAGCCTGAATGCAAACACTCCGGTTGATATCAGGCTATATAAAGAATTATGGCAGCGTTGAGTGCATTATAATTTTCATGAAGAGGTTCTCTCGCACAGGAAGATATTCGACGATGGAGTCTTTCCCGGAACCTAATCCAGTCAAGAAACTCACCATTGCTGAATATCTTCAAATTGCCGTGACCGTTTGTTTTCGAGTGCCATGGACCGTCTTGACTACTCTCTTGCGGCGCTGGGCGCCCTGGTCTACTTATCATCCGCCCCCGCTTAGGGAACACGTCTTCCGGCATGTCATGACCTGGTGTGTACCCATCAAAACCAATCCTTGACCGTGCGTCTTCTGTATCAATGAATATTCATACGGTGTCAACTCTCTCGTAGCCTGGGAAACAACACACCCGGATCGCTCTGGGACAACGTCGCCGATCGAACCGGCCAGAACCTGCTCACCTCGAATCGCTACGGGCATCTCAAACGCCAGATCTACCAGAGCGTACGCAGAGCAGACTTCTGCGGCTTCTGGCTTTGCCGTGGACTGTCAGCCGAAGCGATCCACCCCCGCGATGCCGATCTGGTGCTCTTCCACTGCCACGGCGGCGGATACGTGAGCTTCCACCCGTCTGTCGGAGCGCCAGAACACCTCTTCATGGCGGAGCTTCTCCAACGACATGGGCTCACGGTAGCCATCTTCTCCCTGGACTACACCCTCGCCCCAGCAGCGACGTTCCCGAAACAACGCGACGAAGCGATTGCCGCCTACGACTGGATCAACAAGGAACTAGGCGTGGACGCATCCAAAATCGTGGTCATCGGCGATTCCGCCGGGGGCCATCTGATCGTGTCTCTTCTGACAGGTCTTCACCAACGCTATCGCAGAGCCAACGATGGACACAGCGCCGATCACCCGCCAGACCGACCCGCCGGAGCAATCCTGGTCAGCCCCTGGTTGAATCTACACACATCACATCCGCGCGCGCTCGCGCTCCACTGGGAGGAGCGGCTCTTCAAACGCTCGCTAGACAAATGCTGCGAGCAGGTGATGCGGGACGCCCCCGCCGACATCGCCGAAGCGTACAGCAACTCCGCAGTCGACGTGGCAGCGCGCGGATCCTGGAAGGAGATCCTCCCCGACCACACGTGGGTCTCGGCCGGAACAGAGGAGCTGGTATTCCTGTACGACATTGAGGATTTTGTGGCGCATGCGCAGCGCGACGGGGCGGCAGTCGCGCTGGAGGTGACTGACGGCAAGAATCATACGTGGCAGTGCTCCGAGGCACTCGGGCAGCATCTGAGATTACTGGCGATGCAGCCCGGGGAGGATGACGAGGGGCTGATGGGGGGTTATCGACGGATAGCGGAGGAGATTCTGAGGCTTGTCGATCGATGACTGTGTGGCTGGGACGACTTGATTAGATGAAGCGCGTGGCATGATGGAATGAAGGGAGATTTGTTTCATTGGTGGAGGGGACGGCTCATCTGCAGAGTGATATCATTATCAGATCCAGTTTTGTAGATGATAATGCCTCTGTTATTGACGGACTATATAAGGTCCACAACGTATGGACTTTTCTCTTTGCAATCCAGACATCCAAACCACTAGTTGTTTTCTGGAAGAATCGGATCAGTCATCTACAACCCATCAAAATGCCTGCTGTTATGGCAAGTCTAACAACTGCTCCAAGCGAGACCTATCTTCTAACGCAGCTATGGTAATCATAGATCACCCTAAACTCAAGTGCGACCGACGAGCAAATCAAACAGTAAGTGTCGCTGTCAACCTAGCAAAGTCATGCACTGACAACCCCAGGGTGAAGGACAGCATCACCTCAAGCGGCGGCAGCATCAAGTCAGACTTTGAACTGGTCAAGGGCTTCACGTTCGTCTACCCGTCCTCAGACACTGGATCGCACTAACGAGGTCATTCCAGTGCTGAGGTTCCAGAGGGGATGGTGGGCGTCTTGTCGAACCATGATTTTATCGAAAATGTAGAGGAGGACGCGAACGTGAGCACCCAGCGATAGATATAGATACCTTCTGTACGATATAAGATACGACTGTATACACCTTCCATGAGATAGACGCATCCATCATGGCTGGTACGCGTCCAATGCCGCATACACAGCCTTGACATATGCCTCTCCGCGTGGATTCCCCATCGTCCCAGAACCCATCTTATTCAACGTATACGTAACCGTCACCTTGCGATCGTGATCCATGATCGCAAGGGACCCGCCCCAGCCTCCCCAGAAGCACACTTTTCCTTGCGGCATCCACTCCAACGCCTTGTTCTCCGGCACCGGCAGCCCCATGCCCATGCCAAACCGGAGAAAGAACCCGAGCACCAGATCCACCCCGCTGACCTGTTCCTGGAAGATCAGATCGATTGTCTGGGGAGAAAGGAACCGCTTCCCGTTCACGCTCCCGCCCAGCGTAACCATCGAGGCAATCCGGTTGACCGCACGCGCATTGCCGAATCCGCCCGACGCACCCTGCTCCGCGCGCCGGAACTCAGGCGTCATGCTCGCCGTCGCGTCGGCGAGGATCCCTCGGAATGCGCGCGCAGCGATACTCTGCGGATCGAAGGCGGGCATGTTCTCAGGTGGAGGCGGGGGCACGATGTCCGCCGTGCGCGGCCAGTCCTTCTCTGCGACGCCGAGCTGGAAATCCGCGTTGAGCGGGGTCGCAAGCTCGTCGCGGATGAACTGCGTCAGTGACTTGCCCGAGACGCGCCGCACGAGCTCGCCGACTAGGTAGCCCTGGGACGTGAGGTGGTATCCCGACGCGGTACCGGGCGTCCACCATGGTTGTTGCTGGATGAGTTTCTCCGTGGCCAGGGGGGTGTTGTAGTATTCTTCGCGGGACAACGGGGGATCCCAGGCGGGCAGGCCGGCGGTATGGCTGAGGAGATGGCGGACCTCGATGTCCTGCTTGCCGTTCGCGGCGAATTCGGGCCAGTACTGGGCGACTTTGGCGTAGGGGTCGAGCTGGCCGCGGTCGATGAGGAGGAGTGCGGAGAGGTTGGTGATGACCTTGGAGACGGACCAGACGGGCGTGATGGTGTCTCTGGTCCAGGGCTTTGTGCGCGCAGTGTCGGCGTAGCCGCCCCAGAGATCGACGACGGTCTCGCCGTTGATGTTCACGCAGATGTCGGCACCGAGTTCCTCGCCGGAAGCGAGGTTCTCCTCAAAGATGGCTTTGAGGGAGGAGAAGGCAGGATGGCAAGTGCCTTGGACTAGTGCCATTGTGATTTGAATGAAGATGAGGCAGAGAAATCTCACCATGCGGGGTAGCTGTTGCTGTTGGCCACGTTTAGACTCATTCCATTCCTCGGCAAGTAGATATTAGGCTGACATGATGAGTCTAGTGCGCCTTCACCTGAGTCATGACTCAGTATTTAGTGCTTATGCCCTACTAAGCATGGGTATACAGAACTAAATCTGATGGATGGGTCATGATTCGTGATATTCGATCCTTGCCGACGGAATCAGCTAGGACTTAGAGACGAGAAAGAATATGAAACGCATAGAGCGCCGATTGAAGAAGACTGTAGCTGAGGAAACAAGAGGTAGCCTTGCCAATGAGTTAGTATCAACATTCATAAATAATACTGAGAGCGTGGTTCATGATGCTGCAACACCCAAGGTCGGCTTGGATGACATCATGTATCATGAACCTCAACATTGCTTTCGCACTTGATCTCTTTACAAACCAACATTGAAACAAATGCCGATTCAGTCGCATCTACTTTCTGAAGCCAATCAAACATGACAGCTGAAGTGTGGATAAGCATTCCGAGCCGCTGTAATCAACCATGGATGCTCCGGCGTCGATGACATCAAGTCTCAAAGTGACCGAAACACCTTGATCGCGATGTAGACCTTCTTAAATCCCGCATTGTGCACATAATTCGCAAGCTGCGCAGCTGTATAAAATGTCATCTCCCAATGTAAGAGCCGGTAGCCTCTCATCCGGAACCTCCGACCTGGAAGAGGCTCCTACCTTCGAGGATGTTCGCGCGGAGCCTCTCAGTCGGCGTCAGACAAATATCGATCTCGCTCGAGTAGAAAGTCTTCGTCTGACACAAAGATCAACGGTCGGCTCCTCTGCAGGACCAGCACCTCGAGAAGAATGGCTTCCATTTGGCGACGGGAAGGACTATCCTCCCCTACTACCCGACCCGGAGAAGTACGTTGTTGGATTTACCGGAGTAGATGACCCAATGCACCCGCATAACTGGTCGATGTCTAAAAAGTAAGTTGGCATGAGACTCAGTCGGACTGCGGCGCTGATGGCTGCTTGCCAAATGAAGGGTGCTCCTGTCCGTCATCCTAGCCTACATCACCTTCACCGCATCGTTTGCCAGCGCCATCTTCTCGTCCGCCATCGGCGCCATCGCGGCGAAGTTTAGCATCAGCACAGAAGTTGCCACGTTAGGGGTCACTCTTTATGTGCTTGGATTCGCCGCAGGGCCAACAATATGGGCTCCTGCCTCAGAGCTGATCGGTCGACGGTGGCCGATCACGATAGGAATGCTCGGATATAGTATCTTCACCATTGGGACTGCAACGGCAAAAGACGCGCAGACCCTTTTCATCACTCGCTTCTTTGCTGGGCTCTTCTCCGCCAGTCCCTTTGCCATCGTGCCGGCTGCCTTTGCTGACATGTACAACAATAGTCAGAGAGGTATAGCGATTGCCATGTTTGCAATGGCCGTCTTCGTTGGCCCCTTCGCATCCCCTTTCACTGGAGGTTTCATCACAATGAGTTACCTGGGTTGGCGATGGACCATGTACATTTCCGCCATCATGGGGTTCTTCGGAGTCGTCCTCCTGATCTTCTTCTACAAGGAAACATATGCTCCGGTGGTTCTGATGGAGAAGGCAGCCACTCTGAGACGTCAGACTCACAACTGGGGAATCCACGCAAAGCAGGACGAGGTCGAGCTTGACCTTAACGACCTGCTCACGAACAACTTCAGCCGGCCGATTCGCATGCTTCTGACCGAGCCCATCGTGTTGCTCATCACAATCTACATGTCTTTCATATACGGAATCCTGTATGCACTGCTCGGAGCCTATCCGGTCGTGTTCCAACGCACCCACAGACTGAACCTGGGCGTGGGTGGCCTGCCGTTCATCGGCCTGATCGTGGGCGAGTTCGCTGGCGGAATCTATTCCTTGATCGACGCCAAGTATTATGTGCGCAAACTGCGCAATAACAACGACGTTCCAATTCCAGAGTGGCGACTACCACCGGCCATCGTCGGCGGTATCGCCTTCACAATCGGCTTGTTCTGGTTCGGCTGGACGGGCTGGACACGCTCGATCCACTGGATGGCTCCCACGGCTTCCGGGCTATGCACCGGTTTCGGAATTTATGTCATCTTCCTGCAGTGCTTTAACTATTTGATCGACTCGTATCTTCAATTGTGAGTACGGATTCGCTGCGCCTGATTCGCGTGCTAACGTGTACCCAGTGCGGCATCGGTCTTCGCTGCCAACACCATCCTTCGATCAGCTGTTGGCGCTGGTTTTCCCCTCTTTTCTCGCCAGCTCTTCACGAACCTTGGAGTGCAATGGGCTGGAACGTTATTGGGGTGCTTGGCGTTCATCATGATTCCCATTCCGCTGGCTTTCATCAAGTTCGGTCCCAGTCTAAGGCGGCGTAGCCGGTTTGCTCCATCGCCAGCGGTGTTTGAAGAGAAATCGGGGTAGTTCTGAAACAAGAGGGGATCCTTGAATTGGGAAGAAGGGAAGGTGATTGCAAGAGCATCATGAATGCACAGGCAGCTGGTCGGACAGCTCTACAACGACAAACAAGATAATAAACAGAACAAACAAGACAAACAGAAAAGCAGACTAACCATCTCAGCTGACCATCTCAAGCATGCTTTGATCCGCAAGGCAAGACAATAAATGATAACGGATCCAGGAGGCAGACACTCTGATCATCAGGGCTAGCACCGGGTTGACTGGATTGGATTTGGATTGTCTATACGTCCCTGGCCCCGTTTAAGCTTACTTCCTGCTTACCTCCCGGCTTTAAGCTGTACTTCCCCTGCTTTTATCGCCGTAGGCTTACATTGGTTGCATGACGTCTTCGGATTTAGAGACTGTGAATCAGGTTGGTGGTATTATTTACAGCATCTGGCCAGCCGCCATGCTACGCTCCTTGTCCTCCTCGCCGCTTTGACCAACAGCGTGGAACAAACGGTCTTAATTCGCACCTCCAATGCAGACGTGCTTTTCGCTGGATTATCATGGTGCATGATGGTCGCCGCGAGTTCCCAAAAGGGAAACCAATATCTGATTGGCTAGACGGACGCTAGACACTAGCACCGGCGTTCAGTGGCTGATGAGACCAGCTTCAGGGCGTCCCAGTCGTGGCTGTGGTATCATGATGGCCCTGAGCCTGAGATTGCTGAGACAGAGTCAATAAGACAAGGGCCAACATGTACTGATGAATATATAAAAGGGACTAAGAGGCCCTCCCTTGGTGAAGAGTCTGTACCTCCTGTTTATTATTATTGTTGTGTCATCGAGAATTCATAGCTTTTATCCAATTCCAGCTGTTCCATTAAAGCTTGCATACCTATACCTATAAGATGGTGATGCTCCGATTGACTGCTGAGTAGTACCAGAAGCTGCCGATTCTGGTAGATGAGAAGACATGCATTGGCAAGACCTATGTCATCACCGGCGGCAACTCTGGCCTGGGCCTCGAGACGGCACGGCACCTTGTTGCGGCGTCGGCCGAGTGCGTCGTGCTGGCCGTGCGGAACCTTAAGTCGGGAGAAGTTGCCAAGAATGATATTGAGAAGACGACCGGCCGCAAGGGAGTTGTTCAGGTACGTCTGCTGCAAGGTATCCAGGACTAACAAAGATTGACCTCTATATACAGGTACGGCATATAGACATGTCGACCTACGCTTCTGTTCAGAGCTTCGTGGAGATGATTACGGACGAGCTCGACAGGATCGACGACTTCGTCTGCAATGCAGGCATCATGAATCGACGCGTGGTCGCAGTCTGAAGGCATAGGGACGAGCATGTTTGTCAACGTCATCAGCACCGTGTTTCTCGGCGCGCTCATGATGCAAAGACTGTGCCAGCAAGTACAGCAAGTACGACATCAAGCCCACTCTCGTCTTCATTGTCAGTGTCCTTGGGTACACCGCCAAGGGCGAGATGGACAAGAGCCGCAATGGCGTCATCTTTCACGGGCTCAACGACCAGAAGCGGGCGAATATGGAGTCGAGGTGAGATTTCCACTCCCTTACCATCTTCTAGCTTTGCAACTGACATGGTCAAAGATACGCCCTCACCAAGCTCGTGGAAGAGTGCGCCGTCCGCCAGTTCGCAGCCCTCTGCCCCGTCGAGCGCACAGGCGTCGTCATCACCATGGTTGCGCCTGGTCTCTGCACCACCGGCCTCGGCCGCGACGCCCGGACCTTCACCAAGATCATGCACGAGGCGCTCCGGGCCATGATGGCGCGAACCGCAGAGGAGGGCAGCCGCACCATCCTACACGGGCTGCTGGTGGGCGAGGAGGGCCACGGCAAGCTGTTGTCCGGCTGCAAGATCAAGGAGTGCTGGGTGCCCACGTGGCTCACCAACGAGGAGGGCCAGAAGCTGCAGAAGGGCATCTGGGACGAGCTCGTTTCCAGGCTGGAGACTGTGCAGCCCGGCTGTATCTCACAGCTCAAGTAGAACTTTTGTAACATCGTCCCGAGCTGTACACAAGAACCGTCACGCCACTATGCGGGCATCTAATGGAACACGACAGAACATCAATGATTAGCCAACATGAGAATGCCGCATTTCCAAGCGACCCAGAAGAATGTTATAGTAATATTAATGTCCGCTTTCATTATGATTCCTGTGATGGCATATTCCATGGAATCTTTCTGCTAGTCGTACATCCTTCCATAGGCGGTAGCCTGGGGCTTCGTGCAACGCGAAGATCCAAGGAATCTGACTCAGCTGCCGCTGAATGACAACCCAGCTGTCTAGCTCCAGCCTCTCACAAGTGTCGGCAATTAATGGCGATAGCCACCGACAGTCTTTAATATTCACCACCGATATCCCACTTATAAAAAGAATCCATAAGAGTAATGATGAATCAGAGTCCGAAGACTCCGATGCTGTGACGCAAAGGTCTTGCATGGCCCTTCCCAGACGATCAGAAAGAAGGGGGCAGCTAGATCCATCCCGAGTGTATTCGAGTAGCAATGTCGTCATAAATGCCAGCATCGCAAGGTAGGTCACGTCGCCATAATGTCCTCCGGGCTCGGTAGACGCTCGACCTAGAGACGAGACCTCTACGAGGCGATAAAGGAGCGACACAAGTGTCTCCGTATAGTCTAGAGGGTCAAGCTTCAGTCCTTGCCTCCTCTCTACATCGTTTAGCAGCCTTGAGAAGCTGAACAGATCGAGCATGATGAGTGGCATCCACGGGAAAGCTCCGGGAGACTGGCCGCTGCTGACGTCGGGTTCGCATAGGACCGGGTGAACGGGCACTTCATCGCCGCGAAACAGAGTGCGTGTGCCATTTTGCATTGCTAATTCGACATCAAGCCTATAATCTAACTGTTAACTTCATCCAGAAGCGAAGAATGCTAAAGTGAGGCAAAATGAAGGCAAGTCGCGAAAGCAGGCACTTTCACGTACCTCAACGGCTTCAGTGCCAGGGCATGATTCTCTTGCATCAGCCTAGCGATCCCACCTCGCAGCTGAATCATGCGATAGAGCCCGTGGAGATGGACCAGACCCGTTGCAGGCTGACCACAGCAGCTATGGCGCTGTCAGAAACGGAAAAGGGACCTGAGAGTTTAATGTTGACCAAAGCATACGCCTGTGAGATGTGGTGAAGAGTTTTGGGAGATATTGCTGGTTTCCGCTGGAAGAAGTTAACGTAAGAAGAGGATATAGCCAAGGTGCTATGAAAATCTGCATTTCTGGTGGTCAACGGTTCTGCATGGACCGGCTGACGATGCTGTCACTCACATGCTTCATCTGCTAGAATGTAGTTGACCCAGATCGACTTTATAATGTCGAACTTGGCACAGAACTGCGGCGGAAACAGCGCATCGCTAATGTCAAAGAACCCCGTGATTCCACGTCAGACACAAGGGCGTGGATGACTAGCGGAATAATGAAGGCAGCATACACCGATGCATGAGCGCCGTGGACTCGGAGTCGAGCTCTTGAGGAAAGGAAGTGAGACACAGGTCGCCCCAGAGCACCTGTCGCGGCATCACATATCCAGATCCTGGAGCATACAAGAGGTGCTTGAGCTCTGCGACAATCTTCTGTTTCTTGGTGGACCGGCGCTGCTTGCCCGCATTCTTGCCTCGCATAACGTGGGAGCGGATGATGCGCCTGTCAGAGCTGCCTATCCCGCTCGGGCTCTGGCTAATAAACTGCAGTGCCATGATGACGGTGATAGTTTCATGCTATACTCGCAGCAGGCCAGGCCATCCAGCGGGTCCCTTCTTTCGAGGCTCCGATAGCGCATATCATGGAGGAAGCGCTGTTGGTTGACGATGATGACACTGGCAATTTGCTAGCCTCAGCTGATATCCCCGCCTCATTGTGGAATCTGTCGAGCGAATCGTTGCATTAGTTAGCTAACTACGCGGCACTAGCGCGACTATGCCTGAGAGCAAAGAGTTGGATGAAGACCCTGGCATCTAGATACAGCAACAAGCAAGATCACGTGTGTAAACAGAACAAACAAGACAAACATCCAAAAAGTATACTATGCTCCATGACTAACAGCTTGTCCATTTGAAGGGCCTCTTTAACTCATGCTCTCCACTGTGAGTCGACAATAATAATAAAATAATATGATAAACCGTGAGCTGTCAGAGTGAAACCTTATCAACTGCTGATAACCCCAGCGATCTTGAGATAGGAGATCGGAGCGATACGAGAACAACGCCATGGACGTCAGTCAAGCACGGGACCTTGTGCAATTCCCTCGGTGATATCCGCTAGACCAAGCTCCATTGTTGCGTTTGCAGTCATAGAACCTAGCTACATACGCACCTCAGCCTCGAACCATTGTATTTCCAGATATTTTTCGCCATCAACGCCATCGTGACCCCGAGATATCCGTTCAACCAATGTCCTTTGGCCCTTCTGATTCGACTCCGCCGAAACCAACGTCTCGATCGGCAATTACCACACAGAAACAGAGGCCTCCCACTGGACAGAACCACGGATTGCCAAGGACTGCCAAGCTGTTGACCTCAAGAGATAAGCCGTTGATCGAATCAGATTCTTCCGGTCGAGAAATTTTTTTTCTCCATTTCTTTCCCGATTTCTTATCGGTCGCGTGGTTGGTCATGCATGTCATGGAGGGATCTGGAATAATAAAAGTCGCATCGCGTCTCCAAACTGTGCACGGGTTTCTCCCTCCGTGACTTTCTGTCTGACTTCAGGCTGGTGCCTCGTTCTCATTTTTCCCTCTCTCATTTACTGTCGCATCATGGGGATCACTCAGGCGGTGCACAGAATCAATCTCCGGGTGGCTCAAAGCCCTGTTGGGCGATGGTTTCGCCTGGAGAATTCAGGACATGTTAGTATACTTCTACCTCTCCTTGCGGAGGGTTAGGTTCAAGAGCTCAGAAGAAAAGCTTACGGATGAGACAGCCGAAAGAACGCAAAGGCAGCTACTTCTTCACCGAACTTCGCGCCGGTCTCGCTACCTTTTTCGCTATGGCCTACATCATCAGTGTCAATTCCAACATCACCTCCGAGTCGGGCGGCACTTGTGTTTGCCCTCCCGAAAGCCAGGCCGATCTCTGTAACAGCAACACCGAATACCTGATGTGTGTCCAGGAAATCAAGCGCGACCTCGTCACTGCCACGGCTGCCATCGCCGCATTGTCTACATTTTGCATGGGTCTCTTCTCTAACTTGCCTGTCGCCCTGGCCCCCGGTATGGGTCTCAATGCCTATTTCGCGTACACTGTCGTGGGCTACCACGGCTCCGGCATGATTCCGTATAGACTTGCTCTCACCGCCGTCTTTGTCGAGGGTTTCGTCTTCCTGGGCTTGACTCTGCTCGGTATCCGACAATGGTTGGCGCGTGCATTGCCAGCCTCGATCAAGCTCGCCACGGGCACCGGTATCGGTCTATACCTCACTCTTATCGGATTGAGCTACAGCGCAGGTATTGGCTTGGTAACGGGTTCTACCGAAACCCCGTTGGAATTGGCAGGCTGCATCTCCTCTCTGCGTGATCCGACGACTGGCATGTGTCCCAGCGATGCTAAGATGCGTAACCCGACCATGTGGGTGGGCATATTTTGCGGTGGTGTGTTCACTGCGCTGCTGATGCTGTATCGGATCAAGGGTGCGGTGATCATTGGTATCTTGCTAGTTTCTATCATTTCCTGGCCGCGACCCACGCCAGTCACCTACTTCCCTCATACGGAGCTGGGTGACAGCATGTTTGATTTCTTCAAGAAGGTGGTGACCTTCCATCCCATCAAGCATACCCTGGTTGCTCAAGACTGGAGTCTTTCAGGCCATGGTGGGCAGTTTGGATTGGCCTTTATCACGTTCCTGGTAAGTCCGCGTTCTGAAATTCTGCGCCATCTTTGACTGATCAGCGTTGTAGTATGTTGATATTCTTGACACCACCGGTACTCTCTACTCTATGGCCCGGTTTGCTGGAACCATCGATGAACGCACTCAGGATTTCGAGGGTAGTGCCCTTGCCTATGTATGTTTCTCTCCACTCCAGTGTGTTTTTAAATCGATCTGACGACTGTCCCCAGATGGTCGACGCAATCAGTATCTCTATCGGTTCTCTCTTTGGCTCGCCCCCTGTGACGGCATTTATCGAAAGTGGTGCCGGTATCTCTGAGGGCGGAAGAACAGGTCTTACCTCCTGCGTGACAGGTATCTGCTTCTTCATCGCCGTCTTTTTCGCCCCGATCTTCGCATCTATCCCTCCCTGGGCTACCGGCTGCACGCTGGTGATTGTCGGCGCCCTGATGTGCAAGGCAGCCGCCGACATCAACTGGCGCTACTACGGCGACGCCATTCCCGCCTTCCTGACCATCGCCATCATGCCCTTCACCTACTCCATTGCCTATGGTCTGATTGCCGGTATTCTGAGTTACGTCCTCATCAATGCGACAGCCTGGCTGGTTGAGAAGGGCTCCGTCGGTCGCGTGGTGCCTCCAAACAAGGACGAGTCGGACCCATGGTCGTATAAGGTTCCCGGAGGAATTCTCCCTCCCTGGCTGCGACGGGCCGCTCGGGGCAAGAAGGACTTTTGGCGCGAGGATGAGGAGGAATCGGTGAATATGGGGGTCGTGCCTGATGGATCCGTCTCTTCGCATGACCGGCCGGAGGGAGAGAAGAGTCGAGTGGATGTTGGGAACAAAAGCCTTTGATCTACAGCCTTGGTATAGTATAGCATAATGTAGTATTTCACACCACACCTAGGTAGTTGTGCATCTCGAGCTGATAACTCGGGTGCCATATTAGTCCATAAAGAAAAGAATAAACAATCATGCCTTTACTTGCGATATAGAGAGGATCCATTTCATCTCCTGGATCCCGATATCCTGACATGATAACCTTGATCATCTACCTGCATGATACTTACTGTAAGGTGCCGAGGGCTAGACCAGAGCTTGGCTTCGGCGATCTGCAGGATCCCGTCAAGTGTATGACAGACTCACACCGCAAGTTACCTTAATAATACCTTAGCTACCAAGTAACGGAAGAATACCACTATATATCACTTTCCAATAATTCATGCCGCAAAAATATTCAGTTCGTGATTACAATACAATACTGCGGAGAAGCATGAACAGCTCCATCCGCCAATAAGATGGGACGATTTACGTGGAACAGTTCAAGCATGGCGTAATTAATACCAGCACTGTCACGGCATTTGAGGTTTCTTACAGGTCTGGTTCGGGGTTGAGCGCATCAAGTTCCCCTTCACTTTTGGCCCCTTCTGTCATGTTAGCACTAAAGCCGATTGCCCTCCCCTTGTTCTACTTGATCTTTTCCACCTCCTCCCACTTATTGGCTCTTCATTGATTCCAAATACCCGGAATGGCCTGAGTCCACAGTAATACCCCACCCATGGCCGAGTCCAAACCGTCTCCAGCCCCGCCTGGTGGCTCTGGTACAAATGAAGCTCAGCAAAAGCGGAAAAATGTCGGCACAGCGTGCTCGGCCTGCAAAACGCGCAAGCTCAAGGTGTGTTAAGTTGTCAGCTGCTCTGTGACTCGGGAAAGCGCTATCATTGACCCGGAGTTCAGTGCTCAGGAACCTCCCCATGCACCAACTGTATCAAGACCAACGTCGAATGTACCTTCGATGCCAGCGCCGATAAACGCCGCCGCGGCGCTCTAAAGCGCAAGGTCACCCAGCTCGAAGAGAAAGAGGATCTCCTGATCCAGCTCGTCAGCACCCTCCGCGAGAGCGGCACCCGGCGCACCATCCAGCTCCTCAACCTCATTCGCAGCAATGCCTCACTGGCCGAAATCCAGCTCTACATAGACACGCAGCTGAAGTCCGAGCTGGAACAGACTCCGGAGCTGATCGAAGTGTGCAATGAGATACAACGGTTCGAGCAGATGGGGTCGCGGTCGCGGCGTCGTATTCTCGACGCGCAGAGGGCTTCCGTGGAGCCCTTGTTTCGCGTGCCGGCGGCCCCGTGGACGACCGTCACCGAGGATGACGACCATGTATCGCATTTGATTTCGCTGTGGTTTACTTGGGTTCATCCGTTCTACAACTGGATCGATCGGGAGTTGTTTCTGCGGGACATGCAGTCGGGGTCATTGGACTCGAAATTTTGTTCGCCATTTTTGGTGAATGCCATCCTGGCCGATGCGTTTGTAGGTAGTCCCGGTTCGACATCGTTGGACTCGCTGGTGACTGGTGACAGGCATACGCGGATAGTTTGGAGTCAGATGCTTCTTCGAGAGACGCGGCCGCCCAGGGTGCCCGCTTCTACAGCGAGGCAAAACGATTGCTAGACAAGGAAGAAGGCAGGATCACCCTTGCGACTGCCCAAGGGCTGGGAGTTTTATGGATATGGTATGTTTTAGTCGCTTGCTAGAGCCGGCCTCTGCTGAAGCACCCCAGCGCTTCCATGACCAGGAAAGATCGACATGGCTGGATTCATCAGAGCCAACTTGCGTATGCCGTTCAGGAACTATTTCCGAGCATCACTGCTCCCAAGAATGCCGACGGTGAGGCTCTTGACCTGGCCCGAGCGGCCAATATAACAATTTGGGGTTTGTTCAACATCGCGATGTACGCAATGCCGTGTCTTTTACCAGTGCCGGACGGCTAGAACCAGGGACGACTGACCAGTCCCTGGATCCAGGACCCACGCTGTATCGAGTAAGAAGGCGCCTTTGATTAAACCGCCGCGAAAGCTATGCCTCCCGCCGATCACCCATGACCTGGACGCCGACCTGTGGGTACCATATCCAACCGAGTCCGAAAAATTGCAAGCGCATACCCTCTGTACGTTCCGAGCCCTCTGTAGTCTGAATGAAATCGCCTACGATATTACCTACCCCCATTTCCAAGGGGAAGTCAGCTCGTCAGAGAAGGAAAAGACGGACGAATTGCAACGACGACTGCGAGAGTGGCAAAGCGACCTACCGCCGTGCCTGAAGGAAAGGGACGCTATTGAGGTTCCGCACGTCTTATGTCTTCAGTAAGCTTCTCGTCCCCGACGCGTACCGCTCGAGAGGAGTGAATGCTGACTATTTGCAGCATGTACCAGCACACGCTCATTATAACCGTCTACGAACTCTTATGCAAGAGTGAGCGGAATGGTTACTCGGACCACCGACTTTTCCACATGATGCCAGAGACCCACCAGGAGGCCTGCCTGTCATCTGCAAGGAGCATCTCTCAGCTGATGCGCCTTCACCGCTCCGCGTGGGGTGTTGAACGCATGCCACAAGGCAGCAGCCAGCCGATCAACATGGCCTTGCTGGTCTTACTCGAACGCCTGGATGTGCCCGAAAATCGGGATGCCTTCATTAACCTGAGCATAGCCGCGAAAGCTGCGTCTCGGCGATGGAGCTCGAGCAAAGCTGCTCTAGATAGGATTCGCACGCGGGCTATTATCCATGGCCTTCATCTGCCGACCGAGACAGATTCGTTATTTGCTGACTTTGCAAAGCAACCCAAAAATGAGGCCTCAGACGAGTCTCCATTCACCATGGCCGAAACGATCGATACCTCGGACGGCGAGGGTTCTGACTTGTGATGTATATCGGCTTTGCACTAATCAAGTCAAAGTCTTGTGAAATAGATATAGACTGCGCTGGCGTCGAGTTAGATTGTGCAGTTGTTTTTTACATAGCCAGTGCTCCTTTTGTCGGATGAGCTCTCAGGTACCTGATTGCGGAAGCATGGCAGGCGCGGGCGATTGCGGTGCTCTCAGCAGGCGATCTTGACGATATGAGATCTCGAACACTTTTGATGCTCCCCGACGATGAGGCCGGTCCGCAAGCTACTGACCTACGCATGGCTCCTGCTATAGTGCTGTGCTACTCTGGCCGGCGGCCCAGGCTGAGCCTCAATATGTGAGTTTTAACACTGAGGGTGCGGTTACCAAGCTACGGACATTTGGCACCCGGGCTTCTGTACATTAGCTTTGTACATTAGCAAGCAGCAGATTTGTCCCGCCTCAGTCTTGAAGAGTTAAAATTACCCAAGTGAAATGGAGCCAGAACATTTCATCGGCTTTGTCATCGCGAATCCGCACCATGAGTCTATTAATCATAATGACTAATAATATTTGGCCATTCCGGCATACAAGCGTACGCCAACACGTTGATCGTTATCATCACTTCATCAGTCATAAAAGAAACCCATCAGGCAACCGAGCTCGCGTCCTTTAGCGGCCTGAGACTTATACGGGGGTAATAGTGTGGGAAATAATGCCACGAGGCCCAGACCAGCATCGTCGCCAACGTGAGCGGCAGCGTGATAACCCAGTACAGCCAGAAATTCCCGGACATGATCCACGACTGCGCCCCATCATTGCCCGACAGATTGAAGAAGTTCGTCCCGAACAGACCCTACATTCTCAGCCATTTTCACTCAATCAAATTCATAACCGGGGCTTGCGTTGCACATACCGATATAAACGTCCCCGGCAAGTACACCATACTCACAATCGCCACCGTCTTCATCATCGCACCATCCTTCTGCGAAACCAGATTAAATGCCAGATTGATCTCGTTGCGTAACCGCTCACTAAGCGATTTCGACCGCGTCAGGAGCGAATGCAGCTGTTTCGCGACGTAGTGCGCCCGCTGCGCGGTGTGGATCCAGCCGCCGCGGGGTTTGGTTATCAGGGCTGCATGCTCGGCGCGGAAGCGCGCCTGCTCGTCGATTAGAGACTGCAGGGTGTGGATGGCGACCTCGAGGGTCTCGTTCGCGTGGAAGATGTGGCGGGCGATGTCGTGGAGGTTGGGGAAGTTGAGGGGGGGCGGGCGTGGTTTGTTGCGGGCCTAGCCTTTTAGCTCTGGTCATTCTATTCGGAAATTACTTTTTGCTTGGGATGGGCGGGGTACCTTCTCGATAGGCCGGACCAGATCCCGCAGAGACCAGATCGACTTGTCGTATTCTTGAACTACGCCTTGCGCGAACAGCGTGTGCCAGATGTATGGGTTGCCCCGCTGGTTTGGGGCGGGTCGATGCGCGGCGAGATACTCTGCCACGATGGTCGGTAGGTTCAGGAAGAAGACGAGTTGGCGGTTTTCTTGCGGGTGCCATTGGACGAAGACGGCTGTCTGGATCCAGGCGTATTCGCCTGGTTTGATGACGTGTTTGATCTTGAAGCAGGTCCAGGATACTATACTAGATCAGTATAGGAAGTTTAGCATGAGGGATGGACGGACAATGCTTGGTGACTTGTTCTTTATCGTCAATGTCATAGTCGCAGAAGAATGACCCGTTCAGGTCTGCCTTGATAACAGGGAAGAAGTCGGGAGGAAAAAAGACCTCTGGATTTTCTTGCTTTAGAACGGGCGAGTGTTTGATGCTTTCCTCGGAGTAATTGGCGTATCTGTTCGTCCGGTGTGAGATTATGCTAGCCAGAGCCGGAGAAGACGTACAATAGAACTATTGAAGATGGTTGACGTTGGTAATTCTCTAACTCCAGCCATAGATTCGCCTGTCGCGAGGTCCAGGTGTTCTCATCTAACAACGCTAAGTATTGTAGACAATTAGATCCGGCGGTTAAAGAACGTACCACTTTCCTCAACAACAGTCACTATATCCACTTTCTCATCGACATAATCATCCATTGTTGAATCTTTCACATCATTAAATGAAAGACAGAAGAGAAGAAAGGAGAAAGATGGACACTTCATCTTATAACTGTATGTGGTGGCTGTGACAGGACTAAATCTGCAGCGATACGCTGGCGGCCGTTGACCAACTGCAGCTTCAGCCTTGTTTGCAATTCTAGCCTTGGCCTCAGCCTTGCGATATCTGGTAGCCTACTCACTGACTCTGTCATACTCATGTAGACCGTACTTCCATAATTTATAGGAAGAGGATAACCCGTCTTAGCCTCCCTACAGCTCCCCATACTCCAACGGTTCAGAAATCTCAACTGAGTTATTCGCAATCACATAAAGATGTCCTGAGAATGTTTCCCTGGGACTGCAACGAATTTTCCAGGAGAGGTATTGTCCGAGTTCCTGCCGATCGCAGTTGATTGCCAGCCATATGATTCCAACCGATCTACCCTGACACGCAGCGTTGAAGGAAATGGATATCTCTGGATTAGCTAGAAAATAACAATGCAGTGTTTGAATGTGCTTCGACATCGGCGAGGGAAGAGGCAACTGGGAAAATGTTGTACTTTCAAGATGTGGATGTGCGATTTGTTTTCGTCTTGTTCTGGCGACTGGCTTAGTTGATATCGACCATTGGATGGGAATGGCATAGACCAAAGTGAGGAAGGAATATGCAAGTGACGCGCCAGCCTTGCCCGACACCTATTCCATTATACCTCACCTGACTTAGTAGGTGCTCATATATAAAGTCATCATAGACTTGCTTCAATAGTTGGTTTCTACCTCTGTATCATCCACGTCTGTCTGTAACACGCACACATCAGTGTACTGTGCACATTTGTTTCTGATCATCTCAATACATACACTCTTCTACAGAACAAATGGTTCTCGAGCTTCTCATACCCTACAGAGTCACATACCTAGTCACTAGGAATATGTTGCAAGCCTGTTCGCCGCTTTATACAGATTGTTCCTGAGACACTCAACGAAGCCCTAACTGTGAGTGCGGCACTCCTCCTTTACTCACTGCACAACAGCTTCGAACAGACTGAGATCGAAGAGTTTCTGCAAGAGATCCTTGAGACAATATCTGCCACTGCTCCTGTTCAGCATTTGCATCTGAGAGATCTCTACGCAGCAGCGGATGCATGCCGAAAAATGACGCAGGGACCATTTGGGAGTAAGTGACTGCATTAAAGAATGACAGTAGTTGACAACTGCTAATAATATACCAGTGAACAAGTTCTGTATCTATTGCAAAGGATCTGACGAGTTCAATGCACATGACGAAATATTGTCGAATGATGAGATTAGAGAGATCTGGGGAGCATCAAACAACCAAGCACGGCCAGAATTCTCCAGGCATACAAGACATAGAAAGCATCAACAAGTGCTGTCCATGCTTGATTATCAAAAGACCATCGATATCCTTGATTTGGTAATGAAGCCTCTAACCGAGTTTGAGGAGGTCCACCCGATCAGCTTGGGTTTCTGTCAGGGTACTTCGTATCCTGGTGATTGTTCAGCCGGACCTTGCAAACTATTTGCCAGTTGCAGCAATAGCTGCATTGGACCAGCCACCGACTTTCCCACACCTTGCAACAACGATAACACAGGACAGGAGAATTTCTCATCAAATATAAAGATGCGGGGATTAATCTCGCAGCCAAAACAAGTGTTATGCTTATCAGAACTCATCCATTCCTTCCGCATAGACCTTCCAAATCGCGCATAGCGTCACTCCTCACGTTGTGAGATGGTCAGGTGGAGTACGTTGCATGGACCTGCCGATCTTCTGCATTGTTTTCCGCATCTTATCTGCAGGTATTCAAGGGGCAATTGGTGCTAATGCAGACGTGGAGTTGGCTGGGGCAGCTGCTGAGCTGAATCGTAGTCTCCAGTCGGAGCTCCAAGGCCAGACATAAAGGCCGCATGCGCCCGCATTTCAGCGCTGGCTTTTCCTCAAGCATTGCGCTCCATCTCCTTGCTTCAACTTTGTCCTAACAATGCATCTTCAACTGGGTTTGGCTGCCATCGTGGGCTGCGCAGTTCAACCTGTCGCAGCTTACGTAGCTCAGCAGCCACGATCTCAAGAGGGAAAATGCCAAAAAACTACGGTTGCAATCTTGTAAATGCATCTCTTAGCTTTTTCGTATATTATTATTTGCTAATTCTCGCAGAGGAGCCGGAATGGCAGGAATCAAGGCTGCTGTATGTTGAACATGTGCCGGGATGCATCAAATCTGACCGTAGCAGCAAACTTTGTCCAATGCATCGATCCATGACTTTGTCATTCTAGAATACCGTGACACGATTGGAGGCCGCGCTTGGCACACGAATTTTGGCAAGGACGAAAATGGAGATCCTTATGTCGTGGAGATGGGTGCCAACTGGGTAGGTAGTTCCTCGTTTATGTCGAACCACTCTGACATTGAACAGATCCAAGGCATTGGGACCGCGGATGGGCCACAGAACCCTATTTGGACACTCGCCAAAGAGTTCAACCTCAAGAATACATTTGCCAACTATGACAACGTCTCCACTTATAATGAGAACGGATATGCCGACTACTCGCATCTGTTTGATGAGTATGATGCTGCCGACGAGATTGCCAATGCCGCGGCTGGCACGATCTTACTGGAGAATCTCCTGGACCAGACAGCTCGGACAGGCCTCGCTTTGGCTGGCTGGAAGCCCAAAAACACCGACATGGAGGCGCAGGCTGTTGAATGGTGGAACTGGGGTAAGTCTGGCCTGTCTTCAATAGGAATGAAACTAACAGTCGTAGACTTCGAGGATGCTTATACGCCACTCGAGAGCTCTCTGGTATTTGGCTACGCTGGGAGCAACCTGACCTGGAATGGCTTTAGCGACGAGGACAACTTTGTATGGGATCAGCGCGGATACAACACCATCATCAAGGGCATGGCATCGAAATTCCTAAAGGCAAACGACACACGGCTCCGTCTGAACACGCAGGTCACCAACGTTACTTATTCCGACAAAGGAGTGACGGTGTACAACAGTGATGGCACTTGCGTTCAAGCCCAATATGCCCTATGCACATTTTCCTTGGGTGTGCTGCAAAATGACGCCGTCACGTTCACGCCCGAGCTGCCCTACTGGAAGCAGACGGCTATTGAAAAATTTACCATGGGCACCTACACCAAGATCTTCCTTCAATTCAACGAGACCTTCTGGCCCTCGAACACACAATATTTCTTGTACGCGGACCCTAAGCTTCGTGGCTGGTATCCCATCTGGCAATCACTCTCGACACCTGGTTTCCTGCCCGGATCCAACATCCTCTTCGTCACCGTGACCAACCAGTTCTCCTATCACGTCGAGAGCCAGTCAGACGAGGAGACCAAAGCAGAGGTAATGGCCGTTCTGCGCAAGATGTTCCCGGACAAGGACATTCCAGAGCCTACTGCATTCATGTATCCTCGCTGGAGTACTGAGCCCTGGTCATACGGAAGCTACTCGAACTGGCCCGCAAGCACCGGCCTGGAGGAGCACCAGAATCTGCGCGCCAACACTGGCAGACTGTGGTTTGCTGGAGAGCACACCTCACCAAGCTACTTTGGGTTCTTGCACGGAGCCTACTTTGAAGGTCTTGATGCCGGACGACAGATCGCGGCACTCTTGCAGGGTCGCTGCGTCTACTACAACTCGACGATGGAAAGGCTGTGCGGCCCTCGCACGCATTACGAGACGCTGCATGGAATTACTCCTCTGGCTGATTATAGTGCGGTCAATGGCTGGATTTCCAACAGTTTCTACGATTACAATGATGAATAGTCTCTGTAGCCCAAACTTGTCATGTTGATCTTTTCAAACAGGTTGGAGTTAGGAATGCTCTAGCAGTCCAAAGAATAGCCCACTAGCGAGCACAATGAGTCCTTATATACGTAGGTCAAATATCTCTTAGAATAAGAGTAGTCGAGGAATACAGGCTATATTACCGGGTAGCTGTCCGGACAGGAGGTGATTCCCCTCTCGCACCTCGTCATGCAGCAACACGCCATCGGTGCAGCTCGGTTGGATCAAAGCTGACGCTCTGTACGACGGGGATTCGAAAGACCTCCTCCTTCTCCACAAGACCGGTATCAATGTTTTTAGGGCCCTTCGCCCCGACGAACCAGTTGTACGACGCCGGTGAATCTCATCTCGCAGTGTGGTGTATTTCTCTCCCACCTCAATGCATCTTTCATGTGTGCTTGAAGCACGTCCGGCAGCAGGCTAGTTTTTAGTACAACATTTAGGTCGTCATTTTCCCAGTGCAGGGCTACTAGCGAAGTCGCTGAATTCTCAAACTCTACCTCGGAGTCATCGTCGTCTGCGGGATTCAACACCATGGTATGATCCTCAATGGGGCGGGTGAACTTCGCAAGGTCCGCGAGGACCACCTTCAAGTAATTGGTATCATCCCACCTCTTCCGGTCGACAGGCCAAAGCAACTCCTTCCCGTCGAATGCGTGGAGCGGACGTTTGGAGGGAGTGGAAGTATGGGGACTCGAGCGTCGTCGCTTGTGGTAGGACTGAGTAGAGCTCGGGGAAGCATTTCGAACCACCTCCTTACCCTTGCGGGAAGGCGTTGGGTTGGCTTTGGTCGAAGAGGACGGGTCGCTTTCATTGGAGTGAAGGACTTGTCGCTGGCAGCGGCGGCGGTGGAACGGGTGCGATGGCCTGGCCCTCCGGGATTCAGTGAGTACAGCACAAGCGTTTTGAGACCTCGCAGATGGCCCAGCCTCTTCAGCCATCTTGCGAAGACGCCGAGTTCGCAGGAAACACAAATACCGTTGGAGAAAAAAGGCTGAGTTAGTGCAAATAGTGTAGAGACTTCAGCCACAGCCTCACCCTCAGCCCCCTCTGCTGCTATAGGAGCTGAGGCCAGCTTCTTAGCCTTGGCTGAATGTGATTTGCGGTAATCCAGGGTGCCTTAAGCTCCCCAACGATGTTCAAGTCGTGGTTGTAGACTTTCAAGATCACGTCAGGCGTGCCGGGGTATGTAGAAGGTATACATTTGAAATCTGCAAAACGGAGATTGATGCGAGTGGTCCATTGCGACGCGAAAATAGTGTCAAGTACGTCTCCAAAAAAGTTTTAGAAACAGCCTTAGACACCGTGTTCATCACCAACCTCGACGTTTCCATGCGTATACAGATCCCGGGCTTGAAGCGTGTAACCCAGAATCTGTTGCTGCCAGGTATGGCTTTCGTGATAGGCCTGAACAGCGCTCAGGAAGCCTAGCCATGGCTGGAGATTACCGGCAAGGTAGATGCTGTGCAAAGCGCTCGAATGCGTATGGTACTGGGACGTATTCAGAGCTAGAGCAGCGGACTCGACAGCTCTCTTGGGGTTGATCTTTGTTGGCATTTTGCGAGATGCGGCCTTGTTGACGATGGAGAGCCTTGCATTGTTTTCTAATGATGTTCTTTTCTGAGTCGATGTAGTAGGCTTTGTCAAACGTGATCTAGATTCACTTCGTTGAACACTGGCGAGGTAGGAGGGGGATATTAGCGCTGTAATAGCTTCCAATAGTATGAATTACGGCTGTAGAGGTAGCCCTGGTGCCTCTCCAACCAGAGAATCCAATTTGTTTCTCCCTTAAGAGTGGGAACCGCTTTGTGGGGTTTGATGTCGATATCCATGTTCATTAGGATGCCCACTACCTGCGGATCTGGCATTTCCTCTTGTCTTTGTTTGGACGGGTCTTGAGCGAATTGATCGCTAGTCGGTCGAATGATGTGCCATAACGGAAACCATGTGGTTTGTAAGTTCCCAGGGAGAAACGGAGCGCCACTTGTCCTGCTTCCCGTAGCATCAAGAGTGCATTATGAGTTTCAAATAGATTATTGGGGCATTCAAAAGCCAGTTGACCATCTGCTTCATAAGCCATCCTTGGATACAGTCGTGTATTTCGGTGGGCATGACTCTCATTCGCAAGGTACGGCTCCTAGTGTTGTAGCTTTCTGGCAGGGTGAGTAAGACTGACTCTCAAGGAGATTAGAACAGATCGTCTGTGACTTACCGAGAGGAGACTTTCTCTTCAATAAGTGGAAACACGACCGCATTTCGGTCCAAACCTGGTTGCGGATGCCTGTGTCTACCCTGAAATCTGGATCTCTGGCGCCTAATAATGCCACATGGTAAAAGCCCTGACAGAGGGGTATTGTTCCACGGGTAACACTCCCTTGGTCATTGCGAAATTCACAGGAGAGTACTGGAGTACCTAGTGTCGACCAACATCCTCCTTGCGGAGAAAGATTGTGTCGTTGTAAGTTGTCAAGAAAGCATGCTTGAGGTTTCACCCAAGCATATCACTTGCAATTTAGCCTATGCGTGTCTGAATTAGTATGCATATCAATCTCATAAGTTAGGATCTAACCTAGTAAGTGTCGGATGGACTTTTCTTGCCCTTCTTCGAGGTGATCAAGTGCAGTGCTTAACAAAATGCCTTTGTACTCATGGAACCTTGGCTTCTCCTACAGCCTGTGCTATGCCAGATTGGCTCATAGTGCTCTCGATCACCTCCCAAGCCGTGCTGGCCTGCGCTTCTAGCACCTCTTTCTGGAGCATTACCTGCTCCCCTAACTCCCAGCATATTTCGTAGCGTTCCTTTGGGGTCTTGGCCAAGTCGATTCTCTCTTTGAATTCCTGCAATGCTTCGTCTGCCTGGGTAAACTGGGCTTTCACAAAGGCCTGACTCGATGTTCTAATGCTCCCAGTCGTKAGAAGTGCCCTGGCTTCATTATGACAAAATCAGGGACTTTGCGGTATCCGTCCTGTGGTAGCACAGCGCCTCTAAAGCCGCCAAACATGAGGTCATGTAGCTGAGCTTTGAATGCGGCGGCTCGACGGTCTGAAATTGGCCGTCTGGTTTGTGATTGGAACGCTCGCCAGGCCGCATGTAGGGCATTTGAGGATGCATGTGGATGAGAACTTGTGTCAACAGTTCCTGTATGACACAACGGCTAGGGCTTTATTCATAGAGCTTCCCCTGGCGTTTTGGCAATGAGGAATTGAGGAACATCTAAGATTGCTGCCAGTGGCCATTATTTAACGGTTTTCCGCTCGAATCCGCCACCTGTACCCATGGTGAAGTACCTGAAATTTGAGAAATGCGGTGGTATAGTTGAACTTGATCCAGTAGCCTCCGTCGTCCCAATCGTGTGGTCTGTCTTTGACAATTCCGGCTGGAATCATAGTCATGGTCATTGTCTTCTGTGGCCATTTGGGTATGGCAGGGGGAGGTTGGTGGAGTTTGCTAAGGTCCATTTGCACTTGCCATTCGTTTGGGAGGAAAAACCAAGGTGAATATTCTGTTCTGGCTGCCAAAGGCTCCTTCAGGGCGCGAATCGCTGCCTTCTGCGCTTTATCATCAGCTGTTGCTTTCGGGCGAGCCATGTCGTCGGGCTCGTCTGGCTGCAGCTATTCCGGCTGGAGGTAGTCAACATCAGCGTCCACTCACTAATTCTTTCAATCCACACTTACGAACTCTAACTTCGGGGGAAACTATTCCAGGCATCCCAGGGAACAGGAGACCGGCCATATGTTGTAGTTGTAAGTATCTGACTCCTTTTCTGAACTGAGGCTCTTGAAGGGGATTGTGGCACTTTATGTCGAGCTGCATCCCTTGATGCTCATTAAGATCGAGTCAACAGCCGCTAGTGGTGGCAGTACTGTGGTTGAAATAAAGTCCATTCTCACCGGGCAAGCCCGGCCAACTTTGCAGTTGGCACACGCCGGTTGTTGCATTAGACCAAAGTAACCATTTGAGTGCCTCTCCTCTGAAACATATGCACAGGTTCTGGCTAATCTTGGCGATTTGTCTTGATTGTTCCGCAACCCTCAGATCAACGACAGTAATTCGCCGTCATCTACTCGGAGTCGTCGAAGGCAGAACCGGGATTGACGTCCTCATCTCCAGAAATCACAATCTCCGAGTCGCCGTCGGCTCCATCGTCAGACGATTAGCGAAAGCTACTGAAGAACGGTAGAAAATTTTGTCATCTTTACCGATGACTTCTTCAGTTTCCCATGCAAAAGGCATGTCGCGGGACGCCTCCCGGGAAACCTAAAAGGGTAAGCAGCTCAAGTGGATACCCTCTTCTCCACAATACCTTAACGATTTCGGTTTCCCCAGAACGAGACATGACGGGAAGAAACGTCAACGTCAGATGGGCGCCTAGCCGCAGTCGATCCATCTTGTTGGAGTCTTGCGGTGTTACCACTGTTGTATGTGTCTGATGGGCGGTATGGCGGGCGATTAAAATCCTCATCAACCCCTAGCCACACCAGTCGACTGAGCGAAGCACAGTATGATGGTACTTCCACCTGCCAAAGAATAGCCCGAGCAGGCAGGGAGCACACCCGTTGCGCGGTATGCGGGCACTTAGAGACACCAGTAGCAAGGCACGAGGCTCACGACCACTGTTACCGTGGTCATCCGAGCCGTTGCCATCATTGCCATCACTGCCATCGTCCTGAGCGCCAGACCCACGACCCCTGCCACCAGGGCCGGGACTGTCTCCACCGTCGGACTGGCCATCAGACTCGCTCCCGCCGCCTTCCTCATCATCAATACCAGACCCAACCTCCAAGTCCAAGATCACATACTCAGCGGATTTGTACTACGCCACCTGTTAGCCACAAGCTCACAATCCCAGTCTTTTCAGCCAGAGCTAAAGCACTGGCCAATATCAGCTCCAGCCAAAAGCTGGAGGGGCAAGGTTAGGTGGGTGGTACTTTACCTTGCTAGCCGTAGCAGCCTTAGCATGCTTGCATCCCTTCCCAAACTTGATGAAGCCTGCCTCATCCTTAAGGCCTTGCGGCCCTTAGGTGTCATTCTCACTTTCATGCAATCAAGATCTTGCTGTGGCAGGCTGAGGTCATCCAGGGCCTGCACCCCTAGCTGACTAGCTGGCTGGCTAAGCATGCAGTGGAGACAATCCTCTGCAGCTTGCTGGATGACCTCGGCCTCTGCCAGGTCAGCCGCATCCTCATCAGCCCCATCATCGAGACATGTGGAACGTGCTGCCGTCGCCATGGGCCAAAGGAGATCACATAACTATGCTGCCAATTCAGGGAGTGCCTTCAACATGTTATTGCACTCCACCCAACGAGAGATGGTGTGCTCCTGAAAGATCAACCACACCTTCTGCCGGCTCCGCTGCCCCAGCCGGTGGACGCGGCCAACTGCCTGAAAGAGGTACATCCTATAGAGAGGGATTCCGTCAGAAAGTGGGAAGCTTGATGGCCAGTCTAAATGGTACACACCGTCGCCTTGAAAGCCATTAGGAACTTTCCAAATTGGGCAACCTGGACGAACGTCCACGCCGCACACTTCAGTTGCTGTATAGTGCTGCCCTGCCCATCCTTCCATGTCTTCCTCGCTGCCGTCCCCCCCTTCACCCCGAAGTGCAGGAGGACGACCCCCGCGTGGCCGCATGAAGCTCTGAAGTATCCGGTGCTAAGGACACGAATAAATGGAGGCACCGATATAATGGCAAATTTATCATCGTGGTTACTGGTAATGCCGGCAATTTGCAGGGTCTCAAGCACTTGAGACTTCTTCTGGATAGAGTTGGCCGTGCTGGCAGCTGTGAGAGATTGACTTGTAGCCATCGTTGCCATGAGCCGGCCTTTCCCCATTCGCCTGGCTTCGAGAATTCGACCCTGGAATAAGGCGTCATGGATAAGATGTCATCGGCGGTGGTCTCAGCAGCAAACACAAAAGTGTAGATAATATAATGCACTAGATATCGTACGATGACGGGAAGGAGAGGCACGAGGATAAAGTGTACATTAATGTGGATGGCGGACAGCACAGCGACAGCCACCATAGTGACTGCAGCAGGAGCCGGCTGTGGTAACATGTTAGCTTTCATTCAGAGGCAAACCGCCTGAAGGTATACTCACCAGACGATGGTGATTATTATGGTGGTGATGGAAGACCACTGAATCAATGCAGGCTTTCATGAGCGACAGAGTCCAACCGGCTCGGCACAGTAATGGCATTTTGTCCACTCGGAAACGAATCTTCCCAGGGTTTGCCTGGAGCAGTCTGGCTTGGAGGCGACTGCTGCGCCTCTAGAAGGTACTTTCTGAGTCAGGTCTTCGATGTCTTAAAGTAGTACCGCAAGTATCCCAGAAACGAAATACCAGAACGCCCCTTGACTAGTTAGGAACTAGTTGGGTAACACGTTTGATATCTCCCTGGTAAATAAGGACCTTGAGAAACACCAGCCTGGTCACGTCGCCGTATTCCCTTTCGTTCTGTTCTGAATCGCGTTTCTGACTTTTTCAAACTTTGTTGTATATTCCAGAACAAGGTTCTTCTCGGTATCGTCAAGCACTCAAGCTCAAAAATGGCATCCTTTAGCTGTATACCGGGCAGTGTATATTTGCCAGACCCACCCCCATTATGTCCCATTTGTTGCAGTAATATCTGCTCCTTTTGATATGAAGTCGCAGGAACGGGTCCGTGTATGTAGCTCTAGCCGGAATGTGGATTGTCAGATCGTCGAGATTCTCCACATCATCTAGGACACAGCCTATCTTTTCCTCGACCATGACGAAATTCCGACAAATGTTGCGTGGTGGTTTGCCGGGACAAAGGGGTCTCGCAGCTCACGCCCCTTTTCGACAGGAGTAACCAGGCGAAATGCTTGTTTGGCCAGGTAGCTCGGCTATAGAACTGCTGCATGAATTGGACAATGCGCTTTGGCTTGGGTTTTAAGCAAAGCTTTCTGGGACTTCCAAAGCCGATAATGGTTTTGGAAGAGACAGAAACTTGGTGTGTAATCTGGACACAGGTAGCGTCAGCCTTTGAGCAAAACTAATAAAGATCTGGAGAATGTGATGCTTACTGATTTTCTCAGCATAGCGTCCACCATAAAGAATCCGTGGTGAGTGGTGATGTTTCCCTGGTTAATGACCTTTTGATTTTCTCTTGATTCATCGTCCATGAAATCTCTCTGGAATGTAGAGAGAAACCTGCTCCTGATATAGTCTATTATCTCCTTGAGCTTGTTATCTGACTTGTTGATCTGTCTCTCTAACCCTTTGAGCTTGGTCTCTAGTGCAGGTATTCTTATGTGTTCCCTGACTATTCCAAGACCTTCGTCGTTGCCGGTATACACGTTATCGTACAGGACTTCCGAATGGAGTTTGTTGGTATCAAGGCATTCAGCCAGTGACCTTTTCGCACCGGCAATCATGTCAGACTCTGAGGCTATGTCAGTCTCAGTTGCGAGCACAGCGAGTCTCTGGCAGATGCGGAGAGGGAAGTGGCAATTCATCATTGCAGCAAGATACCAATCCTGTCACCCGTTCTCCTGCAGCCTTTATAAACGCGGCGGGCCATTAAGTCCATCCTTGTTTTGTATACCGGACCAAGTGTGGCATTTGGACGAGGACGCTTTGGGATGCTTAGCGGAAGTGTCGAGATCCGTGTTGGAATCCCGAATTTATTCCACACAAGAACTGAATCATTAGAATCTGTCGAGTCTGGGGTATGATCTGCTGTCTCATACCCAAAATCAGTAGATCTCAGGGAGAGGATAAACTGAAATATCTGCATACATGAGCGAAATAGAACTCTTAGCCTTCTGGCTATTACATCCTGTCCAGGAAGCGCTTCGTTTACTGCAAGATAGAGTGTCCTTCTAAAACCCTCTTCATTGATCAGAACCTTTTCGACATCTCGATGATTAGTCCTCCGAACATATTGTTTATCCTCTCCAACGAGGACATTATAGTTCCATGGCACAGCATATTCCCGAGCCTGTAGGATGTAATGGATGCCAATATGCATATTTAGTCGCGAGAGACTTTCAAAGAGAAAGGTGTATAATATTTCCCAAGCCGAACAATATAGTATGACGGCGATGAAAGAGTGACAGTGTAAGAGAAAGATCATTTAGTGGAGAGAAGTTGAAGTTGTATAATCGAGCTGTTGACATATAATGGACAGGAAGAATCACAGTGAATAGCTTACGCTATTACTTGAAATAAGTGAATGCAGCAGCGTTTCGATAAGTATATTACTGAGATTCACATGCAGCAAGCAGACAGAGTGAATACTATAGACCAGAGCAGTGGGCAGGCATGCGGGTAGTATAATTGAAGTGATATATAGTCTATAGCATTAGGAAGACGGAAGAGTCTGCAGGGGAAAGCCTCCTTAAATAAGATTAGAGAACAAAGGGCCTAACCAGAGGGCCCAGCTATGTTTCTCTATGCCATTTGTTTGCTATTGACTTCCATTATAGACATGTTTGCCACTACATAAGGAATATAAGACAGTGCATTGTACAGGACGATGGTAAGGCTGCTCTATCAGACAGGTCAGAACTTGACCCTCAAACTAAGACAGGCAAAGATACATACCTTGATCATTCCTCATCTTTCACAACACCCTGGAAAACAATACCCACAGTCAATTTCCCTAGTAAATGGCCTTCCACCCGTTCCATCTTCATTTGTGGCACAGCATTTCCCATGTAACTTTCCACTAGACACATATTAGGTGCACAGGATGGCAATGATGTTTATGTATATGTCTTACCATATAGCCACTGCCTCTTTCCCAAATTTGTACCTGTGTCTATCACTGTCCTGATGCTTGCCACTGCAAGGGGCGCAGATGTTTGTCAGTTGACTTTGCTCACTGCTCAAAGAGATCCGTTGCCGAATACAGTGCAATTGTCCTTCTGAAAATAAAGATGGACAGTGTGGCTAGGCCAGGATCCCATGCGCGAGCAAGTCGGCCACTCTCTGAAGTAGAATGTCATGTTCTTCTAAATCTGGCGAACGTCGAAACTCTCAAGAGCCATATAGCCGACTTGGAGGGGGAGCTCCGAGGCTATACAGAGCAGTGTGGAGATGAGGGGTAGCTCAAGGCCCCGCAGCCTAGGTACTACTTCAGATCATATAGAAGAATGCGCATTGCTAAAGATACATGATTTCAACTCGACTAAAAGCAAATGACTCAATCCAGGCCCTCCCTCGAAACACGTACAGAACGGCTGGCCCAATGGACAGCCAACCTCCAATACCACGACCTCCCCGACGAAGTCATCCAGCGCACCAAGGAGCTCTTCATCGATTGGCTAGGATGCACGATCGCCGGACGACATCACCCAGCCGTCGCCGCTATAGTGAGGTTCGCGACGCAGATGGGCCCGTCCTCAGGGAAAAGTGAACTCATTGATGGATCACTGCGATTAACATCTTCTCCTGCCTTTGCTAGCCTGATCAATGGCGCTTCGTCGCACGTAGTTGAGCAGGACGACTTGCATAACCGGAGCATCATGCATCCTGTATGTTCATTCAGTCTGTCACTTGCTTAAAGGCTGATGATTAGGCGACGGTGATATTCCCCTCTGCACTGGCCGTCGCACAGGACACCCACGCCGACGGCAAAGAGTTCATCACCGCCTGTGTAGTAGGCTATGAAGTCGGCTGTCGGACGGGCGAGTACCTTGGAAAGAGACACTACGAGGTATGCACGCAATTCCGGGTGCATGTAGACGAAGCTAAGACGACGACCGTGCAGAAATTCCACTCCACCGCCACAGGAGGCGTCGTTGGCGTCGCAGCCGCTGTCGCTCGTCTCCTACACCTAGACGCCAACCAGACGCTCTCTGCCATCGGGACAGCAGGCACACAGGCAGCGGGACTCTGGCAATTCCTCCTCGACGCCACACACTCCAAGCAGGTGCACACCGGCAAGGCCTGCTTCGACGGCATCTTCGCCGCCTACAGCGCGCGGGACGGCCTGCCGGGACCACGCGACATCCTCGAGGGTGCGAGAGGTATGGGCGCCGCGCTGGCTCCTGGGGAGACGGACCCAGAAGCCATCAGTCAGGGTTTAGGGTTGGATTATGCGGTTCTGGGGTCGAGTTTCAAGTGGCATGCATCGTGTCGGCATACGCATCCCAGTGTGGATGCTCTGCTGGCGTTGATGGCGAAGCATCAGGTCAAGTTTCATGAGATTGACTCGGTCGTGGCGAGGACGTACCAGGCTGCGATCAATGTCCTGGGGCTGACGGGTCGAGGCGAGACGGTCCATCAGAGCAAGTTCTCCATGGGGTTTGTCCTTGCAGTTGCGGCGAAAAATGGCCAGGCGATGATCACGGACTTTACGGAGGAAGCGCTGGAGGACGCCGAGCTGCGAGAGTTTCAGCAGCGAGTAACGATGGAGCTGGACCCGGAGATTGATGCAAAATTCCCCAAGCAGTGGCAGGGGACGGTCGCCGTGGTGTGCAAGGATGGTCGGAAGTACACCGAGTCCGTGGAGTACCTGAAAGGGGATCCTGAGAATTCATTGACAACGTATGACTCCACAGGTTTATCGGAGCAATGCTAATTCTCGGTAGAGCTGAACTCGAAATAAAATTCCGGACGTTAACAAAGTACGGAGGTGTAACAGATACCACAAAGGTTGCCAATCTGCTGCAGAAAGGATGGGACTTAGAGTCCCAGAGCAGTCTCCACGGCTTTTCTTTCTAGTTTCCACTGCGTCAACATATTTCAATATTGTATGTCAAAGCGTAGACACAGTCAACTCTCAGGAAACTCGCGCGGATTGGCGTGCACAATCCGTGTATTGTAGTTTTCAAGAAAAGGTGTTGTGGCATCAAACCCATTAACATTATGAAGGTCAGCTAGTTTTGTAGCAAGGCGCTCATCTTCCTGGGGCCATCTTATCATGACCCAGCCTCTTCGCCTATGCTGCCAGAGCACATAGACTGGAAGGATAGTTTTGTTTTTGTGTGCCGTATCAAAGTTGTAGTCATAATTATTGATGTCAACGGCCATATAAGTGCGGTCTCCCCATATTTCAATCGCGAGAAAAAGAATTCGCTTGTCGTTCTCCCAGTCAGGAAAGATTTCGTTGACAAAATTGTATGCTGAGACACGGTAATCTTGAGAATCCAGCTTCTCTGTATGCACTTTGATAATAATTCGTTGTGCTTCCTTCCTTTCGAATATCTTCTCACGAACTTCAGCGATGTTGGACATGGTGTCTGCGTAATAGAGACTCCGTATCAGACTAGATGGGATGGTTCATCAGATGGTGAGCATAGTAAGTCCCGAATCTCTGGAGGCAGACACGAAGGCAGCTTTATGTGGACGTCACATGTTTCGACGAGGCTGGCGCCTAATCTATTACCAACCACGCAGAGGGACGATAAAACCAACCAGTCACTGCTCAGCTTGACGTTTCTCTTAAGTGAATTAGTTGCTTAAGCGGGATACATCTTAGTCTCACAAGATGCCACCGCAATCTTGGAATGAAGAAACACTGAACCCACCAAGCACTCCGCCCCGGAAAGAAGAACCATCGCCTTACCAAGTGATGGCGCCTCCCGACTATCTGACAAATCTCGAGGGAGCCACCCACGAACTTCCACCAGAATACCCTGTGTATTACTTTTTCTACGGAACATTGGCAGTTGCTGCAAACCTGAAAAGAATCATCGATCTGCAAGAGGAACCCAGACTTCGCAAGGCGAAAATAATCGGTTATGCGCTCGCCAAGTGGGGTGATTACCCTGCCTTGATTAATGGGGAGCCGGGACAGGAGGTTTCTGGGTATGCGTATCTGGTACAGTGCGAAGAGGAGGCTCAGAAGCTTGCTTATTATGAAACCAACGCATACCGAGTTGCAGACTGCTGGGTATTCTGTACGGATGGCGAAGAGCCGTCAGAGGCGCTTGGCAAGACATTTATGTATGCTGGTGATGCAAAAGCTTTGCTAGAACAACGATTCGACCGCAAACTTTGGACTCTGCAGATGGGCGGGAAATTGGGATGATGCATTGCGACAGTTTGCTCTGAATTAGCCAAGTTGCCTTGGCCAACTGGTGGACCCTTCACATTTTCAGCTTCTCATTAAAGACGTGGACTAGATAGCGGGTAGGCGTTGATTGTGGAGTCTCGGCCCCTTGCCAGTTGCCACTTAACGCAATCTCGCTGTGCCCCAGACACCAATTGATCCAAGGTCGGCTTGTATATTAGATCACTCCTTTTATCTAAAAGGCAAAGAAGAGGAAAGATGTGGCCCAAACATCTATCTCACATCACGTGTCAATGGCGTCCGGATAAATTAATCTTCCAGTCAACCCCCTATGCGCAGTGTTATGATTGAGGAGTCCGTCTCCTGAGTCCTGGCAGAGGATTCACTTCTCTACCATAGTCAAGCAATCTACATGGTCGGGCTTGCGGGCTTTTGCTGCTTGCACAATGGATTTTGATCCCCTTGCACAGCAACAATCAGATCGGATTTTCCAGGTGTGGATACAGAATTTGGTTAAACATTCACCAGAGGAACTGGCAGGGAAACTAGCTTCCCGACATTGCCCTGGCACACCAGCAACAGCGTCCCGACTTTCGAACGGCGCCTTCAACATATGTTATCGAGTCACTTTCAAGGAAGGACTTCGCGTTGTGGTCCGCTTTGCTGCCCTTGGCCGGGTCATCGCTCGCCGTGAAAAGGTCGAGGATGAGGTCGCTGTCATGGAATATGTTGCCAAGCATACAGAAATCCCTGTCCCAAAGGTCCTCGGGTCTGGTAATTGTGTGGTTGGCCCCTATATTGTGATGGATTTCATCGATGGAAATCCATTGAGCGAGCACCTCCGAGATCCATCTCAGGAGACAGCAACGTTGAACCCGAGTATTCCTATGTCTGTGCTGAAGAGAGCTTATTTCGGAATGGCGGAAGTCCTGCTCGAGCTTTCGAAACCTGAGTTTCCGTTTATTGGAGCCATCAGACAGGACGAGCTCGGGAATTGGGTTGTGCAAAAACGGCCCCTCACATTCAACATGAATCGACTCGCCCAGTTTTCTAACATCCCCTTCCATGTGTTTGAGCGACGACGTTTCAATAATGCAGCAGAGTACTTTGAGGAGCTCGCCTCTCACCATCTCCACCACTTTGAATTTCAACGCAATGATGCGGTTACAGACGAGGCCGACTGCCGCAAGAAATATATCGCACGCTGTCTCTTCCGTAAGTTGTCGCGGGAGATTTCTAAAGAACACTGCAACGGTCCTTTCCGTATCTTCTGCGATGATCTTTGCCCAGATAATGTCCTGATTGGTCCAAACCTTGTCGTCACTGGAGTTGTCGATTGGGAGTTTGCCTATGCTGCCCCTGTCGAGTACACATACGCCGCTCCTTGGTGGCTCTTATTAGAGCGTCCGGAAGATTGGGAGCCAGACCTGAACCAGTTCTTGGTGCGCTTTATGCCAAGGTTCCGCACTTTCCTTGATGCGCTTAAAGATTGTGAAACTGGGAAAATTAAGCGCGGTACTTTGTCAGAATCCCAGCGACTATCAGCCACCATGGAGAGGTCGTTTGAGACAGGGCTGTTTTGGATCTGTCTTGCTTCGCGGCACAGCTCTATGTTTGATGAAATTTATTGGAATTACATTGATCAAACGTTTTTTGGTTCATTCACGACACTTGAAGATCGACTTCATCTGTTGAGCGCAGAAGAGCGGAACCGTATAGATATTGTCGTGAGGGAGAAAACGAAGCAGGTAAGTGAGGGTAAGTTGGATTCTCATTATAGCATTGACGACTTAGTTGCATTATAATGCTCTTTAATAATCAGAATCTTCCTGCTTAATAGGGCACTTTAGTTGAGAAACCAACATCAAAGGTGCTATGGTCTAGGGGTAGGACGCCACGTTGTGGCCGTGTCAGCCCCGGTTCGATTCCGGGTAGCGCCATCTTTTTTCCTTTTTCAACTACACTTTGTATTTTTTATTCAAGATGGTGTCTTGAGATGATGCATAGGGAGTTCATTTGAAGGCTAGACTAGCTACACCGTTATCGCGCTCGAACGTTCTACTGGAAGAGGTAGTACATGCTTAGGGCATTCGACCCTCCACAAACCTCAGTCGAGTCGCCAGCACAGGGCGTCGCACAGCCCGATGTAAGCGCACCACCATTGTCAATCGAGTTCCCACAGAAGCACTGCGTGCCAAACTCCATGCCCGCATACAGATACCCACCCGCCTCACAGGCCGCCTGGCACTTCTCCACCGTGTTGCCCGCAACATTATACGAGACGGCCAGCGTGCGCGCCTTGGTCGCGTCGGAATAGCAGCCCAGACTCTGCCAGACGGGCACGACAGCGTACAGGCTGAGCGCGTTGGAGCCGCCGCAGACCTGCGATCCGGCCGCGGGACAGGCAATGTTACACTGCGACGCGGCGACAGCGGCGCCGTTGTTCATGATCGCCGTGCCGCAGAAGCATTGCGTTCCGAACTCCATGCCTGCATAGGTGAAGCCGGCCTGGGCGCAGGCCGCCTGGCAGGTTTGCACCGTGTTGCCCGAGACGAGGATGGAGGTGTTGAGGGTGCGGTGGTTTGTGTCGTCCGAGTAGCAGCCGAGGCTGCGCCAGCGGAGCGTCGTGTCGATTCCGCAGACGCCGTAGCCGGTTTGGCAGCCTGCGCCGCAGTAGACGGGCTGGCTGCCGCAATAACCGAATTGGCTGCAGCAGTTGCCGAAGGCGCTGCCGGCGCAGGTTGCGCTTCCGTTGTAGGCGCCGCAGAGTCCGTTGAGGGAGACGGATTGTCTGGGGAGGAGTGCGTTCTATCGTATGGTTTACTCGTTAGTTGACCTTTGACCTTGTAATGTGGGAGGAGTGCTACATACATCAAAGGTAGTGGGAGTGGCAGAGGCTACGAGAAGAGTGGAGAATAGAAGAAACAGGGCCATGTCGCAAGTATCAGTTCAGACCAATGGCTGTAGATGCAATTGATGTGGAGAGCATAGATAACGATAGTGATATGTGCTATTGCGCGCTCTTATTTATATCCATAGCTGCTAGGGCCTGTGCTCTTCATTGTTGCCCTGCCTTCGGCAGCTCCGATACATCTCTTGTGTTTTGGCCCCTAGGACATACATCAACAACAGTTCCCAAACCTTATACAAGAAAAGTTCCAGGAAGATTGGACGTAATATCAGGCGAGCATTGTTACCGCTCCTGTTCAGCTCTCCACGGACAAAGATGCGCTGGATAGCGCAGCCACTGGCGCACGGCACCTGGATGAGACTTCTCTAGGCCAGGTATTCGGAGTCTACGACCTGCAACTACCAATAATCGAGGCTGGAAACTATCTACTTCGTCTAATCTTACCTATATTGGAGTGACTCGCCTCGTGATTTCAATCTGTAAGCCACGTGTGTATGTCTAAGACTGAGGACGGCAGCTTACGGCCGAGATAGCCCGGCCTGGGTGTTGTCACGTAACTAACTCCCGGTCAGACACTAACAGCCTATTTCTAGTGTCAGTGGCAATTTTGTACCCTTGTCTACCCTATCGCTGGCTTAGTGCAAGGGCCAGAATATCCCTGTATGCCATGCAAGCTAGTGCGTGCTCAGGACATGCATTGCATGTATACCGCATGAGTATCAGATTTATAGATATATGGACTCGTAGCACAGTTGTAGAATCATTCTTTCGTAGTATACCAGTGACTAGATAGAACGCAATGGATCGAAGAATGACTCCAGCACCCTCTGACCGTGCTTCTGCGTGCAGTTCCTTTGCACCGCCATCCTCGAGAATCTCTATACCATCTGGTATGCCCTTGACTCGTTTCAGATTTCAATGACCTAGCTAAAGCCGCTTCCAGGATCGGCCACGACCACTGTTCGCCCTCGTCGTCGCTTCAAGAGTTCACGATTGATTGGGGAGTGAGTGTCAGTTGCAGTTCCGAGCTCTCGCCAGATCTGATATTGGGCCTTTAGATTCGAGAAGCCTTGGCTACAGACAGGAAAGCGCACATGGGACTGGGACCGGATTATCTTCTACAGTGCGGTTGGTGTTGCGCTTGGTATGTCTCCTTATGGTCACAAAGGAGTCTTACTCACTAGAGGATATAGCGCTGTCCGGCTTCATCTGCTACCATTCGGTGGCCACTGTACCCAAGAATGAGGTTCGTTCGTCTCGTCCTGATAAACTTCGTCTACTGTTGAGCTGACTTCAATAGTACTGTCTGATCCTAGACGAGGGCTTCTCCACTCTGGACACCAGTGTCTGGAACCACGAGGTGCAGGTGAATGGTTGGGGGTGAGCGGTAGCAATCCTACCCGATATGCTGGGACAGCCTCTGATAGCAAATATACAGAACAGGCTCATTCGACTGGACCACGGCCGACCCTCGAAACTCCTTTGTCGACGCCCAGGGCCTCCACATCGTTCCAACTCTGACTCTCGAGGACACAGATATCACACCGGCGCAATTCGTGGACGGGTATGTCCTAGTCTTTCGTGACTTGAGTTCTCATACTGACTTCTGATAGGTATATGCTCAACCTGACCACAGATGGCACCTGTACCACAACGGACCAGCGACTCTCCAATCTAACCACCGTCTCCAAGTGCGCAGTCCGCAGCAACGTGACCGCAGGACAAATCATCAACCCCGTCCGCTCGGCTCGACTAACCACAGCCGGAAAGAAGACTATCAAATACGGCCGGGTCGAGGTAGTCGCTAAACTGCCGGCGGGCGATTGGCTGTGGCCCGGAATCTGGTATGTCCGCCACCCTACCATTATAGCTAGCACTAGCACTAAACTTTGTAGGATGATGCCCCAAGATTCAGTATACGGGCCGTGGCCCGCCAGCGGGGAGATTGACATTGTGGAAAGCCGCGGGAACGACGCGGAGCGGTATCCGCTGGGCAGCAACATCATCAGCTCGTCGATGCACTGGGGCACGACGTACGATAACGATGCATATGTGCTCAGCATGGGCGAGTGGGGATCCAAGCGCACCAAGTACTCGGATGGATTCCATACTTTTGGGCTGGAGTGGTCGGAGAAGTATCTGTTTACCTGGCTGGACGGGCGACTACGGGTGAGTTGGCTATTTGCTTTTCTGAGCAGAATACTAAAATCAGAACAGCAAGTGCTTTTTTTTGACTTTACCAAGAACGAGAATATGTGGACGTATGGCAAGTTCGCCGGCACGAATGACAATGGCTCGGCTCCTACGAACCCCTGGAGTCAGACTGGGCGAGACAACACCCCGTTTGACCAGCCATTCTACTTGATTCTCAATGTGGCTGTTGGTGCAACGAATGGTTACTTCCCGTGAGTATATCCCAATGGAATCTCTCTTTGTTTGCTTGGACGTTGTGGCGCTGACGCAAACTCAATTGCTGGCTGTAGGGACCGGGTAGGGAACAAGCCGTGGATGGATAAGAGCGATACATCGATGCGGGATTTCTGGCTGGCAAATAGTTCCTGGCTGCCCACCTGGGGAGATACAAACGACCGTGCTATGATCGTCAGGTCGGTCAAGATGTGGCAGCAAGGGTCTTGTTGAAGCTGTCGGCAGATATTGCTTGTTTGTTTCATACGGTGTGCACGGTTGTTTTGTAGTCCCAATCATTTAGCGCCAATCAATATTATTTACGAGCTGTCATCTAGCCACCTGCCGATAGTCCCTGGTCGTAGTCTGTGCAGATACGGGAATAGCCTCATGATAGACCAAAGAACGGCAACGGGAGGCGACGGAATTCCACTCCCGGCCGAAACTAACTTTAGAGCGCCCCTGCTAACGGGTCTAGCCCCTGCACTAAAGTGACAAGTCACAAGCCACAAGCCTGAGATTAGAGCCCAGCAGAGACCAGTTCGTGACCAGTTCGTCGGCCGTCGCTACAAAATACCATTTATACTACTGTCCATCGAATGGTTCGCTTCGGCTGTTCCCTTAGGGGCTACCATCGATGGTCGTTATCTTTGCAAGCCATTTAGCCCGAAAGCGAGCACTCACTATTAGTTCGGCGTGGCCGAAAGAACTGCATCTCGCTTGGGCTATCTAGATTCTAGAGATTGCTCGCTGGTGTGGAATTGCTAGCCAGCGTTCTTTAATGCTATTCACGTTCCGACCAGTCTCGATTCGACAGGCTGCCATGCTGGATAGCTATCAGCTCGCCAGAAAGCGCCACCTGCTCTCTGTCACTTTATCACTCCGGCCGTATCGGTCAGCGCTGACGTGTCGGTGGATGTCTTCAATCATGGCTAGAGCTCGGCCTTTATCTATTCTCCCTAGTTCTCAAGGTCCTTCTCTCCCTCGCTACAGGACTGTAAAGTACAATGGCTGTTCCAGCGCCGGATTATGGGCATGAGCTGCCCACAGGGAGAGATGCACCTGATCCCCTCGAACAGAGCGCGTACATGACCTCCCGATCACCGACACCACAGCTTCAAACCGCCGAGCTGGCACAGGCTCTACCGCCCGTGATGGTGCAGCAGAAGCCGAGTATGTCAGGCAGTTCTCGACGGAGCGGAACGTCCTCTCTGCATCCAACGTCGGAGTTGGAGGAGGAAGACAATCCGTATATGGTTTGCTCCCTCCCGTCATTGCCTAGATACCATTCTGACAAAGGCAGGTGACGAAAAGCCTGGCGCGAAGAGCAACCCTTCTCGGCTGGTTCGATCATTCCAATCCCAATCCGGCAGAGAACTCCTCCTCAGTCTGCGTGGCCGTCAAACTGCCAGACGACGCGTACGCCTTCCATCCCGCCGTTATCAATCCCAGTCTTGCAAAGGCTATCAAAAGACTGGACGAAACCGCTGTCGTGGCACTCTCCTCTCGCGTCACCGCCAGGACCATCGCGACGATCGCCCCGGACCAGAAGAGCTTCGTCGTGGAGAGCACGAGCGCGCGGGTTCCTGTCATTCCTACCCTCGACGATGTGGACGTGAACCTGACACATTACTCCCGCGCATGCATCGTCCTAGATGAGAAGATCGTTCTGGTCTGGTCGCATGATGCGAGTGGGCTGCTTAACGTAGCGCATGATGTCGAGATGCAGCTCGGTGGACAGGTGAGTATCTATCTATCTACTTACGCCAACGGCTGCAAGTTATCTGACCGGCTTGCCTCAAAGAGCCCTAGGATATCGAATTTCACCACCCCGAGGGTATCCGGCCGGTCAACCCCCCTCGGATCCCTCCCGTCAGACGAGCTGCAGAACCCGGCCATCGCGTCGCCTCCCGTGCGTGGTGCGCTGGACGAGAAACAGGATATATACAGCAAGGCGGTGGCGCTGGAGGAGGGGGAGGACGACGGCGCCCCGGACCTAGAGCAGAATGTTGCCCCGAGACCGGCGCTGCGGATGCATGCGATCAAGATCAGTCTGGCGATTATGCTGGTTATCTTGACGCAGGCGCTGGGGGTGGCGAGGGTGAGTCCATACCATCAATGAGTAAAAGTATCTGACTGATCAGATGGATAGCTGCTGAATGAGTACCAGTGGGATGGAGGATACACACGGTTTGGGCTGGTAGGACTGATGGAAATGGATTGAGAGATGTAGGCTGACGATGCTTAGGTTGCCACCATCCCACCGCTCGCTCTGTTCTCGCTGGTAAGCATCTGCCTCTGTATCTCATTTGCTAGAGCTAACTCAGCCAGTTCTTCTTCATCGTGTTGGTCACCAGTGTCTTCCAGCTCTTCCTCCCCGCGGGCTTCTGTCTGAAGAACTCCAAGTATCACTCTGGTCAGTTCCAGGAAATTCTTGCCGAGAAGAACATGTAGCTAAAACACATTCAGCCGTCAAGCCCAACCCAAAAGCTCATCGGGACTACGAGCTGCCCCATATCACAATCCAGATGCCTGTCTACAAGGAAGGCCTGAAAGGGTATGTCAAATGTCAACCACCACCTTGGAACAAAGGAATACTGAACAGACAGTGTCATCGTTCCAACAATGATGAGCGTCCTCACCGCAGTCCAATACTACGAAGAACAAGGCGGGACCGCCTCCGTCTTCGTCAACGACGACGGCATGCAAGTGATCCAGCCTGAACTGGCCGAAGCGAGAAAACAATACTACCGCGAAAACGGGATCGGGTACACTGCCCGGCCTCCCAACAAAAAAACAGCAGTCAAGAAGAGTGGCTGGGCCTTTGGACTCTTTCGGAAGGACAAAATCGTGCCAGCCATAGAAGAAAATCCTCAAGGGGGAGAAGAGCGCGGTCCCCCTACGCCGCAGGAAATGGCGAATAAGATCGGGTTCGAGCGCAAGGGTAAGTTCAAGAAGGCGAGTAATATGAACTACGGATTGGAGTTCTCGATTCGCGTTGAGGATGAACTGGCTCGTCTGATGCAAGAGGAGGCCGAGCGACGGGGATGTACGGTTGACGAGTTGACGGTGGACGACGATGAGCGACTCTATCAACAGGCGCTGGATAATATGCTTGCCGCTGATGAGGGCCGTACTTGTAAGAGACATGCAAAAATGCCTTGAATGCTACTGATACCATGGTAGGGGCCGAAGGGAACATTCGTATCGGGGAGTTGATCTTGCTGTAAGTCGTCGGCCTTTTCAAAGACTCTCACTGACATGCATAGGATCGACTGTGATACTCGTGTGCCGGTGGACTGCCTTCTCTACGGCGCCCTGGAGATGCACGAGAGCCCTGAAGTGGCCATTCTGCAGCACGGATCTGGCGTTATGCAGGTCGTCCATAATCTGTTTGAGAATGGCAGTGAGTATCAGGTCCTTGCCACTATAATCTACTCTGGAAACTGACCAAATTAGTTACGTACTTTACCAACGTCGTCTACACAGCCATCAAATACGGCGTCGGCTCGGGCGACGTGTCTCCGTTCGTCGGCCACAATGCATTCCTCCGGTGGAAAGCACTGCAAAGCATCCAGTTCGTCGATCCCTCCGACGGGCTGACGAAGTGGTGGTCTGACGCACACGTCTCGGAGGACTTTGATATCAGTCTCCGGCTGCAGATGCAGGGGATGGTGGTGAGGCTGGCGACATACCACAACGGGGAGTTCAAGGAAGGGGTGTCACTCACGCTGTACGATGAGTTGACGCGGTGGGAGAAGTATGCCTACGGGTGTAACGAGCTGGTGTTCCATCCTTTGTCAGTGCTTTACCTCAAAAGCTGGATTAAGTGCAGCACTGACCGACGCAGCTACCAATGGTTCTACAAGGGACCCGTGACCCGGCTGTTCCTGCGGTTCCTCTGGAGCAACATGCCAGTGACGTCCAAGGTGACCATCGTGGCGTACATCTTCACCTGTAAGCCTCCGCCTCTTTCCCGCCCTTTATCAACGCAGCTAACAGACCAGACTACGCCATCGGCTCGGGCATGCTCCTCGCCACGGTAAACTACATCCTCCTCGGCCTCTTCGACTCGGACATCGACCACCTCTACCTCCCCTCCTGGGGCATCTGGTGCTCGCTCGTCGTCGTCTTCAACGGGTTCTCCTCCATCGCCTTTAGCATGGTCCGCCACCAGCTCAAGGAGGAGACCTTCTGGCGCGCCCTCCTCGACGCAGTCAAGTGGCTCCCCTTCCTGATCATCTACTTTGGCGGGATCAGCCTGAACTGCGCCAAGGCGATTATCTGCCATGCGTTCAGCATTAATCTCGAATGGGCGTCGACAGCCAAGGAGATGGGGCCGACGGGGTTCTACATCGGGATGGACAAGATGGTGAGGCGGTTCAAGTGGACGTGGGCGATTTGTTTGGTCCTTGCGGGAGGTAAGCTGCCCTGATTAATGACACAAACGAGTTGAGCTGACTTGATAGTGATGATTTACTTTGCGGTTGGGGCGCCGTGGGGATGGACGATTACGCCGGGGCCCTATTCGACGGCGAATGTGGCGATTGCGCCGTTGGCTATCCAGATCTGCTCGGCGAGTTTTCTTCCGTTCTTTTTGGGATTGAACTGATATGGCGTGGGGAATGATGGTGAAGTTGAACGGAAATCGAGGGTATCATTTAATCTTAGTGCTGTATACAGGATGACTCAATAAAAGACTTCAAGAGACTAGTCTTCATTCAAGTGCTATAGCCGAGGGGTACCCAGTCGGTCCGGGAGCGTCAGTGGATTGCTTTCTCTAAAGCTTGCAGAAGGTTGGTTGATCTCGGTGGTCAAGTTGCGGGTAGAATAGCTGCTGGTGTGGATGGAAGCTAGCCAGGCGGTTGAATTGATATCATTGAGGTCATCAGAAAGCGGGTACAGCGGGTACAGCGTGTTACTGAGTGACCGTGACCAACCGATCCGATCCAGAAGTAGACCCAGCCTACTGGTGATTATAGCCAGAGGAGCAATGACCTATGCAATCTCATTCGATAACGGTTGCCTATCCCCGAAAATACACTCTACCGGCCACCGAATCCAGCACCGATGCTCCTCTGGCAGAGAAGCCTGGATACCCGCTAGAACATGCTCATCCCACCCCGTCATCAGCCACGAGGACTGCATATACTTGAGAAGGATAGCCCAGTAGGCCAGGACAGCCAGCGCAAGCGGATCCTTCGCCTCCAGCCACCTGACAAACCCGTCCGAAAGCCGATACAACCACCCAATAACCAGATGCATCAGATTCACCCCCTGCTTCCCGGCGGCTCTCATCCGATATACCTCGTCAAAGATATCCTGCAGACTATCCAGGGCCGAATCGTACATCTCTTTAATTGCTGGGTCCTCCGTCTCCGCGCGGATCAACTCCTGGACATCCCGAATCCGCGCCTTATGCCGCTCCAGCTCCTCCGCCAGCTCCGAGTCTACCTGAGCCTCCCCCTCCAGCGCATCAGGCGCCAACACACCCGAGAAGATCTCCGCATGCCTCGACTCCAGAATGGATTTCACGCCGCGCATAAGAACAAGCCACTCCGCCTGTCCGGACTCGCTGAAGACGAGGAACTCGCCTGCGCGCGGGCCATGCCCGAAGTACACGAGGCAGATCAGCACGGCCGAGATGTAGATGTACTGGCAGTTGTCCTCGTTCAGGCTGGAGAGCACGGTGGTCACGGAGCGGACGCCGAAGGTGAAGTGGTCGTCTGCTTGTTTCAGGTACTGGGCGCGCATGGCCGGCTGCTGGTGCGCCAGGTGGAGGGCGGAGAGCGCCAGGATAAGATGTAGGATAGATGGGAAGGCGAAGCCCCATTGCGGGACGTGGATGTCCCATAGGTGTTTGCGGTCGTGTCCGTCTGTCACGGTGCTGGCGGTTGAGGTGACATAGTGGTGGAAGAGGTGCAGGTCTTCCAGGGAGATGCTCTCTAGAGGTGGAGGGGGAGTCGGTCCTGGACTGGATGACTGTACGCTGGTGTCTGTGGTACTGGGGAGGTCAGTCTGAACCTCGTATCTGGACTGCTTGAAGCGATATTCTCGACGCAAAGGTCGAGACGGTGCAGCTGATTCAGTGGCATAATCACAGATGACTGCATGCTGTCGACAATTGGTGCAGGTTGGTTTTTTCTCATCGCACTGCTTGCATGTCAGTTTTTTGGCCATAGCTATAGAAGTTGAGTGCAGTTGAGTTCAAAAGATACCACAGTGGCAGATTGAAGAAAAGGCGTCACTCACTTTGACTCGTCGCTTTTTGCAGGTCTTACAGCCCAGCCGGGATTTCTGATGGGTTCTACGCGCGCGAATCCGACGGTCTTGCTCAGTTTCCATCCTGCAGGTGATGAGAAAGAAGGATGCGATGGGAGTACTTCGTATTCGTTTGTCTTTGGCCCCTTTAGGCAGCAGAAAATTAGCCGAGGTGGAAAAAATTCCGAATTCTGCTCCTAAACAGGACAGCAGTAGATCATAAACTAGATCTGGACACGCTCGAATATGTCACTTAGATTTCTGTAGGTTAAATTGTTGCTGGTCAATTAAGGATAAAAAAGGGGCAAAAAGAAAATAAAAAGAAAGATGATGCGTTAGCTGGGAGTCGAACCCAGATCTATTGCTTGGAAGGCAATAATGCTAACCGCTACACCACTAACGCTGTGGATGGAAAATCTACCCCATTTAGCAATATATGTTCAGGTCAACTGATAACCAGACGACTTGCCAATGCATGCTTTGAAACTACATACAAATGATACAGATATCCTCAAGTTAACCAAGACATAATTCGTTTTGCAGCCGTTATAGGATTGAAGGCCAACTGGTCTGGGTGAGGAGTAAACAGCAATGGCAAACTCGTGGAGACCGCAACGACCGAAGCTGCGTGAAGAGATAACCAATTCGTCTCCCAACCACTGACAGTACAAGTGCATACTATGACAAGGCTACAAGCAATGCTTGCTAAATTTAGGTGATCTGTGGCTGTTTGGGTTCCATGTTGAAAGTTTCAGGAAAAAGCTCAAAAGACCCACTCGTACTCGTTCAAGAATTTCCCAAAAGGGTAATCTTGATCTACATCCATAGACTGTAGTCCAGTATATGAGACCATCATGGTCTTCGTAGCTCGTTTCTCCTGATTAACTTCAATTTCACTTCAATTCCTCAAAATCAAGCCAGAATGGACTTTACATTTCACAACGGGACCAACGGCTCCTCGCCCTGGGTCGAATTCTACCCCTACACCCCCTCCAACACAGCAGGATACGCCTTTATGGCCATCTTCGGCATCGCAACCGTCATGCACATCATCCTCATGTTCCCTTACCACGCAGCCTACTTCATCCCGCTCATTCTAGGAGGAATATGTCCGTCTACCCCGTTCCCAACCCACAATACCAAATGCACTACTGACCACTCCTAACCCCAGGCGAAACCTTCGGCTACTACGGCCGAGCATGGTCCCACCAAGACAGAACCGCAATCGGCCCCTGGGCGCTGCAGCAGATGCTCATCCTCTGCGCACCCCCCTTCATCGCCGCAAGCATCTACATGGTCCTCGGGCGGATCATCCGCGCCTTCGACGCAGAGCACCACTCCAGCATCCGCACAAAGTGGCTGACGACCATCTTCGTGCTCAACGATGTCATCTGCTTCCTGACGCAGATTGCCGGCGCGGGGGTGCAGATTACCGGCGACCCGCACGTTATGGCGATTGGCAAGAAGGCCGTTCTGGCGGGGTTGGTCTTCGCGCTGGTGGTGTTTGGGGTGTTTGTCTGGGTGGCGGGTGCTTTTCATCGGAGGCTGGATGCGGAGCCGACGGCTGTGGTGAGGGAGTGTCCGCGGTTGGGCTGGAAGAGGTACATGTGGGCGATTTATATCTCGTGTGGGATGTTGATGCTGAGGAACTTGGTGAGGACGATTCAGTTTGCGTCGGAGAAGGGGTCGCCTTTGAACTCGGAGGAGGCGTATATATACGTTTTCGATGCGGCGTTGATGGCTTCTTCGATTGGGGTGTTGGTTGTTTGGCATCCGGGGAGATTGGTGCGGAGGGCTCTGAAGGCGAGTAAAGCGAGTCAGATGTGTGTGCAGATGGAGGATCCGGCTGATGTTCCGTTGACGGGGTATAGAGAGGTTTAGTCGAATGCGTTCGTTGGACTGATTCTGTATATGCGATGCAGAAACCGCTTAAAATGAACTTGTCTTAGATGAATGAACTCGAAAGTCTTAAATTCAACGCTATGGATATCTCTATATGCATCTAGTTCAACATAACTCGTCTACTTTCCAAAAACCTTGTAGCGGTCCTCAATGGGCTGGAAGGTCTTCTCGCTAGGCTCGCTGGTAGGAGTACCAAAGACGAGCTGGGCATCCAGCTTCCACGAGGCAGGGATGTTCCAGGTCTTCTGCACCTGCTCGTCGATCAGAGGGCTGTAGTGCTGGAGATTGGCACCGAAGCCTTCGGAGCAAAGGGCAGCCCAGACTATTCAGTGTTAGTTCCATGCTACCTCTTTAAAATGGCAAGAAAACCTACCGAGGTACTGCGACATGGCATTGGACTCGAGAGCAAAAGGATCGAACTTGTCGGCGTAGATGGCAAACTGCTCCTTGATAGCAGCGAGAGAGTCGTAGTCGACGAAGAAGAGGACCTGGATCGTCAGTACGGATTATCATCAACGGCAGAAATCAACGTACAGTTCCATAGCCGGCGCGGAAGGCGTTCAGCTTGGGCTTGGTGTGGTTCTCAAACATCTCCTTGGGGACCTTGCCGGCAGCCACGAGGCTCTCCATGATATTGATGGCAATGTCCCAGAGCTTCTGGTGCTCCTCCTTGAGCAGGAGGACCACGCGGGAGGTCTGGGTGTTGAAGGAGCTGGGGACGTGCAGGACGGCATCCTGGACGATGCGCTCAATGGCCTCGTCCGAGATGGGGCTCTCGGCCTTGAGGCCGTAGTATGTGCGCCGGGCCTTGACCAGCTCCAGCAGAGTGGTGGTGGCGGGGTTGTTGAATTCGGGTTGAGTCGAGCCCATTTTGTCTCTGTACGATGGTTTAGGGTTTGGTATAGGGGTGATGTTGAAGACTTGAGAGACTGTGATTGATTTCTCCTTCATTTGTAGAGGAGATGGGTATTTATATACCCACCACGCCTGGCGCCATCACTTTTCTACAGACTTCTACCTGTGGAGACTCCAGGGCCGCATCTAAGAATAATGGACTAAGAATTGTCAATCTGAAAATTGTCCTCTGGATTTCCATTATCAGTGTCCAATTAGAAAGCACATACATAGTTTCTTCTTAGGGGGCAATGGGTAAGCGGATATACGGAGAACCACATTACCAACACAAGAGGCTCCATCATGCTCCACCGCGGAACTTACCAGGTACTGCTTACCAAGTGCTTATAAATGAATAATATAGCTACAAGTGTAGATTATATATGCAAATTATCTTAGTGTTCCTATTTAACCAAAAATAAGCACTAATAGTCTAACACTGATCTATAAGCATTAGTTAGCACAACACTAAGCTTACTGACTAATTCAACTGTGCATAGAAAATGCCTCATCTGATTTTCAAGGAAGCAACTACAGCGCGGCCTAAGCACGGGATCACCTTTAGTCAGACTACACAAGAAAATGGAACTTCGGACTGTCAAACCACTCAACTAAAAGCATATGAAATAGTAATGTAATAAGGGGTTTCACAGATTCGATCAATAATACTCGTGTTCGTTCCCCCGGCAGGAGCCCATTTTCGTATAAAAAAAGTGAATCAGAGCCGTGTCACTGAGAAGGTGTTTTTATCCAGATATTAGAAATTTAGTCAAGATGCTTTCGTCTCCTGGTTCAACTGCGTCTAAATAATACTCCACTTATAGATGGGACCATTGCATTTCCCTTCAGGGGGGAAGGAAAGCAGTATAAAAAAAAGGGTATGAAAAAAGATCATCAGATGATTGGCGCTGCCCGGAATCGAACCGGGGCTGGCACGGCCACAACGTGACGTCCTACCACTAGACCACAGCACCGGATTTTTGATTTTGCGTTTCATTTATGCTACACAAGACAACCTCAATTCAATACTTGGTTGAGCACACCGAATTTATGTCAGTGCATTCCAGCATTTTTGTCCAATGGAAAACTGGTGCTTCGTCGACGATGTAGTCCTAGGCTGGTGGATTCTGTTGTACTAATTACTTCCTCATGTTGCGTTGTGATACCTTTAGTCTTCTGATTTACATTACCCGGCAACCACTGGACCCAAGTTTTCAGCAAAGTAAAGGCGACAATGAGGCAACAATGCGAAGGCCAGACGTATAAGTTGATAGTACTATCTGCATGGGAGATGCCAAAAATGCGATAAGTTGACTTGATCAGGCCTTCAATAAGTGAGTAGTCAACTTTTTATACGCCCTGACACCCTCCAGGAGCTCGTCAATTTCAATCTGTTCGTTCTCTCCATGGGCCACGAGGATTGAACCAGGCCCGTATAGGTACTTTTTATGATCTCCCTTGAATCGAGGGACATCTGTTCCGTATGACACTGGTGCTGTTTCGAACCCTGTAATCCGTCAGCAGGATTCGGAGAAAGGTATGGTTGACAACCTCCGACATCATGATCTAGCAACGTCTCCAGATACTCAAACTTGAATTCCAGTCTGACATGTGGATGCTTCGCAACAACCTCCGAGACAATCCTCTTGCACTCGGCCATATCTGTCGCCACACGGACGGCGCATAGTGCTGTGCTGGAAGCCGGGACGATATTATAGCTGACGCCTCCTTCAACCTTGCCGATGTTGAACGTCGACGGACCCAGTAACGACGACTCGGGGAATTTCGTACACAACAACTCACTCAGGACTTCCACCAGAGCGGTATTGGCGTTGATACCGTGATGTGGGTACCCGGAATGACTGAAAGCATTAGCTTCAGTAGAAACATATCAAAGCAGACCTACCAAGCCTTCCCCTCCCCAATCAACTCAAACACCAAATGTCCCTTATGCCCAACAACCAATTTCCCCTCGGTCGGCTCCCCAAACACCACGCCCTCAAACTTCAAATCGTGATCATTCGCGGCAATCATCCCAGGACCTCCCTTCTCCTCGCCCACAACAAACAACAAACCGACATCGCCTTCCTTGACGGCTCCCTCCGCACGCAGCTCCTCAAGCGCACAGATCTGCGCAGCCATGGGACCCTTATCGTCGCAGGCGCCGCGGCCGTAGATGGTCGAACCTTCGACGCGCAGCGGGATATGCGGCGGGACGGTGTCCATGTGCGCGGAGAGACAGGCTCGCACCCTGCGCGTGGACCCTAGGTACGCGTAGACATTTTCGCGCGTTGAGCCTGGGGCGATGGGGATGCGTTCGACGGTGTAGCCGAGGGAGGAGAGGTGCTTGCCGAGCCAGCGGGCGATGTCTTGTTCATGGTCGCTGGTGCTGGGGACCTGGATAAGGGATTGGAGGAGGGCCACCACTGGAGCTTCGGACATTTCCTATCTATCTCTGTAATTGCTGTTTAGAATATGTGTTGTGTTGTGTCTGCTATGGTGGGAGGAGAGGTTGATGCGGGGAGGACGTTGCGTGCGGGGAGATTTCGTCATTGCATGTGTTATCGCTCATAGTATGGAGTAGATGATAACACTTTACTGATAAAGAGGTAGAAGAATCCGGAGCACCGTCGGACATTACGTCGTCGGTCATAAGTAACAAAAGAAGGAAAAGATAGACACTCGTGGCTGAAACTCGCGTTGTGCTTGGTGGATTGCTTCTGCAGTAGCCTGTTGATTTACCCCGCCACTATCGTTGATCCCTGAGTATTTATCTATCTGGCTTCACCACCTCTTTCTTTCTAGCGAAGCAAACAGATCAATTGTACAGTACTCATCATGGCGTCTCTTTCTCTTGAATCTCAAGCTGAACCCGATTCAACTGAGCAGCATATCTTCAACATCCTCAATGACTATCTTCAGCCTTCTAGCACAACCCCTCCCAGTGAGGCCGCACAAGCTATCCACGCCTTGACACCAAAGGCAGCTTCAACACAAGAAGAGGATTCTGAACTGGAGGACTTCCTCTGGTCCACATGGGGAACTATCATCAAGATTGCCAAACAGATTGATGACAATCATCCCTCGCAAGACCGACTGGTCGACGTGATCCACGCTCTGACCGAATTACCGCCAACAACGGTGTCAATCTGGGGTGTAAGTGTCGTCTTCCTCTGAAGCAAAATATACTGACAGTGCAGTCCGAAAATCGCCTATGGAAAGACCTGCCCATCCTCGGACCAAGCCTGAGAGAATCCTGGGATCGTGCGTGCCCTTCTCCGTTAATAGTGCTACATTACTAACTGTCACAGCACCCACGTATACAAAACCCAACGACCCAGAAATCACCGAGTGGATTAACCTACAAGCCTTCACGGCGCGGCTGATGAGCAAATGCGACCCATCCCTTTCTCTCCTTGGCGTCTGGAGTCTGCGGTCGGGATTGGAAGAGGAACTGTCGGACAGGGAACTCGAGGGGGAAGTTGCCGCGGCAGCGATGTGGATGGTGTATGGTGGTGAGAACTTGTTCAGTCAACTGACAGACGCGGTGCAAGACGAGGAGATGGAGCGCTTGATGATGCCGGGGACACTGTATAGCGGACCGGGACAGTTGAGCTTGGAGCGGTGGCAGTTCTGGAAGCGGCGGTTTGGGGAGATGAGTGAACAGATCCAAGCCAATGATGAGACTAAGTGGGTGATTCAGTTGGCTGGGGAGAAGATGGAGAGGATTGAGCAGTAGCTCATCTTCAACTCCGTACAGACGGTGCAAGATGCAAGATGCGATCGCGGAAATTCCCCGCTGTGGTGATGCGTCATCACGGAAATACGGATTATAAATCTCCACTGATTATCTATCCAAATCTTTTTTTTTTCCGCATATGCATACAGCAAATTCTTATCAATATATTACAGACGAGATGAAGCTTCAATTTTCCTCCATCCAATGAAGCGCTCCCTGCAACCCATAACCAAAAATGAGTGACACCGAGGTGGAGGACGGCCTCGATCTCCAGCAAACGCGATCGGGCTGGTCCATCGCCGAAAGCCTCTCCCCACTACGGGAGACGGTCTTCATCTTCGTGATATGCATGGCCCAATTCATGACCCAGGCCGGGCTAGGTAGCCAACTGGCCCCGCTGACCATCATCGGGGAGTCCTTCCACATCACCGACAGCGGCATCCTCAGCTGGTTCATCGCAGGCTACTCCCTGACGGTGGGCACCTTCATCCTCTTCTTCGGCCGCTGCGGCGACTGCTTCGGCTACCACACCATGTTCGTGATCGGCTTCGTCTGGTTCGGCTTCTGGTCCATGGTCGCCGGCGTCAGCGTCTACAGCAACTACGTGCTGTTCATCTTCGCGCGCACCTTGCAGGGCCTCGGGCCCGCGATGCTCCTCCCGAACGGTCTGGCCATCCTGGGCGCTACGTACCGCCCCAGCCCGAAGAAGGACATGATCTTTGCGATCTTCGGCGCGACGGCCCCCAACGGCGCCATCATCGGGGCCGTCTTCGCCGCGCTCTTCAGCCAGCTGGCCTGGTGGCCGTGGGCGTTCTGGGCGAATGCGATCGTTTGCCTGGTGCTGGCGGCGCTGGGGTGGGCGGTGATCCCGCGCATCCACCACGAGCGCGAGAAGCAGGGCATGACTGTGCTCGAGTGGATGCAGGAGCTGGACATCGTCGGGGCGTGTCTGGGTGTCGGGGGCCTGGTCCTCGTCAACGTGGCGTGGAACCAGGCGCCCATCGTCGGCTGGCCAACGGCGTATGTGTACGTGCTGCTGATTATCGGGGCGGTTCTGCTAGGCCTCTTCTTTGCGTGGGAGCTGCGCGTCGCGAGCAAACCGCTCATCCCGTTCCATGCGTTGACGCCGGATGTCTCCTTCGTGCTGGGCTGCGTCGCGTGCGGCTGGGCCAGCTTCGGCATTTGGGTGTACTACTTCTGGTTGTTCCTGGAACATGTCCGCGGTAAGACGCCGTTGCTTGCGGCGGCGCAGTTTGTGCCGCCGGGGGTCTCGGGGCTGCTGGCCTCGTTCACGACGGGGTACCTGATGAGTCGGATCCGGCCGGGATGGATCATGTTGTTTGCCATGGTGGCGTTCACGCTGGGGAATGTGTTTCTTGCGATTGCGCCGGTGCATCAGACGTATTGGGCGCTGACCTTTGTTTCCCTGGTGGTCACGCCGTGGGGCATGGACATGTCGTTTCCCGCGAGCACGGTGCTGCTGTCGAATGCGGTGGAGCGCCGGCACCAGGGCATTGCGGCTTCCTTGGTCACGACGGTGGTGAACTACAGTATCTCGCTGGGACTGGGGTTCGCGGGGACGGTCGAGGTCCATGTCAACCATGGCGGGAAGACTTTCCATGACAGATTGCTGGGATATCGAGCGGCGTTGTACATGGGGATCGGACTGGGAGGGCTTGGGGTCGCCGTGAGTGTGATCTACCTGGTCAAGAGCATCCTGAAAAAGGAGCCACAGGGAGAGGAAAAGTAAATAGCTCATATACAGAGATAGAGCATTAATCCTAATGTAATTAACTACGCGCACATATCAAGCAAAGACCATGATCGTCCGAGTTAGGCAACAGATACCCTGCATAGACGACAAAGATCTAGGGACTAGATTGATAAAGAAATAAGTTGAAACTTGCATAAAAAAGTAAAGAAGGGGGAAAAAAAGATTGAATGACAAGAGTGGGATTCGAACCCACGCCATCATACGATGATGAGGAAACTCTGGGAGTTTGGTATTAAGGTGGACCTTAACCTCACGCCTTAGACCAACTCGGCCATCTTGCCTTTACTGTTTTAGCGAGCAGCTCTATTTAGTTATATGGCACAAATTCTCTCTCGAAGTTTAACCAACATTGACTGCAAGTTCGACTTGATATGGCATGGTGCACCGCATACCTCTTGTTACCAGTCTGGTGGAATCCAGTAATCTCTCCAGGCACCGTTGCCATTATCTGCATCGCGGAATGTTTCAATTCCTCCTTGCACACCCTCTTCACCCACTGTCCATACACCACTTTCGATCAGCTCGGTCCACCGGTCGAATAGCCTTTCCATCCTCTGCGACCGCTGGTCACCTCCAAAGGGATGAAACCAGCCATGTTGAAAAAGATCTGTGAATGAGCCTGTCTGGACTAATTGACCATCACTCATCCGCGCCCCATCCACATCACGCGTATCAGGTCGTAAAGCAAATGGAAGCAAAAGGCGGAATCCTGCCTCCTCTGTATCGGGGTAACTTCGGGATGCAGGCTCGCTATACAATCCCGCAAATACAGGAGCACCGATGCTCATAGGCGGATCTTCATTGTGAACATATTGGAAGAACAGGCCTCGTAATTCCATGCTGAAGTCCACAGTTCGGCCTGATGCTGCAAAAATCAAGACTGCTGGCATGGTTCCCTCCTCGCAAGGCAAGCGAGTAAAGTTTTGGCGTCTCGCGAACGCCTCCTTGTCATGCGGGACCTCAAGTCCGGGTGCAATGAATCTGAAGCGCGGGGAATTCATCCGTGTCAGAACCGAGCGAATAAAGCATTCCTGCGGCACAGATGCCGCGTCTAGTTCTGTATCTGTGAAGAGAGGCCCAGTTACAGGTAGAAGTGAGCCGGCGGGCATTCGTGATTCGACCGCGACTAGGTAGCGATCAATCGCGGCTACAGTGTTATCAACCTGGGCGTCGCAATAGGGAAGCCACGACCACAACCCAAGCTGGGATCGGTGCTTAGAGTCGCACTCCGGCAGCCCGGCAACCACCTTGCCTAGACGAATCAAGGAGATCCAGTGGGTAAGAATAGTCTCCAACGGGAACCAGAATTCCTCGTGTTCATCAACAGGCGTCACATTTTCAGTGTCGTCGATGGTCAAAGGGAACGAGGCCCTATGGAGCTGCTGGTCGTAGACGACCCCGAGACAATGAGAGCATAGATCAGGCGTGGTATTATAGATTATGACAAAGCGCGCTTTCCCTTCATCTTCGAGCTCATTGTCTTCCATAAAAAAAGTTCCATCGCAGGGGTCCATTGCGAGACCAACGATCCAGTAGAAGAGCCCCGGTTGAGGATCGTAGATCATATCCAGGAAAGAGCTGAGGGATGGATGCAGGAGCTCACGGTTTGCATCTCGATCCGGATTCCGGTCGCTGAAGAACCATTTCTCTTCACTTAGCGCATCGAGGTCGGGCGTGTCTCGTCCGTGGCGGGCCATCCACGCATATGCGACCAGGTAATTGTGTAGTCTGGCACAGCGCTCATAGTCGAAGGTGCCGTCATTGCGTGCTGGATTGTCGTCGGAAACCAAAGCGTCCTCGATATCGAGAACTGGCTCGACCGTCATGTTTAACGCCATGGCGATGTTATTCAGGAGGTTGAGATCAGCAGAGAGTGACACAGCCAGAGCTAGGAGAGAACAAGGTTATGAGTGTATGTAAGTACCGTACGACCAAAATTACCGGGAGGTATGAAATGAAACAAGGACTTCCGTACATGCTAGTACTGAGGGAACGAATTGAAGTAGTTGATTGAAGAACTATCCCGAGATGGCTGTTGAGAGCGTCACTCAGCCTGAGGGCTAGTATTAGCGTGTTACAGCGTGCGTATTCTGAGATGACCTGGTTTACCATACAAAACAAAAGGAGGAGTGGGTAGTTGCTAGTTATAAGTTGTAGCATACCCTCCGTTGTATAATGGTAGGCTAATATGGGAAATTGAGTTCCATGTTTACACAAATCCTTCATTTCAACGGCTATTGGCTATTCCGAACTCCCCTGGGATCCTACACGCCGGACGTTGGGCCCAAGTATTTCAAGGGCAAGGGACGGAAGACACTGGAGGAGATCAAGGAGAAGTTGAGGGTGCAGAGGACGGGCAATATCCATCAACCTTATGGCAGTTACCTCCGTGATGCCTGGATATTCATGTCGATCATCTGTGTCCCGTGTACTTGGTTCAGTCGTACGTTGTCGGGGCATATTTACGTAGGATCCGTGGCGCTGAGATAAAAAGGGGTATAGGTCAGGCGACGGCAGCCATGAAAGGAGTTACGGAGATTCTTTAACTCAGGGTTAGAATAAAGGAGTCAGTCCATGGGTCACATTCTCTCTTCCGTACAGATTTCGATTTTTCCAAATTATAACCTCATACCGAATCCGAAACGGGACAAACTCCATCAGCCATCAAACAACACCCACAAACGGCGCACTCATATAAAGCTGCTCGAACCTATTCATCACCTGCGTGGGAATCTCAGCATCGATTCCCCCACTCCACCCCATCACGTCCTTCCAATCCTCCACAACATCAGCCAAGCCCAGGATCTTCTTTCCGGTTCCGTCATCACCCAGGTCCGTGGCAGCTTGCCAAGCAGTTTCTGCAAGCTTCCACAGGATCTCGTTGTCGGAGGCTACGCCGGCCGGATGCGGCTGCGGCGTCCAGGCGTCATTCGCCCAGGCGAGAGTGGAAAGAAATGCAGGACGGTAGGTGTCGCTGTCGTCTGGCAGCACAGGGAGGGAGTCCGCGGCCAGGGCGTCGAATGGCTGGATGGGGTCTAAAGGAAGGAAGGGTTTCGGGGCGATGACTGAGATGCCCATGATACGGTCGGTGGTTAGATCGGCGGAGTGGTCGAGAAGGGCATCGTTGCCATTGTGGGTTAATAGAGGGTCGGAGTTGGGGTCGTCTATTTTTTTTTTTTTTTGTCCTGTTAGTTAACCGTGTCTAAGATGGAATGTAACAATGCACAAAAAGAAAACATTAGACATAACATACAACTGCCCCAGGAAGCCTGCGGAACTTTTTTATAGACCTCCTTACAAGTGAAAGTCCCCATCGCATCGTCATGCCCCTTGATGGTGATCTTCATGGCAGATGTTATATGCTCATCCGGAATCTTGCGACTGGGATCTGGAGCTGTGAGATGCATAGGTTTTGAATATATCCGAGTCTTGGTAGTCACCGGCGAAACACCATTGACATCTGCCGACTCGATGGCAAATCGCGACTGTACTCTGCAGATAAATCCCTGGGATTTGACTTTCCACGGCTCTCCCTCGGGGACATCCGTGCTCTCGCCGCCGCTGTTGATGATTTGTCGACCGGCCTCGATCGACAGAACGTGGTCACTGTTCGTGCTTCCAGTGGGAGTGGTATGAGGCGCTTCCTGTTGCAACAACAACTGATAGAACTGGGGTAGAGTGAGCGCAGCCTGATCGACTCTGTCATTACCGAAATGGATACTGAATCCAAAGACCCAGAAGTCGACCCAGACCTCACCGCCGAAGGGTGGGCCGTAGAGATTCAGGGCGGCTCCGATGTGGACGTTGATGTGGATCGTGCAGATCCAGAGATCGAGCGTAAACTCCACACCGACCTGGACACCGACGTCGCCGACGAAATAGAATGGTTTGTATGTCATCAGGAAGTCGGCCCACGCGTCGAAATATGCATGCAAGGGGCCCTGTGATCCGGTCAATATTGCTGAAGAAGAGGAAGAACAGAAAGGGGGTTAAGCATACCAGATCCAGACACGCAGAGAGCAATCCACCGCCCATGCAGACCTTTGGCGTGATTGCAAAATACGCTTGGCCGGTGATATTGAGCCCACCGCCCACGTACCATTGAATTTGGAGCCGATCCGGTCTTGGATAATGGTCGGGGGGCTGGAAGGCGGCATGGTAGCCTCCAATGGTGAACACCCAGTCGCCTTCATGCTGGGATCCTTGAAACCAATAGCAAAGGGCAAACCCGCCGCTCAGATGGCACATTGGGTTCAGCACGTACGAGTTTGGCGTCAGGCTGCCTTCTACGCGCATCGTCCCCGCGTGAAAATCGATCGCGGCCGCCAGCCCGAGCTCGACATACAAGAACGACTCCCCAGGGGGTAGCGGTTTCCCGTCCGTGGCAGCAGGCATGGAGGCAGCCGCTTTGGCAAAGAGACCCAGACTGACATACGGATTGAACTCCAGCACGACAATCGCATTGACACTGAGGATCTGGAAAGCTTTCACCTCCAGACCCGCCGCAAGCCAGATACTGCCATTCCGCATCGACACCCACCCAGGACTGGGGTTTTGCGCGCCATCCGAGGTCAGGGCCTGCAGCAACTCCACAGGATCGGTGGTGGAGAGACCCGATGGATTGCTCACGAATGGAAAAGACGGAAGCTCAGGCAGAGACGGGAACCGCAACGCAGAATTATAGCCAAAACCAGCCGTGATGCCGGAAACCTCGGCAAACTCGAACTCAATAAGGGGACCATCGAGTTTGGCGAAGACAAAGACCGATTTGAACAACATACTGCCGGTGGCATCCTTGAGTTCACCGTATGAGCCAACCGCTAGGAAGCTATAGGGTTCGAATTGGAAATCGACCCCGCCAATGTACTTTGTCATGGTGTCGGTGGACAGATCTTCGAAGATTCCTGCAAGTATCATCGGTGGCTCGGCATAGCTACATTCCATGCCCTGTAGAGAAACACTGAGATGTGCTTTGTACAGAGTCCGAAGATCGATGCCCTGTGAGAACTGCAGGCCAATGCTGAACCCGAGAAGCGCAAATTCGATAGGCCCGAGCTTGACTGTTGCGTCGAATACGATGTGCAGCGTGCTGTCACTGTATCGCAAGCCAAAATTCTTGACGGACAGTGGCCCCTGGTGGGAGTCCAGTTTCGCCATGGTCGTGCCGCCGGACGGCTCAGCCGGTCCTAAATCACTTTGTGGTCCTGGTGTCTGCGCGGCATGCCCGAAGACATAATCCAGGAGAGCAGATTGCCCGGCCGGTACACTCTTGTCCTGGCCAACGACCAAGAAATGCGACCCTGTCACCAGCAATACATCACTTCCTGCGGGTTTGGGCTTTGTGTCGTGGACGTAGATGCGCTGTGGTTCTGGGATCGAGTTGATACAGGTGATATCATCCCGAGTCAGGCCTACATTGCTGTCATCGTGCACCCAGATATAATCTAATTCATCAAAAGGTTTCTGAATCTTTCCCACCAGAGGGATGGACGAGATGTCTCCCCACGGTATAGAGCCGACAGTAACCCGGAGGAGACGCTTGGTAGCAGCAGGTTTCGGCGCCCCACTTCCTGTGGTGACGGTTGGTTCCTTGATTTGAATCAGGCTGCAAGTGATATCCGGATCGTCTCCATTGCCCTTCAAGAAGAGCGTCAAGACAGCCGTGATATAATTGGCGGTTTTGTCCATATTGAAAGTCAGCCGTGTTCCGTTCTGCGAGGAGTCCGCAGAGCTGATGCGGAAGTTCGCAAAGTTCGGAATCATGTCAGTGACCGCTGAATCGGGCATCACGGCTTTCAAAACCTGGATAAACGTTGTGTCAACTCCAGGAGACGCCTGCAGCGTGCACACGATGGACCAGGCCTTTCCTGCTTGCCAGGTGAAATCCATGCTGAGCTGAAAGACGTCGAGGATAAGAACCGCCTCGGCCTGGAATTGACTGCCTTTGCCCGACGACGAGTAGATATAATCCAGGTTCAGCGAGGAGATGGAAAAGTGCTCTGCCAGATCCATCACCGACTGTCGGTCTCCACCGGGGAACAAAGACACCAGCGTCCCCATCGTCACACTTCGCAGGCCGCCATGCAAGTGCCAAGTGCTATCTTCTGAGTCGTTTGAGACGTAATCAATGGAGGCTAGTAGTGTGGCATTGTCTTTGGGAGTGTGGCCTAGCATGGAAATCTGGGCGGAGAAATTCACAGTGCTGGATGCATTCCGGGCGGAGTGCCCTGGAGATGCGGGTTTGGCAAAGTAGTATGCAGCTCCCAAGGTAACGCTGTCGAGGGCGAAATGCTCTGGTTGAATAGTAGGATCACGGATGAGGGTGCCGGAGATGTACAAGTTATCCGAGCTGAGCGAGACCTCCAGGTCGAAGACCTCTAGATTCAGCTCCGCTGGGACGTTAACCACCTGGAGATCCGGAAACAGGGCCGAGAGATGAAGGAAGTTGCGGTACTCTGGAGGCACGCCGTCGTTGGTCTGGAAATCCTCATAAATCGGATCAAACCGGAGAGGAAGAGAGGATTGCAAGTCAGCGGCAAAGACTGGAGTCCACAGAGAGCCGGACACGATGTGTTTTGGCTCGGACGTGTTGTATGTGTATGTAAACTGCCAGAATCAGCAGCCTTTCTTTTTCTTAGCAAAATGCGTTCATATCAGGGGAGAACTCACAATGAAGGCAACCTTCTTATCTGCTGCATTACCTGGATCCTTACCAAAATCAACCTCCAACACGAACTTGACGCGAAACATGAGGATACCGCTGGTGTCGAGCATGACTTGCACTTCTCTCACCGATGGCAAATGACTCGACACGGCCGCAAGCCAGTTCGATACATCATTGACAGCATTCGCCTCCACGGCGTCCAAGTGCAACGCCGTGATGAGCCAGGCAAAAATGTCGGAGAGACTGCCACTGCGCGGCTGAAGCACGAGTGTGGTGAAGCTCGGATCGAAAATCAACACCGCATCGACTGGGGAAGCCGCGTTGTTCTGGACGACGGATACTGTGGTCGTTACCATCAGCTCCGAATCGACATAAAGTTCGAAGTCGCCTGGGATCTCGAAGCGAGTCACGGTCCGTTTCAGAACGAGCTTGGGTTCGGAGAAGGTGATGTTTGTCAGATGGAGGGTAGTCATCCAGCTGTTCCACGTTACTGGGTCACTAAATTTGAACTGAAGACGCATCACCGTGCGGTAGGAGGCGCAAGGCGTGAACCAGATGGCGTTCCGCGTGCCCGGAGTGAAGTCAGGGACGATTGGAAACGCGGACGAGAGGCCCAGGAGAACCTGATTTTCGATTCCCATGAAATCCAGGACCCTGTCCAATGTCCAGATGGCAGCGAGATCGTGCTTCTCCAGGCCGAGAATCAAAGTATTCTGATCGACTTGGAAGCCAATGGGTGGAATGACCGGGAGGTCGTTGCTGTGGAAGGCCAGTGCAATCCCCTCGGTGCTGAAGGTGAGCGCCCAAGGGTCGATAGTGCTGATAGTAAAGGATGATACTGGAGAACTGGACGGATCCGACTGGTGTCTAACGGCCTTGACGGACGTTGCTCCGATGGCACTGGAAAGCCAGAAAAACCATTCATCGCAGCCTGCCTCCGTGGTCCCATCGAGGAGGGCCTGCCCTGCGGAATCTGGAGCAGCCGAAAGGGCAAGCACTCCGGTGTTCAGGCTGTCAATCAAGTTGTTGAGACTTGCCTGGTCTCCGGTGTGGGAGAGAGAAAGAACATTGGATGCCGAAGTGACAATGGCCGCGTCAATGCAAATATAATATCCGGAGGTTGGGTATGTGACTGGAGTCTCGTCTGCCGGTGTTGCCGCTGCCACTGCCACTGCCACTTTACCAAATGCGCCGCTGAAGGGTTGCTGTAGGCCGCCGGCTTCCACACCTTTATCTCCTTCTTCTAGATCGGCAGGCTGCATCGCATTTTTCACCTCATCCTGGGCACCGCTTATCTGCACTTGCCTCGCCAACATGGCCTTCCTGGCTTGCTCAATTCGGATCTGTGTCGCCTCTTTTGCCCGCACGGCTGCCCTCGCCGGTCTGGGGTTGGTCCGCACAAACGAGACTGCCTTGGGCGGCCTACGCACTGTTTTCTTCTTCCTTCCTGCTTGCTGCTTGAACCAGAAGTCCTTGTTTTGGGTCACCACCTCGCCGTCCTCATCCGGTGCGGCCCGCGTCCGGACAAGTTGATAAAAAATGGATTGCATGGAGAACGGATCTAAAAGCATTGAGCCAGTTTCCTTTTCCCTTCCATTCGGCCCTAGAACCTGCGTTGGGGGAGCTTACCCCAAATATTTTGCCGCGCTGTGACATCGCTAAGATTCCGCCAGGCATCGTGAACCTTCAAAACAAGGTAATCCAACCCCACCTGGGGCGTGTCCGTGTAGGTCGCCATGAATTCGGTAAAGGTGAAGCCAGTCCATGCACTACTACCGGTGAAGGCGCTGATGAGGTTGCCCAGGCTCGTCTGGAAGGCTTGAATATCTTTGGACTTCGTCGGAATGATGGCGCTGGCTACGGGCTGATTTGCTTTGGCGCTGGTCGAGACCGTGCCTGAAGCGCTAACCACTGCGTTCAGATAGTAGGGATACACCATTGAGTACAGCCGCATGGGACCGCGCAGTGTGGTTGTTCGTATATATGCGTCGAGCCAGAGTATAATCTCCCAACCTAGGAATCGTTAAAAAAAGAATACAGGGGCATGGGAAACCTCAAAATGAAATAGGGCTCGACACGACTCACGAGGGTGATAGTAATCATCATACGCCGAGACAATGATCGATCTCGGGCAGAGCGAGCTAAAGAGGGTTGTTGGGGTCGACGACGCTGATCCATGATGGCTCAGTTTGACGGCTCCGATCCTTGAAGTGGATTCAGGCGGCCCAGCAATCCACTTGACCAGCGGAATCTCCTGTGTCCAGAAGGCATCGCCGCCCATAAAGTGCCCAATAACACCGGTGTCGACCCAGATGACGACGCAGATAATGGAGGCTGCATTGGTGGTGTCGGCTTCATCCTTGACCTCCGGGCGGTTGACCATCCGAAGCACAGGGCGATGGGGGCGCACCGGCACTGGGGGGTTGGAGGGCAAGGTAAAAGATGGCGATGGAGCCCGGGGAAGCGTCCGGGAGGAGGAAGAGGGGGCCGGCGGGACAATGTTCTCTCTTTGACAACCCACGATGGCGAGGGCCGGCCTTCCGCCCGGGCATCCACGCAGTTTCAGTGCCACTGCAAGGTCTCTGGGCGTTGCGAAGGTCGCCTGCACGAGGGGAGTGGCCGGGTTGCCAGCCCAGACATCCGTGAACAGGTCACGGCCGATGTTCTCGACGTAGGTACTCCGGAGAAGGGCTACCTTGCCCATCCACCATCGATCTCCAAAGACGGCGAAAGGAGTCACATCTACTGCCAAGTAATGGATCAAGGCCTCCTCCTGCAGCTCGAGCAAACTATGCGGGGCCTTTTGCGGAGGGATCGGAGTCCAATATGGCACATACACGGTGGTCAGGGGTGGGCCCCGGGCTCCCGACGCGGTATCTGGCCCATAACGTAGAAAGGAACAGCGGTTCTTGGCCAGAAGCTGATCCTTGTGTCCTCTATTCACGACATCGTTGAGGATCGCTTGTTGGAGATCCTGCTCCATCGCGCAGACGATGCCGCCATAGTGGTCCTGATCCCAGTGGGTGATGACAATCGCGTCCAACATAAGCGTGGTATCACCATCGGGGAGGCGATACCGACGGCGGCATCCAAATTTAATAAATTTGTTAATGGTCTCGACGGCGCGCCCGCGGAACCAGGTGGGATATCCCCCGTCGATCAAGACGGCCTTGACGATCTTGGGCAGGCGAGTCGAGTCGGAGAGGTCGACCTGGAGGACAATCTCGCAGTCGCCGACGCCCACGTTAAGGTGGATGGTATCCACGCCAAAGTTGGCCATGATGGTGACTTGGATTAGATCGATATTGCGACAAGTGGTCCCATCAGTCACCCAGTGGGCAGCCCGAGGCTATAATCCAGGCCACTTTCTGTCCTGGGCTGCCTGAACGATGGCAATTCCTGACGTTGACAATTCCTGACGTTGACGTGGGACTGTCTGCATGCGGATGATCAGAACGCATCCAGGCCACGATAGCCGACCAATGCATTTCTTCCTTGTATTTTATGATACGGTTTTAAAAATCATTCACGTCATAGCCTATTATAGTCTTTATAGATAGATAAACTCTCAGACCGCATGCAGCTTACTAGGTCTGGTGATACACTGACAATCTAGATTCCCATTTCAGCCGATGTAAAGACCAGGTTCTAGGCTTCTAGCCTTTGTTACTTATTAAATATTAAACTGAAAGGGCACTGTATGTAGTACGGACCCAGTTTGAAAATAAAACAACCAATACCAGCACCACCCATTTTGCTCTTGTCAAGACTCTCGCGGATATTATATAGGGTGGCAGAAATGCATCATCGTCGCAATTCCTATTCCCATTTCCTCAGGGCCCTTCTCTCCCTCATCCCGCTGACCCTGTTGGCGGTTTCCTTCGCCTACGCCATCAAAGCAACCCTCAGCAACGCATGGGTCTGGCGCGAAAACATCACTCACGACTTTCCGGCTCAAGATCATGGACCGCTGCACCGGTCCCCCTTCGCCCACTGCAGCGACTACCTGAACAGGACCACCAATGTCTGGCATGAGGAGTGTGACCGGTTCACCGCTCCAGGCAGATCCTGCGATGCTGACAATGGGGACTCGGATGCGTTTTGTCAACAGCTGAATCTGACAGCTAGACTGCTCATCGTGGGATGTACATTTGCCGGAGTGGCGATGGTGGTGTCGCTGGGGATGAGTATTTTCTCTGCTGTGGATTGCTATTCATTATTGCCAGAGGAGAAAGAGAGGACCGAAAACACGACCACGAGTGATTTGGACAACACCAACGCCGAGGCACAGCCGGACTCCATGGTACACCGAAGAAACCTTTGGCATGTCAGATCGTCTATCCGCCTAGACAGAATCCTACATATCGGCGTCCGTCTGTTCGGTCTTATCGCGGCGTTTGCCCTCTTTCTTGCCGCAATGATCGGAGGCAATGTTCTCGTCAACGTCAATCCGCCGAATGGAGATTTCGCCAGCGGCAGCGGCACAACCGCACTGGTTGCAGGATGGAGATTCGATGTGGGCTACAAGTGGGTGAGCGTGTCGTGGGTGGTGGCTTTGTCGGGGGTTGTCGCGATGGATCTCTTAGTGAGAAAGTAGATAATAACTTAAAAACACTTGGAACGAGGATATGGAATGGAAAGTGCCATGCTATTCAAAAAGGTTACCCAGAAATATGAATCACGCCTCGTCTCATTTCTTCCCGTCGATATTCATAGCCTTCATCATCTGGAGATATCCCTCCACCGCCGTATACGGACCCCCTTCGAGCCGTGCCTTACCGTCCAACGCTTCAATGCCCACCCCATTCCACTCCGTCTCCCTCTTCCCCTTGCCATGTCCGTCATCTCCGGCACGATCGTCGACAAAGAACGGCTGCAGCCAGCGCCAGTCCGCACTCTGGATGGCCGGGATGGGAATGCCCGTGCCCGGAGGAGCCGTGCCATGCGATCCCGCGGGGATCTGGCTCTGAGGCACCGGAGGCGCTGATTGATCCAGTTTGCGCGCGGTCCTGTAGCTGTCATGCAGAGAAGGACTCGTGATGACCAGCGGTCCCAACGAGAAGAACGTCGTCATCCGCTGCAGCGCCAGCTGCACACTCCACGGTGGCAGCTGGAGAGAAGCAATGGGCAGAATGCCGCTGTACGCATGGATCGCAGTGAATGGATCTGTAATGGCCGTGACGACCTTCATGGCTCCCATCCGCTGGCCATGCATCGCCGCCGGATCTAGCGTGTTCGGCAGCTTGTACGGCGACAGAGTCAGCCAGCGAGGGGTGGTCGCATCGTCGATTCGTGCCGTGGACGGCCCACTGGGGAAATACGTATACAGCGTAGAGAAATCCGCCTCGAAGCCTGGAGCCGGACCGCTCCACGTCTCGTCGTGCGAATTGAACGTGTTGCCCGCCGCATCGTAGAACCCGACGAGGCCGTCGTAGACGCGGTCGGCGTCGCCGAGCTTCACGCTGAATTGGTAAGCCAGCAGTTCCTTTTCCGGCGGTGTGGTGTTCGTGGTGGCCTGGTTCTCAAGAGGATCGGTCGCCAGTTCCAAAGACACTCCAATATTCACGAGGGCCAGTGGCTTGCCCGTGATGGCGGCCATGTATTGAGCGTAGTCCGTCGGGGCCTCCGGGACGGCGTCCAGGCCGGATCCGATGGATGCGAGAAAGTCGTGCAGGGTAGACGCATTGCGGAGCGACTCGGCAAAACTGTTGAGCTGCGACGTGCTTCCCACGGACGAGGGTTGATCAAACGGCGCCCATTTCGGTAGCGCCGTCGCGCCATTCACCCCGCCCACTCGCACCTCGCGGTAGAACGTGCCGTCCGGCAAGAAGATCTGAACGCCCTCTTCAACGTAATTGAACACCAGCCACCCCCAGATGGGCGACTCCCACTCCGCGGCAGGACGGAAGGGGGGGTCGGGAACGGCGGCCGTGGGCTCGTCGCGGATCAGAAACGCCGTGTTCAGACGGGCATCCTGGTTGATTGACGGCGGCATCTGCGCAAACTGGCAGTCGGTTCGGGTTTCTGACGGAAAGATAACGTTGGCTTCCGTGGTGGTCTTCCACAGCTGCGGCTGGTAGTATTCGCTGAGCACCGGGGAGAATGCCGGCGGAGCGACGCTCGAGCGGGGATCAATGGCACTCACGGCCTGGCCAAATTTATCAATGACGTTAAGCTTGGTGAACATGAATTGGCCGTGGGTCACCGGCTTCATCGGCGAATGCGTCTGGTCGAGAAAGGTGACCTGGCCTGCGTACGGCGTCGTGCCCGTCTCGGTGTCCATCAGCGCCACCGCGGTGGAGGTAAACATGCCATCGCTGATCGCTCCAGGCAGGGCCACGATCTGCTGGCCCGGCACTCGGCGCCCGGGCTTCACATGCGTTCCTTCGGCCTGGGTGAGGAGGTGCGTCCGGAACCCGTCGAGGGGAGCAGACATGAATTGCAGCCCGTCGACCGCGTCCGGCAGGCCGTTTCGTTCTTTGTCGTCGGGAATGGCCTGTTTCAACACGCTGGGAGGCGTGCTCAGCAGGACCTGCTTGATGAGCGCCTTGAGCGAAAAGGACGGCTGGGGCAGTATCAAGACCCGCCCGGAGACCACTCTCATGTTGCGGGCATCATAGACTGCAGGATCGCTCAATCGTTTGTCAGGCACAATGCCATATCGCGTCCGTGTGGCGCCCACGTCGAGAGCAGGCACGTTTTCAAACCGCCAGTTCTCCATGGGGATGTGGTAATAGTGCGCCTCCCACTCGAGGAACAACGGAAACCACGGCTGCGTGTCGAGCCATTGGTCTCGAGGGCCCTTCTTGCCATCGGCATGGTCGTTGTACAGTGGAGCGACCTTGCCAGACGGCACTGACGGGGAGGAGCTCTCCCCAGGGTCCGAGGGATGAAGCTGGAAGAATTCCAACATCAGGCGTTCGACAGCTTCCTGCATGGGAGCGGTGGGCAAGATGGCGGCGTCGCGGACTGCTTTCACAAACGGGGCATATGATTTCCAGTCCCCGACCGCATCGCTCGGCATCGTATCCGGTGCTGCTACTTGAGGATGTGTTCGTATCACCAGGTCATCGAGAAAGTCCGCCGGCCAGGGCGACGAGATCCCCGATACCAACAGAGTCGGGTCTCGCAGTGTGAAGAATCGATCTCGCGAGCATTTCTGACAGGGTAACTGGCTTGCCATATCGTCGATCTGTTTCTGAAGGCCAACGGGGCCTCCTGGTTTCCCAAAAGCCGAGTCGATCAAGCCCTGCACTGCATCCGCTTGCTTCTGGTGTTTCGCTTTCAGGGCCTGGATAACATGAGGATCGATGCTGGGCAGAACGGTGTGGTATTCCCACCACATCGCCCACAGCTTCCATCGCTCGAGCCGCAGATCCCGCAGCGTCAGATCCAGGGCTTCTTGGTACACATTGAGTCGATTGAGAGACGTCAACTGCTCTCCGGTGGGCTCTGTAGGCCGTCCCTGGGAATTCTCCCCCACCAGCTGCCAGTGATAACCGCTATCCTTGGCTGGAGCGAAGTTGTGGGCCGAGAGCATGTCCTGGGCCTCATACTGCCCATCAGCGCTCTCCTCTCCCTTCAACAGGATCGACTGCAGAGCCTTGATATCATCTAGCGTTCGCTTCTCGTTCGACTCTGTCGCTGTATCGACATTTGCGCGCATGAACGACAACACCGTGTCTAGCGGTGACGTACCGATCGTCACGGGCACATTTTTGGAGAAGGAATCAGCCAGGTCGTCCGCCGGAATCTTCACCTTGGGACTCTCACCCCTGAAATCAGTCGAGGAGAATTTCACGCCATACATGGAGCCGTGGCAGATGACGCGGGTGCTGTCCGGCTGGTTCAGCCAGTCGGTCACATCCGGGTTCTCCTTCACCGTGGAGTCAAACCGGAATTTGCATCCTTTCATCCTGGTCGCGTGCGTGATGGAAGCAGCCGGAAGCGTGGGATCGACCACGATGTGGAACGGATCATCCGCAATGTTCGCATCCGAGTGCCAGCCGAAGACTTGGTAACTGGCCGTGGCCGATGACAATTTCTTCCTGGGCGCCTGCGGGTGGTTGGCATCCGGGGCATATGTGAAGTCGTCGACCATGGAGAAGACATTTCCATTGTGTGGAACGTAGTCTGGGAATAGCTGATTCGAGGAGTTGAGGACCGATACTGGCACTCGCTTGGGAAGTTTATCTTCCTTCCACGGCGTGGGCTTCAGCGCATCGTCCACTTTGTAGCCGATGAATATTTCCGCCTGGCCTTCCAGATCGTCGAGGGATCCCTGGATAAACGGGGACACGTCCACCTCCAAATCCACACCTGAGCCCAGATCATCGATGTTCATCAGCCGATCGCTTTCGACCAGGAACGCATGGAATGGAGATACTCGGGCTTTGGCTTCTGGCGGTAGCACCGTGTCCATGTGCAGCCGCCGGATGATCAGCCACCTGTTCGGCGCAGATCGATATACGACCGCTTGCTTGTCGGGATCCACGCTGCCTCCCTGCGGATATCCCGAGGCCGCTCTGCGCATGTCTTCCGCTTCATGGCTCACCGGCTTGCCCTCTGCATCGGTGCCCGTTGTGGCCGTTCCACTTCGGTAGACCCGTGGCAGGATCCAATGCAGATAAACACCAATGCGATTGTCGCGAGTGTGTCCAGTCCCCAAGTCCGTCAGGCGGGAATTAGTTGACACTTTTCCAGCCGCATGAAGGTCAACATGTGGTAGGATGTCTGGTTGGAGATAGTCATATTCCGGCTCCAGCCGGAGGAAGGTGTAGTTGGGCTGTGTGATTGGAGCAATTGTGGATTTGGGCAGTTCATTGCTAGTATCAATCTGTTCAGTGTCCTTTCTTGCGATCTGTTATGTATAGGATTAAACTTGTAGGAAGCAACTAACTGACCAGAGCGAAGGATTGAGCACGAAGGCGTCGATCTTCATCGGCACGCATACTACTGGTGTGGTCGCCATTGTGTTTGCTTTCAATGTGTTTCTTCTCTGCAGACCAAGTAGTTTTTCACTGCATCACTCAACGTAGGTTCACTTGTTGGAGGGGAAATAGTTTCAGAGTTTGGATGGCATCGGGGCGGGACGTTTTTCTCATTATCCCTCTGATCCTGGAGTTTTGCACTGGTTGGCGGAAAGCAACTCGCTAGAACCTGCCATTCTGCAGTTCCCAGGAAAAGCCTCCAAGTTGTGACCGCCTGACCAAGCAGTGTAGTGGCGTTGTTGGATGTTTTCGTTCTATCACGACACCTAGGAAATGGTTTCGGCTGGCCGCATCTGGTAAGTCAGGGCCCAGGCCCGAGGTGACATCCTCAAATACACCAAACTGCCACCGTCAAAGTCTGAACGCGATAAGAGAAGATGGTTTCCACGGTTCTAGCGACAGCCATATGTCACCCTTTCATCAGCCGTGGAACAGCCTGGCCAAGCCAACCTCACTGGTGAATTCATCGGAAGCCTCCTGCATTTCCACAGCCTCCATAATAACTGCGAGGAAGATAGATATGAACAGACTAACATGCTGCACAAAGGAAATATAGGTCTCATGCTAGCCCCGCCTCCCCCAGGATAGTGACGTATAATGTGACCATTGGACGTATCATTTGGCAGAGTGCAAGCTCTTGTCATGTTGGCAGGGCCGCAATGATGTGCCATGAGCCATATAACACTGGTTCTAATAGGGCCAAAGATCATGTACAAAAGGTCCCGCCTTTTCCATCTGTTTAAGGGATAATCGAAGGGCGTCATTCGGAGCGCCTTCCTCCCGCCCCCCATTTTTCTTCATTGCACCTATACATCCGTATCCTCCACATATCCAGAGGGCATGTAATCATAATGGAGTCGAGAGCACATCCCAGACACCGAGTCCTGCAGAACATTCGGCAAAATCTAGCTGCGCACAGGGATCAAGAACCAGGTGACGATACTCCTGCTCTGGTATCGCCAGGCCAGGTCAGATTGAACTCATACTTTTGTATATCTCACCTCTTTCCTTCTGTCTTCGGCAGGATCTTCATTTGAATTGATCGACGAGCGCTTCTTGCTGAGTACTGGTCATCTATGTACAGCACCGAGTCTGAAAGCTGGTTTGCACACAATCACAGTCGATCAGACGATCAAGGCGCCTTTTTCCGCCCCAGGCTCGGACCCAAACCATGCCTTGACCTTACACAGCACGCAGGATTTCGAGGTCTATGGAATACAGTATGCTCTGCCCTCCGGAGCTGTTCACCAGACATATCCTCCGCAAGGGCATGCTGATCACAGTGGGGTCCTGCCTCATATCGTGTTCAGTGAGGCCCATCTCCCCTGGGAGCGGGGAGTGACCGGATTTGAGGGACCGCCAGGTCCCAACTTAAGAAACAGCGTCCCATGGCTGGCGTTGCTTGTCTTCACAGAAGATGAGCTGACGATCACGCAAGACGAGTTGGCTTCGATCGGGAAGGGTGGTCCCATGCCGAAAGGCATCACGGAACTTACACAATCCAAGCTGACAATGGACGTCAAGATGTCCATGACACAGATGTTAAATGTACAACATCTGCCTGACTTCCAAAGTCCAGTGAGGGAGAATGACCCTGATACGGAATCGGCGAGGATGATATTCCTCCGAGGTGATCTGTTCCAGGGACTGTTCTGCAGTTATGATGCAAACTACCAGCGCATTTTGCCTACTGGTGCAACGAATCAAAAACCGGATCTCTCTCGGTACAAGTAAGGATCTGTTTTCCTTGTGAGATGAGTTGTGGTATCAGTGCCACTTGGCTGACACTGTACAGATACATGGCGCATGTGCGAAATATCAACACAAGCAAAATGGCCGATACTGGCATAATCGATGACCAAGGAGTCTATAGCGTGGTGATCAGCCATCGAGCAGGTCCCCAGAACGGGCCACAAAGGGTTATTAAGACCCCAGAACCATCAGGGCCCCCGGTCGAAAACACCACACATGTCGTCCTGCCGCAATCAGCGATTGTCCACTTGGTCTCCCTCGAAGGAGTTGAGGATTATCTGACCTTGAACATGACTGATCCCCCAAACACGCGAATCGGTCTCGTTTCTCTTTACTCCTGGAGCTACACTGTACTCCCTCCGGACAGTATTAATTTCTTGGACGCAATGCGGAAAGTTGGGCACCAAATCCCAGATACAGCGGCGTTGCGTGCGCCAGACTTCGCATTGGACCGACTCCTTGTGGCGCAGTCGACCGACCCGGAAAAGGCAAAAAATATCAGAAAACGCCTCTACGATCGAGTCCGCGACGGCTACAGTCTTGTACGCTATCTTCCCAAAACTGGTGAGAAAACGGCGGCTTTTAGCCGTGGTCCACTCACCCCCACGTTGCCCAAGCACCCGCTGAGTGCGGACTGGCCTTCTCAGAGCAACTTCTCCACCAACCTACAGATCGTAGATTCGCATCTCGGAATGACGGATCTCACCTACTCCACCGCATGGGAACTGGGACGAACGCTGGCGATTGCCGACAAGGGCTTTGCAGCGGCCCTCAATAGGATTCGACATGCCATCAACATCTATGCCATTCCCGAGACGAAGAAAACCTTGGCCGGGGATAATTTTAGCAGCAGGGCCGATGCCTTGGCCTCGTTCAAGCAAACGGTTGCTCTGATGAACAGAATTCCCAGTGAGCTTGCTTCCAGCGGACGAACAGCGGATCCTGCCCGACGGTGGCAGACTCCAAGGCCTCAATACGAGGATCTTCCTTTGACGTCCGTTCGGCGTGATCCTGACGCTCGACGTCTCTACGTCTCCAATGTCCGTGCTGCCAGTGAGACCGTGGCGTCATCCAGGGCCAGTTCCTCTGAGCCCACCGCGAAGGTCTTGCCCTATAACGAGATCAATGTGCCAAACTCAACCGACTGGAGTACCATTTTGAAATGGATTGTCGACAAAATGTATCTCTACAATATCCCAGCTCATTATCTCATCACGGATCCAATCAATTTGCCGATTGAATCCATCCGCTTTTTCTATATCGACCCCAATTGGATCGACGCCCTCATCGATGGTGCATTGAGCACTGGCAATCACCTGGAGCAAAAGGACGATGCCGTCCGACAAGCACTGAAATATCAGCTCAACCAGTACTTTTCACACAACATCGATGACAAGGACCACCCGTTCCTCCCTCAGACACCCACATATGGATTCTTTCTCCGAAGCTCTGTCGTACAAGCTTTTCCAAATCTTGAAGTCCACGCCCCCTGGCCTGACGCAGCGGACCCTCGCTCGGAGACGCTGCGGCTCGACCTCCTTGGGCAGGATGTATTGATATGCTTATTGGACCGCTTGCCAGGTTCTCAGGATCTTTCAGAGATCATCATTTCCCAACCCCCACACCAGCAGCGGTACGTCATGGGCAAGAACTTCGGTCGAAACAGCAACACGGACTTTCCCGGAGAAAACGAAGTGGAATTCGAGTTCCGCCGTGTCTACACCACCACCGATCCGCCGGCAGTTGACCGATGGATTGCACTAGACACGCGAACCTGGACCGAGCGACGGGGCGAAACCAAGGGAACGCCCTTGGCCAAGCCCAACCCAAGCAGGATCTTCGACTTCGACACCAATGTGATCGTTTTGCCTGGCTTCGCAGAGGCGTGCACAAACATCTTGACCCAGGAGATGGGCAGCAACTTCACAGACACAGGAACAAGTTCGGCCTTGGTGGGTATCCAACTCGCGGACAGTATCAGCACGTTAAATATTACCGTGCCGTCAGATCAGTCAGGCATGAGGAGGCCGGATATTGTGTATGACAAGGATGGAAAACCGATCTCGCGACCTGCGCCGAGATTCATTCCCTTGCCGCCGCTTCCCTCAGCTCCGTCTCTGACAGCGAGTTCGGCAACCGGGAGAAGCGTCAGAGCAGTACATTCTGCAACACCATATGAGACTACGGAGACGACCATCCCTGCGGGCGATTCTCCGACTGCCGTTGTTGAAAGCTCGCTGAGCCGCCACACGCCGATCAAGGCAGAGAAACGCCATACTGTCCCCATTGAACCACCACCCCACAATACACGGAAGGTGCTCCCTATCTCAGCAGACACCCTCAGACGTCGAACAGGAGCCGTTCACAGCTCAGGGGTTGTGTTTGCCTCTGCCTCAATCCCAGGCCGCTTCGGAGGTCTTGTATTTCCGCTTGGCACAGCAGGATCGAGCAACACGATCGTTCCAGTCACCTCGACTACCGGAGGGGGGTCGATTCCAATAGATATAATCTTCTCCTTCCTACCAAACCAAAACAGCATGAAGAATCTACAAATCCACAAAGTCGTCATTTCGATTCCCCTCGGCACAGGAGAAGAACATTTGGCGGAATCCTATGACGTGATTTTCGGCGCTGGAGCCCGTATGCTCAGTAACCAGCGGTTTAACCCGCACTTGGAAAGGTACTCCGGCCCGGATGTGGCGAAACCGGGCAAGAACGTGGATCTGCTGGTTGTGACGCTCGTGCCTCGGAGTACGAGCCAGTTGGTTCCGTTGGAAAAGAATCCGGATATCAGCTTCGTGTTGAATCAGGTGCAGGTTAATGGCCTGGAGGGAGATGTGACGGTCGAAGTGAGGGAGAGTTACATGGAGAATACGCCGCGGGGGTTGGAGGACCGGGCGACAGGGAGTAGTCAGGTTATGATACGGAAGAGGAAGATCAGTTAGCTTTGCAGGTTCTTCCTCCAGGGAGGAAGGGAGGGAGGTGGTTTCGTGACTGCTGTTTTGCGCGTGGAGATGCCATTTTAGTTTAGTTTAGTTCAATGAATATCTTGGTTTTGAGGAAGACAACCGGGGTATAAGAATAGCTTCAGGGGTTAAATAGACTACTGGAAGAGATGGAGTGCTGGCACAATCCGCTTCAGTTTTGTGGGCAACAAAACATGGTACCCATGGGCGGGTATGGGTAGGGGACCCAGAGGTATCAGACGGGCAAATCGCCATTCATTAAGCTATAGTATTAGGCGGGTATATATAGTTCGTATCAATGCAACATTCCCTAAAGATATACCATCAGGGCTCCAGTTCCCAGCACGATAGACAGAGACAGCACAGTCTCCCATCCAAGTCTGCGGTTTGCATTTGCAGCATTGGGATTACCTCCCGTGACTCCATTGACCGAAATGCCAACACCGCCACTGCCACTGCCACTGTTACTACTGCCATCATTCGCCGACGAAGTCGACGTTGATCTGCTGGTTGTCGCCACATTGGTCGGGGTTACCGGATCCGTCGCACTAGCAGGCGTATAGAAGGTCATCGTAGCCGAGAGCCGCGTAAACGAGGACGAAGCGTCCGACGCGTCGTTAGCCTGCACCGAAACAACCGTCGACGTCGTCGTGACAGTCGAGGTGCGAATCGAAGCCGTCGAAGGGATATAGTACGTGTAAAACGTAACCCAGTACGTCCTATTCTCATCAGTCATCTCCCATATTTCAAACCACCAAAAGTTCATACCAGGTCACCGTCCACGAGTACCAAGTCCACTCCGCCCCGGTATAAGTCGTCGTGTGATAGGTCGTGGTGTACTGATTCTCCGTCTGCGTGTAATGATTCACCGCGTTCTCCTGCGCGCAATTCCCGTTGGGACAGCAGCCCAGTTTCCCGTTGACAGTCATGCATCGCTCCCCCGATGGACAGTACCCCTGTACGCCGCAGCACTCCGCGCCGTGGGGCATGCACCCCGTTCCGCAGCAGTGCTCGCCGGAGTTGCAGAAGTAGCTTCCGCAGCAGACGTCGCTGAGGGACCAGACGCACAGGCCATTGTCGCAGCAGATGTTGGTTGAGCAGGTTGACGGGCAGGTCCAGCGTTTGGCTAGGGGGTCAGATACGACGTCTGTTGTGGGTTCGGAGACGAGGGTGTTGTCGGGAATGCGGAGAGGGTGGAGGGGATTAAGGGCGAATGCCCCAGAAACGAACAGGAGTATGGACGATGGCTTCATTTTGGCTGCAAGGGTTTGGCCTTTGCAGAGGAGAAGGGAAATTTCTGTGGAGACTGGGGAAGGAAAAGGAGCTAGGGGTCATGTTTATAGGCGGCTTGAGCCTCAGCGATCTAATCTCAGCCATGATAGACCTTCAGCGTTTTGCATGTCAACACTCGATTGATTGGCTCTACAGATCAACTAGGACGGACGCTAAGCAGCTATACGAGATCCTACCGGGCCAAGTGGCACAAGGATCAAGTTGGACCAATGGTGGTCCGCTGTAGATCGTATTTAAGGTGCACTAGACGGTGGAGATGAGAGATCGGCAGGGTGCAAGGCCGTCGGTAGATGCCCGAAATAGTATCAAGAGCAATTCTCTAAGATAGAATTTGTGGACTATCGGTGGATAGTTTAGATACTCTGTTTAAAGCCAGACTTTGTCTGCGGTTTGATTCTTCAAGGCGTGCATCTAGGACCCAGCCCTATATTGATGGAGTACAAGCACACAGCACCAAGCACCAACAATCCCTAATACCTATCTACTATCAGAACTCTAACTACTTAGATAATCTGCTGAGCAGCATGAGTGGCTGCATCAGTGGCATTTGATTTCCGCATTCGGACACAGCTCCACAGTCGTGGTATGACGACACCACTCAGGCCACAGTTTAACTCAAATCATACAACACAAAATGGATGGCTCACTGATCAATTCAAACCCTTTTGACCCGATCGCATTAACTTGATACCATAAAATGTCCCGTCCATCGTCACGAGCCGCGTCCCTGTTCTCCTCGCACCCATCCACCCCAGTCCCTAGTACGGTCTCTCGCGAACCTGATTCCCTCGATGTCTGGATTCTAGGGAGTGGAACTGCCGCGTTAACCGCGGCTGTGCACCTCGTCAGAGAGGCCAAGGTGCCTCCGTCGAGGATCCACATCCTCGAAGCACTGAGCGAACCAGGCGCGGGATCAGTGGGCAAAGGGGATGCCGAGAAGGGCTACCACTTTCGTGCGGGATGTACCCCTCAGTTCTGCGGGAGCCAGATGGAGGAATTACTCGCGCAGGTGCCGTCGGAGAGGCCCGGCAAAAGCGTCTGGGACGATATCCAGGAGTACTTTGAAGAACATGTACCGAAGCAGGCGTCGCGGACGAGGTTCCTGGCTCGGCGGAAGAACGGACTGCAGCGGATCGAAGGGCGGAGACTCCATCTGGGGATCAAGGATAGGATGGACCTATTCCGGCTGTCGTCCAAGACGGAGAGTGCGCTGGGCCGGTCCCGCATCCGAGAGCATTTCTCCGAAGGGTTCTTCAGGACGGACTACTGGTTGGTGCTGGCGACGCTGTAGGTTGTTTCCGGACTCCAGCGTCAGGATATTAACAGGATTAGGTTCGGTTTCCGGCCATGTCACAGCGCGGCCGAGTTCCGTCGTTTCATCCAGCATTTCCCGCATGATATCCAGACGCATCATCCTCGTCCCCTGGACCGTCTCCGCTTCAACCTCCATGACTCCGTTATCGCCCCGATCGCTCGCTTCCTTCAGGCAGAGGGGGTAGATTTTCGCTTCAACTCCATCACGACTGATATCATCGTCGAGCCAGCACAGGATCCTACCCGCGTGACAGCCCTGCGGACGCGCAAAGACGAGCGCGAGGTGACCATTGATCTCGGTCCGGACGATATAATGATCGTCTCCCTTGGATCCGTCTTGTCCGGTGCTTCGCACGGATCGAACACGGAGCCACCCTCGCTAGAGATGATGGAGATCGAGAGAGACCTCGACGAGAACTGGCTGCTGTGGCTGGAACTCGCGACCAAGCATCCCAAGTTCGGCAATGCATACAACTTTTGTACGCGACTGCACGAGTCCCGCGTGGGATACTTTACCGTCACAGTCAGGAATCCGGCTATCTTCGAGAAGATGCTCGAGATCATTGGCGATGATCCTGCGACGGGCTCGTTGGTCACCCTGAGAGATAGCAGCTGGTTGCTTACGCTGAGTCTGCCCCGGCAACCGCTGTTCCCGGATCAACCGGACGGGGTTCGAGTTTTCTGGGGCTACGCGCTGAACCCAGAGGACAAAGGGGACTTCGTCAAGAAGCAGATGCTATCTTGTTCAGGCGAGGAGATATTGACAGAGGTTCTGCATCAGCTTGATCTCCCAGTCGACGAAATCCTGCCTCAGGCAATCACCATTCCATGTGTGATGCCGCGATGGACGTCCCCCTTACTGCCGAGGAGTAACGGGGACCGGCCCCAGGTGGTTCCCCCAGGAATGACCAACATGGCGCTCATCGGGCAGTTTGTAGACATCCCCGAGGAGGTGGTCACCATGGACTATATGGTGCGAGGAGCGCAGATGGCGGTGCATCAGCTGATGGGACTGGAGAGGGAGATGAAGAAGTCGAAGAAGGGATCTGCAGTAAATCTGCTGGGGTTTCCGAAGGACTAGTAGATTTGCCAGGATGTATACTATGATAACTTACTAGTCTAGATCCGAGATATCCCGTATATGGCATGAGACAGTGAATCTCTGATACTAGATATTATTCCTTGTGATTGGACCGGGTCTACGCACGGTTACCGAGTGTCAGATGCCTCGGTCCATTGTGATACTTGACTTAAGCCTTGAGTCCCCGCATTCCCAGACGCTACTTTGTAAAGAATTTCCCCAGATTGTGACAAGCTATTGATAGAACATTATGGATCCGGCAACTTCATCGCAGCCTGCCACCGCGGACCGGGGCTCCTTCACCACCCCCGAGCCGCTGCAAAATACATATAAAACCGATACGAATCTCCATCGCCTGCTTTCATGTGAGTTTTGCAGCAGATTATAAATACAAACAACTAACGTCAAAGGGTACCTTCCATCATCGACCTATCAATCCATTCAGTCCAACCTCGCCCAGCTCGGCGAAGAAGCCATCTCGCCTCGAATCCGCGAATGGAGCGCCGACGCCGAGCGCCACCAGCCCTACGTCAAGGGATATAACGTCTGGGGCCAGCGATACGACTATGACCGATTGATCACCAGCGAGGGCTGGAAGCAGCTGAGCCGATGGGGTGCTCGACATGGGTATTTCTTCTGTTCATTCCCTGAGGCCCAGAACTAACCCAAGCAGCGTGGTGGCATTAGGCTACGATCATAGCTACGGCGCCTCCCGCCGTCTCGTCCAATACACCGTCAATTATCTCTACGGGCCTTCGTCAGGGTTGACGTCCTGCCCCGTCGCCATGACCGACGGCGCGGCGCTGATCTTCTCCCAACAACTACAGCAACAATCCCTCCCAGACGACCATCCCTTCCGAGTCGTCTTCAACCACCTCACCTCCCGCAACGAAGACTTCTGGACCTCAGGCCAATGGATGACTGAACGCGCCGGCGGCAGCGACGTCCAAAACACCGAGACGTGGGCCACCCACGACCCCTCCCCCAGCACCACCAACCCCACCACCCTCGGCGAAGGCGAGTACAGCATCAGCGGCTTCAAATTCTTCTCCTCAGCCACAGACGCCGACGTCACCCTCCTCCTCGCCAAAACCGCCCCGTCCGGAAAACTAAGCACCTTCCTCGCGCCCCTCCGACGCACCATCACATCCCCCAACCAGCCACCCCGCGAAGTAACCAACGGCGTGCGCATCCACCGCCTCAAAACCAAGCTCGGGACCAAGGAACTCCCCACCGCGGAGCTGGAGCTGCGGGGCATGCGCGCGCACCTGGTCGGGCAACGCGACAAGGGCGTCGCGACCATCGCGCCTTTACTCAATGTCACCCGCACGCACACCTTCATCGGCTCGCTGGGTGCGTGGCGCCGCGCGCTGAGTATCGCGAGGGCGTTTTCGCGCGCGCGCAGCACAGTCGGCGAGCCGCTTTGGCTCATTCCGATGCATTTGCGGCTGCTGGCGGAGGTTGAGGTGCGGCAGCGGGCGGCGATGCAGTTGGGGTTCTTTACGGTGGGGGTCATGGGGGTTATTGAGAATCCTGCGGACACTGCAGCAGTGCCTGGGCATGTGCCGAGGGGTGCCGAGGCGACGGTGGTCTTCCGGGCGTTGACGGCTGTGTCCAAGGCGGTGATCAGCAAGATGGCGATTCTGGGGATCCAGGAGTGTCAGGAGGCCATGGGGGGTGTCGGGTATATGGATGAGCCGGACGAGCCTGAGTTCAATGTCTCGCGGCTGCTGAGGAATACCGCGGTGAATAGTATCTGGGAGGGGACGACGAATGTGCTGGCCAGCGAGATGGTGCGGTTCCTGCTGGCGAGGGATAATTTTGTGGTATTTGCTGGGTGGGTTGAGCGGGTGTTCGGCATGATACGGGGGGAGAAGTTGGCGCAGGCGTTGGGCCAGGCCTGGACGGCGTTCAAGGGCAAGGTGGCCAGGGATGTTGCGTCAGTTCTGGCGGATGGTCGTCGAGTCATGTTTACTCTTGCGTGGATTCTGATGGGGGCGTTGCTGGCGCTGGATGCCGAGCGAGATGGAGATGCGGTGGCGGCGGAGGTGGCTCGTCGGTGGATTCTGGCTGGCGAGGGAGGAGTCGGAGACACGGTGCACAGGGATATCGTGAAGCCGTATGAGGCAGACGGGGACGACAAAGATCAGGCCAGCTGGGACTGCCGGATTGTCTGGGGAGAGGAATTGCCCCAGAGACAGGTAGCCGGCCATCGTTCTCTGAAGAACCAGAACAAGCTGTAGCATTCTCTTCATACATCATATCATACTATATTACAGTTAGGTGCAATCAAATATCCAACAACCACGACCCGCTCCAGTCAAAGCCCGACCCCTCCCAGTTCTGGTCCAAGATATCCATATACCCATCGAACGGCATCACATCGCGCTTTTCCGTCTCCAGACTCGACACCTGACTAGGTACTATCCTCTCTCCCTGTATGACCGCCCACTGCCGACAAAGCCGCCGATCAATCCCATTGAAGAAATCCACCAGACCAGGTCCCAGACTCGGCACAACTCCCTCAAACAAGGGCTGTCGCCGCACCTGCTCCGTCAACCTGTCCAGCGCGCGGATCGGGCCCACCGCCGAGCGCCAGCGCTTCGACAGCGTCTGCAGACACAGCTTGATCGTGGACAGCTCATACTCGGCTGTTTCCTTAAGCGGCTCGTATCGATACGCCGACAGCAGCGACAGCCCGGCGCTGAGCCCGTACAGCGCGAAGATCGGACCGAGATACTGCAGTTGGTCTTTCTGGTGGAAGTCCTCGAAGATACCTGCTATGCAGGACGCGGCGACAAGGGACGCCGCCGACGGGACGCTGTTGGGTGTGGGCGAGCGGTGAAGGATGATCAGGATAGCCAGGTAAACGACCAGCAGCTGGTTGACCTCGAACGCGTGTGTCGAAGAGATAGTGTCGGGCGGTGCTGCGGCGCGGAGGGAAAGAAGGGACTGGTTGATCCAGCGGTAGAGGGCGTTTTCGAGCTGGCCGCGGCGGTCCAGGGACATGGTCTTGCGGAGAGAGCCTTCGACTGTGTCGCCTAGCAGCAGACAGATGCTCGTGTAGGCGATGAAGAGCTGCGACTTGTCGTTTTGGACGTCAAAGTCGTCCACGCTCGGCGGGAGGACGTCGCTGTCGCAGAGGTTGATGGTCCGGGGTCGTCCGGTGCCAGCGGAGATGATATTATCGCGGACCTACGCGGTCAGTGCATGCTTTATTGCTGACAGATATTACATACGACTAAAGCCCACCAGAGCCTCCTCCGCAGCCCCCGATCCTTTGCATTCGCGGCAGGTTCCTTGTGCAATCCAATCTGAAAGGCCATGGCGCCGGCCGTGCGGATCCAGAACCCGCTCGTGTCAGTCGAGACCTTCTCCGGCCCGACGGGGTTATACCAGTGCAGCAGGCACGCCGACACGATCGAAATAAGCGAGTTGTTGCCGCTCCCGAAGAAGTAGAGCAGCTTCGCCTTGCGGTAAAAGTCCTTACTTGATACGTCGTCCGAGGGCGCAGACACACGACTCCCCGCCAGCAGGACGGCCTGCAACAATAGCGGCGAGGGAGTCTCCGCGGTTAGCCATTCCGGGTTGATGATCGGTGTCCATGGCGCACAGTACCGCATAAAGCAGTCGATGAGATGGTCCTGGACGGGCTTGGGCGGGAGATCAAACACCCGCTGGTGCTGGAAGAGCTGCATGTCCTCGTGGTTGTCGGTGTCGAGGGCATCCTGGCCGGACTGCACCAGGGTCTCGTCAAAGGGGACACTCCCGCTGAGATACTCGCTGCGGCCGCTGTAGCTTTTTTCAGTGGAGATGGGAGCGGCGGGACTGTATGCGGTGCGGGGGTCCTCCCGCGAAGGGGACAGGCTGTTGGTGATTCTTTTGCGTTTGCGGGTGAATGGGCTGATGTGTCAGTAGAGGACGATCTGATGGATGAGAGGCTTACAGGCACTCGGCCTTTGCTTTGATGCAGTTGCTACATGGCTGCTGTTTCTCCAGATCGCATTTCACCTGCTGGACTTAGGAGGTGCGTCACATACTATTTGGGCATACTCCGTACCTTTCTCTTGTGACAGATAATGCATGCTCTGATGACTGCTGGCATATTCCATGTCTAGTCTGCCCCGTTCTTCGTTCATCAATTATAGTTGATATCAAATGGAGGCATAGACGAAGATGAGGTCCAAATAACCGACCATTGCCGAGGAAACGGGCGGGCCGGACGAGACACCAATCAGATTGCAGGATGCATTCATACGATTCATACAATATCGTAGAAACGGATATTATCCTGTAGGTAGAACCGAAAGAAGGTTATAAACGCTTGTTCGTGTCATGCCCTAATCCCCCGGGACAACTCCAGAAAAATACACATATATATATATATAGATTTTTCGCTAATCCCATATGTCCATAATCATGCCCCTTTATTTCAAGTCAATAAGTCAAAGGGAAGACTATAAGAGGATACTCCCTGCATCACACTGGAAGACACTATAGTGGTGCTGGAGTCTCGATATCAAGTCGCCAGCGCATTCAGGACCAAAGATCCTCTCTTCAAATGAGCAATTAGGTTACCTAGCCGCCCGCTGGTGCCTGTAATAGTTGTAGACTTGTAGTACATCAGACTGCACCGCCTTCTTGTTTGCCCTGTCCAACCATTTCATGTGGACTGCAGGTGTTTCCGCAGGGGCATTGGGCGATTGGCCAGCAGCGTCTGTTCCATCCATGGGCTTTCTCCATACATGAAGTTATGAAATCCGCCATCTCGTCCATATAGCGCTTCCTGGGCGGCTATTCTGCAGCCCCTGCACAGCCCCGGCGCGATTCCTGCCCGGTGCGTCTTGCTTGCACTGCTACCTAATTTTTCAAGTCTCACCATCCAGAATCCATCTAGACAGGCTGATACTCTTTCTCGTAAACACCTCTGTCAGAATACGAGCCTTGAGAGCAGGCAAATTTAAAGGTTTCCTGAATCCTTGATGGTTGAGTCGATTGTTGAAAACAGTCTATCACGTAGTAAAGTAGGCAAAATCATGTGCGCCGATTACGAGATACGCTGACAACCTCAAGATACAATGGAAACCAAGACGAAACGTCTATCTCATGATGCATATACAGTGGCGCTGTTCACCCCCCGCGAGATTGAGTTGAGTGCAGTGAGATATATGCTCGACGAAGAACATCAGCCACTACCGAGCGCCGGCAATGACCCGAATAACTATGTTCTGGGACGGCTCTGTCAGCACAATGTCGTTATCGCGTCCTTGCCTACCGGATACCAAGGTAAGATCTCCACTGCGGTCGTCGCAGGAGATTTGGCGCGCACCTTCCCGTCGGTCACGCTTCGATTGCTCGTGGGCATTGGAGGTGGCGTGCCCAGCGACACTACCGACATTCGTCTGGGAGATGTGGTGGTCAGTGTTCCATCTGGATCTCAGGGTGGTGTTGTTCAATACGATCTGGGAAAGCAGACTACAACTGGGTTTCAACGCAAAGGATTCTTGTGCCCCCCGCCCAGTGAATGGCTGGCTATTCTCCCGAGAATGAAATCTGATCACCGCGTGCGGCCCAACATGGTCTCAAGTCACATAGGAGATATGCTGAGAAGATTTCCAGTATTGTCCGAGTATAAGAGACCGTCGCCTGAGATGGACATCTTGTTCAAGTCCGACTACGACCATTGCATGGATCAGCCAACTTGCCAGTCCTGCGATAGACAAAAGGCAGTTCCCCGGCAGAAACGCAGCGCTCCGGATCGACCTTTCATTCATTACGGGGTCATTGCATCAGGGGATCGCGTGATGAAGAATGCGAAGGAGCGGGACATGATCAGTAAGAGTAGCGAGGGCGCGATCTGTTTTGAGATGGAGGCAGCAGGCCTTATGAACGATTTCCGCTGCATTGTTATTCGTGGAATCTCCAACTATGCGGACTCGCACACAAACGATATTTGGGAACCCTATGCCGCCGCAGCTGCCGCGGCTCTTGCAAAGGAGCTCCTTTCGTATCTGGAGGTATCGAGCAGTAAGTGATATGTAATGATAATATCCAGTGACGCTATGAGAAAGCTGACCAAGGATGTCAAAATGCTGGCAGCCACCATTCAATGCTCTCGTGAGACTGCTGCCTTGAAGGCTTTCTACACTGAAGGGAAGCGTCTTAATATAGAACGTATTTCGGGTCAACTACTCCCAATGAGTCACTGTTATATAAATCTGGCAGTGGTGAAGCGCTCATTACAGGTCGGCGAGAATCATCAATCATTCTCTCTCATGCCACGCCTCAAGATGCAAGCAGATAAGGACTCAGACATCATCCCCTTGCCATCGCTATTTGAACCACGCACTGGATCATCACACACGCCTTCGGTACCCAAACGCATCCTGATCGAAGGGCGGGCCGGAGTAGGAAAGACGACTCTCTGCAAGAAGATCGTTTATGACCACCTCCACCATCAACTGTGGAGCCACCTTTTCGACTGGGTATTGTGGGTTCCATTGCGCAAGCTGCGACGAAGATCGAAAACGGCAGTTGCGTACAACTTGGAAAATCTGTTTTATGACGAATATTTCTCTCAACACCCTGATGGCAAAGACTTGGCACGAGCATTGTCGCAGGCTGTCAACGATCCCTCCCTTAGCAACCGAGTACTTTTCTTGCTCGATGGTCTCGATGAATTTTCCAGTGAATGGGATACAGACACGCCAATGCACGATTTTGTGTCCCATCTGCTGAAGCAACCGCAGGCCATTATCACGACAAGACTCCGCCCCTCGGATCAAATCGATCTAGGGACTGTCGATCTCGAACTAGAAACCATAGGATTTCTTCCTGACCATGTAAACAACTACATCAACCACCCAGAGATTGTACCTGACGGTGGGACTGCGAGGGAGATTGAGTCATTCTTGCAAAAGCATACCCTTATGCAAAGCCTCATGCGAATCCCTGCCCAGCTGGACGCACTGTGCTATAGTTGGGAGCGAGACTCGTTGGAAGGGAGGCCGCAGACAATGACCAGCATTTATCAGGCAATTGTGCTGAAGCTGTGGAGAAAGGATATTCTGCAGCTGGGCATTCGAGATAACCAAGGAATGCCGCTAACGGAGGGGAGAGTAAAAGACATCTTCGAGTCTGACATCGAGGATTATATATTCAATGAGATCGACCTAATCGAGGGTCTTGCCTTCCACGGGCTCACCAATGATATTATCGAATTTCGGTGGAAAGACCGACAATCGTTCTACAGACTTTTCAAACGGCACGAGGAGAAGCGTCCTGCCGATGGCGAACGTGTGCTTCGGAAGGCCTCATTTCTGCGTACCTCAGACGATACTCTGCAGAGACACGAGCAAAGTTTTCATTTCCTTCACTTGACCTTCCAAGAGTTCTTTGCAGCGAGATATTTTGTCAGGCACTGGCTACAGAACAAGCCTCTCCCGCTCTATCGTGTGGGTCAACAATCAACGAAGAACTCTTTAATGGCACCCCGATTGTTCCTTCAGGCAAAGAAATACGATTTGCACTATAATATATATTGGCGTTTTGTAGCAGGACTTTTACAAAACTGCTGGCAGTCAGATGCTGCAAGCGGAGAGTTGGTGAGAGATTACTTCGATCAACTAGACCGTGAGCCTCGCGACGTGATGGGACCGGCCCACCGGCGACTTACCATGCATTGCCTCAGTGAGGTAGCCCCCGCGAGCGATGATGAGGCCATTTCGGAGAGGAGGTCTTCGCTTGAGAAACGCTGCTGCAATGGGTAGTGCTCGAGTGCAAACTTACCTCATACCCAGAAATGGCCACTGAGATGCAATGTCCAAGCCGTACCATCACAAGCCTTCTCGGGCCGAGTTACGAAAGGTATCACGAACAAATTCTAGAGACCTTATGTGGCCGAAAAGTACGAGTATCCCAAGATGTACTGGATGCAGCGGCTTTGTTGCTCAAAAGAAATGCGCCTGTCTCAGTGAGACGATGGGCAGTAGCTTTGTTATCAAGAACCCCGCCCTCTTTTACCGATGCTCAGCCGGCAGGCCCTAAAGAATCTCTTTCGTTGTTGGATACCCCTCGCCTTTGACACGCAGATCTGCTGCTTTTTTGAGAAAGGCAAGCTGATTATCAATGGTCTGAAAGGGAGGTTTAAACTTGATTTCGAGAGTGACCAGCAAAGAGAGCAGTTCATTCAGGTGCTTCAACCGGTGCAGATGGATCTGGGATTTCCTACCGCTGGCACGAGCTCTGATGAACAGTCGCCGGTACCGAGCTGGGTTACCTGCAAGCGATCTGCTGAATCTGCGGGGTTTGTAATGGAACGTCCGAACAATAAATTGGGAAGCAATGTCCGCGTCCTCGACTCTCCTCCGGACTTGGAACATAAAGCTGGCGTGGTCAGCCACTTCTGATGCTTCAAATATACTGGCAGGCTCCTCATTCTTGCTACTATTGCATTCTCATTCAGATGTATAGTTCACCACCTTCCCTGCACCCAGTGATGCCTGATCTATATTCACCTAGCTATTCCTCATAGTCTTGATGTAGATAGTCTCCCATAAGCAGTATTCTCTGGGGGTAGTCTACTACTAAAGTCCACAGCTCTGGAATGCAGCAGAAGTCATAGACCAGTCTGTGCTGGAAGTAGTAAGTATAAAATAGCTAGTGCACAGTAACTACCTGGTCATAGTAGAGTCCCAACCTATAGTTGGTGGCTAGGTGTGTTGGAGTAGTTCTTTAGTCCTGGGTTGTTGCTCCTGTTATTCTCTAGAAATCTTATAGGGTTAGGAATCTAGATCTAGATAATTGGCTGCGTAATTACCAGGTGAGTAGAGTGATTAATAAAGAGATGTTTCTACTGATAGGTCATGCAGCCGTCCCATGACCCTGATATAGCTTATCACTCTCTATATTCCTGCTATAGAGTTAATTTGCTAGTACTGGCTACCTCCACAGTGGTAAGCTTCACATATAGATGAGTCTAGAGCGCTATTTTCCTATACCATTGCAGATAATAATGACCTGACAAGGAGAGACAAGGCTTGGGGAATGCTAACCCAGATTCCTTCTGGGCTTATCAGCTTAGGAAAGATCAAGATTGCGCCAAGCCTTCTCTCATAACCTTCGCAGGAGGAGGATTTGGCCAAAATGGTCGCCCTTGCCACAAAAGGAGACACAGGTTCTCGCTTTACAAGCGATAAGTTCCGCCAGCTCATTAGTAGATTTATTAGCATATGCTCTTGACATGACTCACCTGTTCATAGACCTGTGCCAACCCCGTCTTTGGAGTAATGACTGTCGTCAATGTAACCCAACGCACGAGCCGCAATGACTCAAGGCTCTATATATAAACGGAAAGGCCCATGCGTGTGATGACCATGTTGTAGCGCTTATGCATCCTGAGGGCACCAATAGCGGCGGCACCTCGAAGGCTTAGATCTTCTAGTCAATATGCCTATTCATCCTCTGTCTCACTGCGGGATTGAGACGGACTACAAGAGCCGCAATTAATCAAGTGAATGGTGATTGCAAAGTCGTACGTGGCACTCAAATGTCTCTAAACCATGTTTAAGAGCCAATGAGGCAGTGCCAGCACATGGAACAACGGCTATTTAGCCTAGCGAACCCTGCCGTCCAAAAGTCACACGTGCGTCACTTTCCGTCTTGTGTTGAGGCTTGTAGCTTGTGAGTCCAGGAGCAGGAACGGATCGACCAGGAAGATTTGAAAAGTCAAAACTGAACTCTGCCAGGACCGATACCCGAACCGATCTTTACCTTTTACTTTGGAAGATGCCAAGCCACTACAAAGGGGCATTGATGGGTCAGAGGAAGAAGTGGGTTGCGTTTAGGGTCTTACGGGTTCAGTGTTTTGCTATGGTTATAGGATTGGCTAGGGTTCCATAGTTGCGACATAAAATCTGATCTGCTGTAGGCCACCATAGGCACCAGCTGATAGTATCCTCGATTGTTGCCTGTCATTATCCCCAATCCAGCCAGAGATGCCGAGCATTGACTGACGGCAGTAGATCAAGAATAGTGATAAGTTAATAACTGCTTTTTCTGGCTGTTGGCGTCCAGACTGCGGGATATCCACCTGTTCCTGGCTTTGGCCCACTTGTTCCCTGGACTATTGGACTCAGACTGATTTCTCGCCGTGTTCCTCCGGGCTTAGCGTGATAATAAGACAAAAAGTTGTGACCGAGTCTACGGCTTATTGGCTCGTTTCCTGCGCTGAGATGTAACCTCATTTCCCGGAAGAGTGTCGGACTGTCGGCGGATTGGCCGGCAAACGCTCAGGTACTATTCTCTGTTGCCAAGGTATCGTCTCTTTGAATACTGTCAGTGTGTCTTTGGCCTTGTGGAAGAGGCTTGAATGTTTACATGCTGCGAGAGGATTGCACAAGCTAAGCACTGGATAACTACTGATCTAATCGTCTCTGTCGGAGACTCGGAGATATCTAGTCTAATATTATAATATCTACTGTGGTGCGCGGATCCGGATCCAACTCATCTCGTCTAATAATTAGTCCATCTCGCTAGACACTGGGGGGATAGTGGCAAAGAGGCCCGAGAGTCAAATTTCCACCATTTCCCTTACGACCATTCAGACGAGGCTGAAATCCCCGCTAAAACCACTTGGTTTGACTCGGTTCCGGGCCAAAATATCAGTAGCATCGACAAGAGCCGCAACATCCACCAACTAGACAAAGTCTACCAGCCATGTCGCTTCAGCCTGGTCAAGGAGGGCATAGCCTCCTTCATAAGAAGACGAGTTCGCCTCGTCTGTTGCTTTGAGTTTTTTTCCCCTTCCCTTTCTGGTTGTCTGATTGTCCATCGCTCGTTTCCTGATCATATATAGATCATCCATTCTTTTGCCGACAATATAACATCACGCTCTACACCACAAATCCTATCTTACAATCGTTCCACTTCCACTTACTAATTAAAATGCGTCTCTCAATTGCTTCTGTCGTCTCCTGCCTGGCGGCTCTCGCCTTGGCCGCTACCAACCCCGACTACACCCACGACCCCAGTGGAAATGCCATCGTCAAGCCCGGTCTCAACGAGCAGGTGCCTGCTGGAAAGCCCTACACAATCGAATGGGATCCCACTACCACTGGGCCGGTCTCGCTGGTGCTCCTGCGCGGTCCCAGCAACAATGTCCTCCCCATTGCGACCCTGGCCGACAGCATCCCCAACTCCGGGAGCTTTTCCTGGACTCCCAGCACCTCCCTCGAGCCAGACACCACCCACTACGGTCTCATGCTGGTTGTCGAAGGCACCGGCCAGTACCAGTACTCGACGCAGTTTGGTATCTCCAACCCAGACTACACTGGCTCGACTTCCAGCTCGTCTTCGACGGCCACTACCCCGATTGAGACCAAGTCCTCTTCCGTGACGGAGTCTACTTCTAAGCCCTCGACCACTGGCACGACTACTGCTACTACGACCGCGACTTCTGGTTCGGCCAGTGCCAACTCCACCACCACCGCCACCACCGCCACCACCTCGGAGACCTCCGCCACTACCCTGGTCACCCAGAGCAGCACCACCGATGCACCCACCTCGACTGTGGTTGTGACTGTTCCTAACAGCACTGGCGGCTCTTCCGCCGTTGCCTCTGGCTCCGCCAGCCACTCCAGCAGCCCGTCCCCCTCGGCGACTCTCTCGAGCGGAGGGGACCGCAAGGCGATCAGCCTGGGGGCGGTCGTAGTGGGAGCATTCGCCGTGATGGCTTTTTAAGTGATGGGACCGCAGCTCGAGTTGTGCTATGTATGTAGCGTAATAGCTAATGACTTTTCCTGAATATATACCCCTGGATATGAAATACAGTACACTACTTTATGGTCGAGCGTGCCTTCATCGTGGGTGGCCTGAGTGACGTCACGATTAGAACTCTCTATCTCCACATTCCATTCTTCATTCTTCGGCCTTTGATATATCAATCGGTCGCAATGCAATGGCTTCAATATAGTGATGTGCCAGATTGACCACAGCAGAATACATGGAACCCTCACAATGCCCTCGCACAGCATCTCCGCACAACAGCTGGCGGACATGCTGCCCACCGGCGTCGCCATCCTCAACCACCGCGATGAAGCCATCTTCACCAACCGCCGATTCCGCGACCTCATGACCAAGTGCGACCCGCGCTCCTTCGCCTGCTGGTCCCAATCCATCCATCCCGACGACTTCGCCCGCCTCGCGGAAGCCTACCACGACGCCTCCCGCGCCCAGCGGCCCCTCCGCATCGAGTACCGCACCCGCGACGACGACTGTCCCTGGCGCCTGCTCACCCTCAGCCCCATGGGCCCCGACGAGCGCGCCCTCTTCGGCCTCGCCACCGCCGGCGGCGCCATCTGCACCATCGCCGACATCACCCAGGAAAAGACCGCCGAGCTCTCGCAGCGGAAAATCGCCGAGGAAGCGCAGCAGCGCAAAACACAGCAGGAGCGCTTCATCGACATGATCAGCCACGAGGTGCGGAACCCGCTCTCTGCCATCCTCCACTGCACCGAGGACATTCTCGAAGCGGTACACCGAGCCCGCAAGGGGCAGAGCTCCGCCGAGGAGACCCACGCGACCATCGCGCAAGCCGCCGAGACGATCGGGCTGTGCGTCGCGCACCAGAAGAAGATCGTCGACGACGTGCTGACCTTCTCGAAGGTGGACGCGGGGATGCTGACGCTCACGCCGCGCCGGGTGCAGCCGCGCCGCCAGCTGGCCACCTCGCTGACTATGTTCCGGCCCGAGCTGCGCAAGGAGAACATCGAGTTCGAGTACAAGCTGGACCATTCGTACGAGGAGCAGGAGATCGACTGGGTGATGGCCGATCTGGACCGCATGAGCCAGGTGCTTATCAATCTCGTCTCGAACGCCATCAAATTCACCGCCAAGTCCGGCGGCGAGATGAAGGTGCGTGTGTCGATGGGTGCGTCGACTACGCGGCCCCCGTCGTATCCGCCCAACGTGGTGTTCTTCAACTCGGATAAGACCGCGTTGGGGCTGGACAAGACGCAGCAGACGGAGTGGGGGGACGGGCCGAGAGCGTATATCATGGTTGCGGTGCGAGATACAGGGATTGGGATCAGCGATGAGGCGCAGAAGCGGCTGTTTGAGCGGTTTAACCAGGCGACGCCGCGGACGGAGAGCATATACGGGGGCTCGGGGCTGGGGCTGAACGTCAGTCGGCGGCTGTGTCATCTGCACGGCGGCGAGATCGGGGTGAGCTCGAAAGAGGGCGAAGGCAGCACGTTTGGCTTCTTCTTTGCCGTCCGCAAAAGCGACGAGGTCGGAGAATCGTCCACCAGCCCGACGGCTGAGATTGACCAGACCTGCCGGAAGATCCAGTCGCTGGGAAATGAGATGACCAACGAGAAACATCAAATGACCTCGCCTGCCATTCCGGAGGACCCCGAGGTGACTTATATCGAAGAGATCAATCCCGCCTGCAACAGCGACGGGAGAAAGGACCACACGGCCAAAATAGCCGAAGAGATTACAGACAATACAGACACTGAGAGCTCTACACACCAGACCCAGTCCAAGGAGGAAAATGACGGCAAAACAGACGGCCAACGCATCCTCCTCGTCGAAGACAATATCATCAACCAGCGCATCCTCTCGCGGAAGCTCCAAGGCTGCGGTTTCAGCGTCACCGAGGTCTGCAACGGCCGAGAGGCTCTGGACGCCGTGAAGAAAGACCACTTTGACTGTATTCTCATGGACCAGGCGATGCCGGTGATGGACGGCAATTCCGCGACCAAGGCGATCCGCGAGTTTGAAAGGAACGATCGGCGGAGCATATCCCCGTGCTAGGGGTAACGGCGAATGTGCGAGCAGAGCAGCAGGAGGAAATGCTGCAGGCTGGCATGGACGATGTGATCCATAAGCCGTATAAGATGGGTGAGCTGACCGAGAAGATTGAGCATTTGATTCTTAAAGAGTCGGAGTAGACTGGAGATTGACAATTTTGTATATATCTTGATACCAGGCATTAGTCGCTTGTAAATGAGGATATAATCCCCTAGGTTTGTTTTACTGTTTTTGGTATCTTCCCCTGATACACTGTCAACTCTGGTCACACTGATCTTGAGTATATAAGAGCTACTATATTTCATCTACCTATTTACCGGATACTACTGTACCTGTTTTTTTTATGGCCATACCCCTGCATCCAAAGGAACAATGAAATATCCGAACCCGAACTGGATGACCCCCTACTTAATCTCTCCAGGAGCCCCGTTAAGCACATATGCTTAATTACTCAACCACTTCGCTGGCAGATATGGCCCACTACTTCAGTCAATTCCCACCCGGCGTTGTTCAGCCTTCTGGGTCTGTAGTTGGCGAGGACGCCGATGAGCAGGGGGACTGTAAGGCATGGCACATTATCCTCAATTTATGTGAATCTGGATGGATCTAACTATACCAAGGAGACTGACAGAAATACTGCAACTGAAGAAAGCCAGAACCTTATATTGAGAGAGCCCTCGGAGCTGGTGGCCTACGAAGCTCCACTGGAAATTCTAAGTCAAGGCTCGACCGCGGTGGTCTCGAGAGTCAGGCCTGGTGTTGTTCTAAAGTCTCCCCGTTATTCATGGTGGCATTCTCCAACTGAAGCGACGCATGCTTTGGTAAAGGAGATCAAGAAAAGCTTCACTGTCGAGGAGCAAATCCTTGAAATTCTGGGTGATCACCCCAGGATAGTACGGTAGGAGCTGTTCCTTACACCTTATTACTGGTTTAACAACCGCCAGGTTCCTCGGTGCTTCGCAGAACCCCCGAGGATTACTATTCGCTGAAGCCAGTGGTGGTGACCTGCAAGCATACATCGACCAGCACGTTGGCACGACTGACCCAGCGCTGCGCGTAAAATGGTGCCATCAAGCCGCGGAAGCTGTCCATTACATCCATATAAAAGGCGTCATCCACTCGGATCTCCGGCCGGAAAGCTACCTCCTGCACAATGACAGTCTTGACCTCTCGCTCTGTGACTTTGGTGGCTCTACAAGCGGTAACATAGATGGCGGCCATCTGCCAGATTCTGGCTTTTTTGATCCGCGCAAACCTTGGGTTTCCACCATGGCGACGGATATATTCAGTCTTGGGTCGGTATTCTATACTATTGTAACGGACCACTGGCCTTACAGGTCCCCAGGCCCATTCACTTCAGTGGAGGACAAGTTGGCGTACGCAGACATGGTTGATCAACTCTTCTCGCTAAGCAAATTTCCCTCCACTGATGGCTTGCTTGGTGGCTCTGTGATACAAGGTTGCTGGATGGAAGGGTATGATGATGTGGAGGGAATTCTCCATGACCAGGACTCTTTATTCGAGGATTTCTTGCGGCGGGATATATGATATGAGAATCCAGCAGTAATCTTTGGTTTCCAACGCTGCTGCGTGTCACCGGCAAGCTTCCTTGTTCCGGCTTTTCAGTCTCCTGGGATTCTAAAAGGCTAGTCCGTGTAGCTCTGGTCGTCTGCTAGGGAAGAGGCAAGGCTGTTAAGAGTTTTAGGACAACTAACATAACTTTGGAGAGCTTGTCTAACCGGCTCAAAGCATAGTGTGTAGCATCTTGGGGTGAAACTAGGCTCTTGGTTAGCAGCTATTCTAGTATACGTAAATCCTAGATTCTCTATTGTACTTATCAGAGTATGTGTAGTAGAAAGCTCTGTACAACGGTCAACGTGTGGTAGAGGAGGAACTAATGGGACAAACTGACAAGGTAGCGCATACTAAGGGAAGTGCGTATAAATGGCTTGGCCATGCAGCCGATCTTAAATATGCTTTCTCCCTTCTTAGGTACATATTAGGAAACTAGCGGTGAGCTACAGTGTCATTTCAAACAGTGAAGCCAACTCCGACAATCATACATCCTCTAACATCCCCGTGCATTACTTCCCATTCCTTCTCCAATTATGAATCCGTATGAAACGGAGCCAGAGCATATCCCATCCACCGACTTATATGCAGATGTTCCGCTTTACGGACGGTACCGCCCCAAACCGGGCGACTTTCATGTTAATCCAGAGCACGTCGGCTCCCAATCCTCAGACTCAATGCAATATTGGGCGTCAGTAGTTGGCTTCTGCGATGAATCTATCAGGATCTACCCAGCGGACGACGGTGGTCGTGATGTCTTTGCTCTCGGCAATGTAATTGTCAAGTCAAGCCATCTCCACGATACACAGGAGATCGACTATTCGTTTGCCGATGCTAATGAGGCCCGCGCCATTACCATTGCCAAGGGCGTGCTCAAAGATATCAGGGTACCGGAGATTTACTTCGCCGGCAAGGTATTTCCTCACTCGCTGCTTTATAATTCTACCTGAAGTGCTTACACTACCCCAGATTCATGGCCGCCAAGTGCTAGTCCAAGAGAGACTCCCCGGTGTTACGTTGAGCGTTGCATGGCCATATCTCTCACAGAGCCAAAAGCAGTCGTTCAAAGAGCAGGCACGGGTGATCCTTCGGCAGCTGCATGCCATCAAGCCGGATGATAGATGTCAGGTTCGGTCTCATGTTGTCCCAGATCCTCATATTCTCCATAACGGCCGAATCAATCCTTTAGAAGGGGAGATCCTTTTCTCCGACTCTAATACAGACTCGGACATGAGCTTCATGCATAATGACTTTACCCAATCCAATTGCATTGTGGACAATGATCGGATCGTGGGGCTCATTGATTGGGAAATGGCTGGATTCTTTGGTTGGAAGACAGCTGGCGAAGTCCATCGAAGGATCAGAACACCTCAAAGGGAGCATTTTGTGAACGCCTCTTTGAGCGAGGAGAGGCTTCGGGATATCATGTTTTGGAATGATCTCTATGACGATGGCATGCCTGAGTTGTAAGGTTAGCTGATATTAGGAATTGTTACGGTTACTCGCTTCCAGACGCGGCTATCCGAACAGGAGGATCTAGGTGATGGAGACTTCGAGCTAACGGCAGACAAGCATTATAGTTGACGATTCTTCTCCAGCATCTTTATATGGCTGTACACGTCCAAATCTAGAACATTGCGAGTCCAGGATTGATATATGATAAACCCGCATGTGAAAAAAGACACATCAGGGAATGTTGGGTCGCGTATAGTTTCTCTACCTCTACTATTCCGGTCTGCGTAGGGATAACTTCCAGTTGATAAAAATAGATCAAATCTCCAAAAGAAGGCGGGGCGTCCCCGTCAGATTCTGGCCATGCTGGCAAATATATGGTCCAATATCTCCATTATCCATATATTCCAGTGTTAAACAGTGAGTACTTTTTCTGATTTATACTTGCTGTAAATGATGTCTCAGATTCCCAATTGATAAGCCTGGGAACACGAGGATTCTTGCCTAGCCTTTGGTATATCTGAGCCTCGAGACGCATATCTCGGCAATGATCCTGTGAAAATCCGGATGTGGTTTCGGTGTTTTGATCACATCACCAGATGGTAGACGCTCGAGGATGGCAGTTCTTCGTCAGCACTGTTCATATAACTAGGCAACAAGCGGTCAACAAGACAACAACCCATCGTGGCACAGTGGCAGTACCAATAACACGGCAGGTGTCACGTGGGTGCGTGGACTTATAAGGGTCGGTGTTTGGGCTGTGGAGATTCCCCTATATTAACATAACACTCTTCTCAGAACTGACCTTGTGGTGGCACTAAGGTAGATTCTGGTCAGTTACGCTTGCTGCCTTGTGTGTCATGTGAAACAATACTTACCAGGTGTATATAATTGAGGTTCTCTCTTTTTTATCTTCATTCATTGCCAGTCCTGCTTCATACTTCTAGCAATCCATACCCATTATGGAATACTCTGTTGACGATGAGATTGCTCAATTTTTTGAGAAGACTTCAGCAACTCGCTCGGCCTGTGATGAATATGCGAAGAAGCAGCTTGGGGGCGACATCATTCCAGTGGCTGTGCAAGGCGTGTGTAGCTACACCGTCTATGCTGGACCCAATGGCGAATTCGTGGCTCAGTTTCGGCTCAAGTCCCTTGCGCTGAGGATAGAGACTGTGGACCTCGCTCGAACTATCTATGGTCACTTTGCACCCCAGGTGGCCTTCTACGGGCAGATTGGGAAAGATGTAGAGGGCAAAGAGCCCCTCTACATCTATGTCATGAGCCGAATACAAGGCATTAGTTACTTGGATTTTCTCCTGGCGCATAACGCTCAGGTACCCGAAAACTCGCCTGAGTTTTCTTCTTGGCGAAGTAATCTCGTAACTGATATCGCGAGGTACGCCCAGTTGCCCTAAGCTACATTTACATCAAATTGCTGAGTATACGCCCTTTAGGTTCTTTGCTCTCTCGTGGAAGGCCCCGCAGGATGTCGATGAAACATACCGCGACGGCCTTCGCCATCAGTACGAGAAGGAATTGCAGTTGTTACTTACTTCTCTCCCAGAACGTTTCCGCCCGTTCACCCAGGAGTGTCTCAACTCGCTCCCAGCCATTCTTTCTCTCCCCATGGTGCTACTCCACAGAGACTTTGGTGTCTGCAATATTATGGTGGACGAAATGTCTTGCAAACTAGTTGGGGTGATTGATTGGGCCGAAGCTGAGATCGCGCCATTTGGCCTGAACCTTCACTCTCACCAGCGACTGATAAGCAAGGTCCACCTCAAGCATGGTTGGATCAGATACGACGATTACATTATTCTGGAGGAGATCTTCTGGAGCACATTCAGTGAGGAAGCTGGAGGATTGAGCGATGAGACAATCAGAGTCATCAAGTTAGCAAGGGTTATGGGACTGCTGCTTTCGCGCGGCTTTTCAAGTCGCCTTGCGAATATGCCTGAGCCAGTGCCCATTCGGGATGATGAGACTGGGGCATACAACATGCGCGATCTGGACGGACTGTTGATTAACCCGGCCACAAGGTTTACAGATTTGGCGTAACTTCCCAGCATTGAAACCTTGTGGTTGCCGAGGTCATCTCCGCTAGGTTCGTAATATGCTCAAGTACGGTACCCTGTTCGCCTGCAGATTGGCGTATAGCAGAACGGAGAGTCGTCAGTCTGCCCTGGCGCGACGTTGCGAAGCGCTTGGAAACTACAGTATGGCGTCTCTACGGCAATCAGAATGTGGTGAGTAGTGTGTGATCAGGTATGTACATTAATCGCTGACTGGATTTGCAGGAGGATTGCTTTCGTGGACAAGACTATTGTACAAAGGAGCCAGTTTCAGGAGTTCTCATCAAAGTCGTCAAACGGAAAGTGGTTCCGAATCCCAATTCTATCTTCATCGGTCTCAGCCGCTTCAATCATTTTGGCTTTTATCTCACGCGCCGTTGCTTTCGCAGCTTCATATTCCTCATTCGGCACCCAGCCCATGACGTCGACACCCAAAACATTCCGCATTTGATCCATTGCGACGTCAGCTTCTTTCTGTCGCTCATCCAAAGCAAGAGTATCACGCATAACTCTGTCTGAGTATGTAAGAGAAGGTGTATTGCATGTTTCCCGTTCACTACCGACAGAGTCTGCTGAAATCAGAGTTGGCCAGCTTTGTATGGCACGAATCATGTCAGCCTTGAGAGTTATTGAATCCCCTTCCCAAGGACTACCTGCACTTTTGAAAAGACGTTGATGCAGTATAGCAGACTGGTCGAATATCGCATCATAATGTTCTTCATTCAGCCGCCTCGTAAATGCGGCGTAAAGGAAATGGACTAGTCTTTTTCGAATAGTCTCTCGTATGGATAATTGGTCAGATTCGGGGAGAGAGTCATAGTTCGGTGGAAGGTCAATTTGGGGCTCTATCAGCTTTTCCGAGTCTGGATCACCGTAATTTTGGAAATCTTTGGGTATACCAGCTGCAAGCCCAAGGGGAAGGATAGTGCAATGCTGCCAATCAATTAATCCGACAACCTCGTTCGCCTCCGATATCAGAATATTGTTCGGTTGAAGATCAGGATGTCGGATGACTGGCCGATTGAGTGATGAGCCAGCTCTGAACCCGAGGCAAGGCGCCAACGTTAGATAGTCGGAGAGATTCTGAATGTGACTGTCAGGCAAGACTTGGCGAAAGCCGTATATCTCCCTATATAGATGCTCATACGGAAGGCGAGGTTTCGCATAGGCTTTGGCCCACGCCAACTCGCGTTCACCAACCGCCCGAAACAAATCGCTTGACGATGACCCTGTTGCGATTAACGAGCTGCACCAGGCGTTTCCTTCGTATTGTCAACTCACATGGTCCTCTGTCAATATCGAGTATGCTCCTTTCACCGTGCCACCAACTGTAATGTGCGATTGGTCCTATGCAGAACTCGCCATTATTATGGCTTGGTAGCGGAACCTTCTTTTTCGTTGGAAGATCCTTCTGATAGTATAAACTCCCACATGCAGGAAACTCCAGTGACATCAATCGTGCTTCCAACTCAACAATTTGTTTCGTGATCTTGTGTTGGTCTTTTGGTGTCATCGCGTACCATATATCGCCGAGAGGGGTGCCGTCCAATTTCTCCATGATGATGTACTCAGCGCCGACAGGGTTCGCTTTTGTTGAGCACCAAGCATAGACCTCCGGAGTAGGGAATCCATGTAACCGAAGATAGTCCAGAGTAGCAGCCTCGCTGGCAACTGTGTAGTGCTCAGGCGCCGTGGAAGGATACGGGAGTCTGGCAACGACATGCTTCCCATCTGTAAAGGTCGCTTGGAACAACCGGTTGAATCCGCCTTCAGCCAACTTATAAAAGGAGACGATGTCAGAGGTTACATGGCCAGATGCGGCAGCGACAACGTTGACGAGGGCGGGTATATCGAATTGCAGATAGCGTTCGGCCAAACGTAAATGTTCGTTATGGCTAATAGTATGTTAGTCTCAAAAGCAGTACTGGTTTCCCCGAAGACATACATCCATCTGCCAGATGTGTATCTGAATAATTCGTCTTTGGAGTTTTTGACCGACTGGTAAGCGGCTGCTGACTTCTGCCTGACCTGCTTTGTTCCATATCCATGCAAGGGTAAAAGTCGAGAGCGAACAGAGCGAACGATATTTCGGACTCCCATATTACGGGATTTTCTATTTTTCTTCAAGAACTGCAATGACACAGAATCGGCATGTTGTTGAGATGGTTTATATAAAGCTATCAAGCTCGGTGGGTGTGCGAGCGTCTGTGGGTCGTCCCCATAGCTAGGATGGATCCCCCTTCTGGAACAAAGTATTTCCGTCTGATTCGAAAATTGGAGAAGTTCATGACCTGTGAAACATGCTGTGAGAGGACTAGCCAATCAAGACATAGGTTCTTCTGCGACTATGTTACGTACCAGCACTGAAGATAAAAGACTCGCGTCTAGGTACTGATTGAAAGGTGTTCCAAAAAGATAGATTCGATGGAATGATGAGAAAACTGATGGCTATGATGATCGGTGTTCACTGTGCTACCCAAGAGATGACTAGACTGAGATACAGGAATAAAGCAGACGAGGTCACCTGACTAGCCTCTCAGTGCCGTTACTAAATGCCCAATGACGAACGCAACTTCAACAGCCAGGGTCTATGGAAATGGAATCCCATTTATATTCCTTCCGTATAGATGGGCAGGATTGTCAAGCAAGATATACACAATAATATCGTCTCAGAATCCGCAATTCCTCAAGAAATACCCGTTCTTCCACGCAAGCCGCACAGACCAAGTGTCCTGGGGGATATATATACTGCCGGAATTGTCAACGCAAAGATCATAGACCAGACACGGCGAATGCTGGTGTCCTTCAATGAGTCACAGGGAGATTGCTGACCTTTGACTAAATCAGAGTTTCTCTTCAAGAGACTTTAGAGCCGAGTCGACATCATCCTTCGTTGCGTCTTGCTTGATCTTAACAGTGCCAATAACAGCATGAGTCCCGCCATGCTTATCCCTCCACTCCTTCCAGGAGCTGGGGATTTTCCCCGCGTTAGGTTGGACCTGGTACTTGTGGTAAACTTGGCCGTCTTCTTCGATAGTCCCGTCGTAGTCGAATCGGACACCATGGTTTTCTAGATCGCTGGGGGATTTCGGCCACTGTGTCTTTCCCCTCCCGACTGTTGGTTTGGCCAGCTTTTCCCAGATCTTAGAACCCCGACCTGTGATAGCTTCCGTAACATTGCTCCAAGCTCGGCGTGACATAATGAAGTACTCAAACAGAATGCAGGCCAAAGAATGAGAAGAATAGTGATATTCGAGGTTTTCTGTAGCAAGTACGAACTCAAGTAGAACTCTGGTCTAGAGACTTTCAACCTAATAAATACTATTCTCTTCATAGACTGACAAGGCAGAGAAGTAAACCGACTTAAGACGAGGAATGTGATATCACATCTTGACTTGCAAATACGCGTTTAGCTGCCAACCAATTCAATTGTAGATTGAACGGCTGGGCGACATAACCTGCAGCTTGCACCAGCAGCTGAAACATACTAAAATGCGAGCGCGTCTAACCTACGGAGTATGGTTCATGCTTTGTCCAAACGAAGCGCTGTTTGTCTATAAGAATTCGCGTGTGGTTTCAAGTCCGTTGACAGAAATGATAAAAGATTGGTGTGCAAATCATCTCTCTCAGTGAAACCTCCTGGTAGCAGACACTACGCTCGAAGCAATCTCAGCATCCCCAGGAGCACCAAGATTACAGGATTAATAATAGCGCTAGGACGGAACCACTGATTCGTACAAAAGAGATACACCATGCGTAGATGCTGAGACGCAATGGAATGATCGAAGACCACGCGAGGCTGTGGCCCCCTGCCTGCAGCACGGCGTCTAACCTTATTGTTATTTACAACCTGCATGCGCATGATTAGCTGAAGCAGACAACATATCAGGATACATTTTGAATTTAGTAAGGCGCTTAAGTGCGGATCATGCTGGTCCAGTGAGCAAATAGTAAATTGCTTCAAGATGGCCTCCAGTTAGTACATATTTGGCTCTCTGCACTTCTGTTGAGTGTTTTCTGATAGCCGCGCGCCATGCAGAGACAGGCCGTTTTGTAGATCCTGGCCAGTTAGAGCAGGTTAGCATGTAACGGACTGGACCTTTCCACTCCACCACTCCATTATCATGTTTAACCTGTTCAACTGCTGCTGACAATCCGAGAAAAGATAAAGCATGGCGACATAGGCAATTGTCTGATGGTCTATTGGGGAGTCGATGTTGGCTCCTTATCGGGAGGGAGTCATTGAATTTGGAAAACGATCAAGACCTCCGGCTGACTATAATGATGTTAGCCGCCGGCAAACTGACTAGTAAGATAGGGCTTTCGATTTTAATGCCACAAGGTTGATTTGCTGCGTGGCTTTCCATTGTTCATAGCCTCCTGCCAACTGCTGCCTATCTTGTAAATTTCGCACCGCGCGAATACCAATGCCGCCGGGCTCATAGAGAAGACATGGATGGATGCACCCCATATGATCCAGAGACTTCGAACAAGTCAAGGGAAAGGTGCATGGAATTATTTAATGGCTTCTAGATGTTGTTAGATTGCAGTTCTGGTAGCTGTTATTGAGCTTCGAAGGTGGACTTTCGGGACTAGACAGTGTTTGTTGCTTTATCATACATCATCTCACATCTTGGAGAATATACATGTCAGTCATTTTTCCACTACGCCAAAAAGATGTCTAGACGACCATTTCTAGCATAGTAGAAATGATAGGCATATTCTGGTTGACAATACATTAAGTAAGGACCGTAGGTCTTGATACAACCATACGTTTGATGAGGAGCCAAAGCCAATTTTAATTTTGACCTGATATCATGAATTAAAGTCTTCACTGTGAACTGGAGAGTATCGCCCCTTCATATAGTTAGGAAGATTCCCTTATTAAAATTTAATCATAGCATCCAAGTTATCAAAGCCTGAGCTCAAAAAAGTATGTGGCTGGGACCTTCAAAAAATCGACAAATTCTAATATTTGGGGATATGTAAGGAGTTGACTTGTTAGAGATTTTGATATCTGAAAGGCAAGCTTGAATGTGTAATAGCATAGAAAGATCTCTAAGAAAGCAATCTCATGTACAGGAAAAGGGGCACTTGCAAATCTGGTCGATACACAATCCTGGTGAAGTTGAGATATGGATAGTATCCAATTGTTTGGCTCACTATAGTTTAACAATTGCTTTGACTATAACCGGGAATACATGAGACTAATTGGTATTATTCTAAGGATACTTCACACCAAAGGTGCTGAGGGCTGGTATCTACGAGCAGTGTCTAGGTATCAAATGGAAAGCCTCTTGTGAATTTAGTGAAAGTGATTACATTGTAGCAGCTGTTTGGCTGGATTTCCTCTATAAAAAGTGCTGTGCCATTCCATGCTGGTATGGCATCAGGTACTACGCATACATCGGGCCTGTTGCTGCGACTAACACCACTTGACGTTTGTAACCGATTTGGAGCCATCGAATATTCATCTACAGCCCGAGAATAAAGAACATGTTATTCCCCAGTACCTCTCCAAGATCTCTCGCGGACTAGCTGCCGTGGTGGACGCAATCCCTTTGGAGGTTATCACTACACTGCAGGTCTCAGAAAGCAAAACCCATACATTAGAATAGTCGACTTTGGCGTACGTAAGTGGGTATGGACCGCTGAAGATAATTATCTAGTGATAATCATGGAGGTTCTTGGACCTTCATGAAAACTGTGGCCATACTCAGTATGGTGGAGATCTGATCATATGATCTTGCTTAGTAGATAGCTCCTTCCACTGTATAATAGTAAATATAGATTTATATATATAATAAATTAATAAAATATCTTTATATTCTGAACCTCTCTCTACTTATTTTATAGGTTATAAGCCTAGAGCCTCTTAGAGAGCTCTAGAAAATTATTCTTAAGTTCTTTCCTTAAGCTATTTTACTACTTTTTACTTTTAAAAGCCTCTTTTAGTAGATATTCTACCTAAAATATTTATCTAGACTAGATATTCTGCCTAAGATAGAAACTATCCTTTTATTACTATAGTTAATAGGGCCCTATAAAAGGTTCTTATATTTAAGAATCCTTATAGATATAGAAGCCTAGTAGTTACTCTTAGATATATCTAAAACCTTATTCTTTTATTTAAACCTTCCTTTAAGATGCCTTAAGTAGATCTCTATAAGTTATTATTACTTATAGATATAGATTTCTATTAAATATAGTCTAAAGCTATAAAAATATATCTATATAGCTAGGGTATTTAGCAGACTATAAATAGAACTTATAAGAAGCTAGAGCTACTAGAAGTAGGCTATTAGACTAGATTATTAAATAAAGCTAAGCTTATTAAGTAGTAAGAGAGAATTAAAAAGACTATTTAAGATTAGAAGAAGATAGATAATAAGACTTATAGAGTTATATATTCTATCTTATCTTATACTATTAGATATAAAGTAATTAATTTAGAATTATTTAAAGCTATTTAGAACTATCTTAATAATAAATATAATATAATAGTAGATATATAGTCTTTTAAGGGGCTATAGATAGCTATTAATATATTATATAATAGCTATAATAGAGTCTAAGATTATATATTAAAACTATCTTAAGTACTTAATAAATTTAATTATAGCCTTAAGGAAGGTAAGTAGCTTTCTAAATTTATTAAGATTTAATTTCTACTCTATAATCTTAGTAAGATATAGGAGATATTTCTTATATTTTATCTTAATAATTACTATAATAAGAGAACTACTATATTTAATAATATTATATAGATTCTTATTTAGGAGGAGATATATATAAAGTTTAATATATTATCTATAAATATTATAAAAGTATAGAAAGGGAAGAAGCTAGCTTAGAAGAATAGTAATTCTAAGAATAAATTAAATTAATTAAATTAGTTAAATTAATCTAATTCTAATTCTAATTTAAATAACTAGAAAGATTCTAATAGTAAGGTTCCCTAGGAAACTAGGAAGAACTAGAAGTATTACTATTATAGTAAAATAGACTATAAGAAGCCTAATTACTAGGAGTTAAATCTAGATAAGAAGCCTAATAAGAAGTCTTTATCTAATTAATCTAATAATTATAATTATACTTATATAATAGATATAGATAATAAGATATCTAATAGCTAATATTTAATTATCTTAATACTTAAAAAAATAATACTTACCTTCTATATTATTAATAATAATAATAATAGAGTCCTTATCCCTACTAATAATAATAATTTAATTAATAATGATAGTATCCTTACCTCTAAACTAAATAAATAAGATATTAAAGATATATAGATAATAATTATTACTATTAATCTAGCTCTATGCCTACACACTAGTACTAATAACTAGATTATTAACTTAAGAGCTACTAAATACTTTATTATAATATCTATAAACTTTATAGATAGCTTAAGGAAGCTATATAAATAGGGAATTAAGATAGTAATAGAGTAAATTATATATTCTAATTTAATTAGGGATATTATCTTATATCTTATATATCTAGGTAGATATACTAGATATATTATTATTACTAATATTCTCTATATCCCTAAAGTAGTAGTCAACCTTCTAGACACTATTTAATTAGGCTATAAGAGTCTAGGAGTTAATCTTCTATTAGATAGTATTATTATTACTTACTTATTAGATAAAATAATTATTAGATATAGAGATATTATCTAGAATACCTATATTCTTTACCTTATAGAAAGCAATACCATAATTAAGGCTAATAAGCTAATTAAATTAACTAAGCTAGATATATTATTTAAAATATAGCTAATAGCATTCCCTTACTACCCTAAGAGAGGTAATAATTAACTATTCTCTTAGTAAGATTATATACTGTAAGAAGATTATAAGTAAGCTAAGTAAGAATTAGTAAGACCTTATTCTAATATTAAAATTTATATCTAGACTAGATAAGAGGTCCTGAGTAAGTAATATATATTTATTTTAGATCTACTATATAATAATTATACTAGTATTTATATATTAAAGAAAGATAAGGTTAATTTAATAACTTAATACTATTATTTTATATATTTATTAATTCCTAATATCATCTATGTATCTAAAATAGTTAATAGAATAGATATTAAGAGACTATTAATTCCTAAGCATATCTATAAATCTTATATAGTAGCTAATATAATAGTCTATAAGAGGTATATTACTATATCTCTTATTAAGTA